ATTTTGCTTTAAAGGCCCCAAGTGAGATTGCACGACTAATTTCTAGTGGAAGGCTAATCCACAATTTAGCTATGGTGACAAAAGCTTGGTACCTGCAACAGTTAAGCTCAAAACATGGTGCAACCAGCAGGTCAGTGGAGTGGAATGATTTTGATGGTAGTTTCTCAAGGAGCAACAATGGGGCTTGTGATCACATGTGATTACGCAAAACATTCTGGGATGTGCGCAGACATGTTGGCGGCCTTATGAGTGTAAACAAACTGTGAAAACAATGTGTAAAATAACCAATCAAATGAATAATAAATTCATTTAAGCCGCAAGAATGAGACTGAGCGGACTTTTTACATTAGTAACAAGCAAAAAGTAAGGACTCGTAGGCCACCAATGAGGCGGCCGTGTAGGTGATGACATCACAATCACAAGCCTTATAAGTAGGGAGGAGGGTTACCCGCTGATTGGTACACATGCACCTTAACCTCAACGTGACGCTTTACCAGAAGTCACCAAAACATGTGAAGAACTGGAGAGATGCTTTCTCCAGCAGTATTCTGATATTGTTGATGTTACCACTAAGTTCACCTGTGCATCAAATGATGATGCTTTTTAATAAAAAAAAATAAGAATAAAAATGTTCATATGCTTTCTAATATTTTAAAACACCTGAAATAGGTCAAAGTGCTTCACATCGGTGCTTAAATGTTATTCATGAGTTACAAGCCAAAAAAGTTGGGACCACATGGTTTGAATTTTATATTTTCCGTGTGTCTTCTTTGTGAATGTTTATTCATTTAGCAAAAAAGGTCCCATAAATAAATTAAGTTGAGTAAATTACACTTATTGACCTATATTGTGAGAAGTTATTATAGTACCTAGAAGCTGCATATTTTTCAGACATTAAGTTCACAAATGTACACAGGTTCATGATGATGCTGCTGATGTCAATCCTAAACTTTAAAAGCAACAAATAGCAGCCTGAAATACAGATAATAAAAATAATAATAATAACATGCATGTGGTTTCAAACTCAAGGCCAGTGAGCTCAAAGATTAGTGAGATGATAGCTGAACTTTTTAAATACTTGAAATGAATAAGGACTGTGGCTGTATGTCTCTAAAATGATTGGCTGGTAACCAAAATGGTTCACAGAGGATCTCCACATGATAAGAACACCAAGATGCTTTAATGAGTTCAGAGAAACTTGGAGTGTTTAGTCTGGTTAGCTCCTTGGCTGGAGAGGCTTTAAATCCCTGCTGGATCAAAGTTCAGTCATGGAACAATAAATCAAACTCAAAAAACAGATGAATGAGAAAAGTTCTGATTTAATGTAGGCTCATGAGTGTGCATGCTACCACTGCTGTTTGCAGCTATACTTCACTCTGCTGGTCAAACTGAGGTTTGCATCACAGACTCAGAATGATTTAGAGGTATTTTTTTATATATATATTTAGCAATTTTTTCATATTTTTAAACCATTTTCTTGAGGCAGTATGTGCTAAAATGACCTTTTACAAGTTTCATGAACTGTCACTCAGACCCCCACTGCCCTCTGAGGCCAGAATACCACTCTTGCAACTTCAGAGTGCCGGTCTGGTCTGTTATATTTAGAAAAAAATTGAGCTGACATGCCTGGCGCTGCAGTCTGGTCCCAGCAATTTCCTTGTTTTGGATCATAAACATAGCTGACTTGTTTTGTTTAGAGATAAACCACTCCTGTAGACACTAATGAAGACTGAGGAGGCATTTCAGCTGTTAGATTAAGATGTAAAAAAGACAAACAGCACAGCGAGGAGATAAGTTTAGCCTTTAGTGGACACTAGGGTATGCCTTTAATACCATTATACCACCACATTTTCCAGCCTACTCCACTCTAAGGTGCAAACTCAAATTAAGTTAAATGCAAATACCATTAAAGAAATCCAATTTTTTTAAAGATCCACAATATTTTCTCCTTATCTGTCGACCATCTTGGGTGGTTTGTAGGTGTGCGCGGCTCACATACAGCTTGCGTGTGTGTTTAGTCAGTGGAGAGGGAACAGGCCATTGAACTCTGCCAATTTTCTTTAAACTGAGAAAATGTGCTTTTGAACAGATGGAAAAATGGGAATAGATTCCAAGCCAACAGTTCCAAGTCCTCTCCTTCCTCTGACCAAGAAATCAGCACTTTTGAATGTTGCAGCTACGTTTTCCAAGGCTGCACTCATGTCTCAATAACGGGAGAGGGACCACATGCAGAAATGTCTGAAATCACCCGGTTTGCTCCTAAACAAGATTTAATTTATTTCAGTAGAAATTTTTTTAAATTCTTATTCAAGATTGAATTTTGTTGCAGCGAGTTTAAAGTTTGTTGTTTACTCAACGCCCTCAAGGCAACTGTTGAACTCAGGCTGTGAAAATGGATGGACCAACTGACTGAGGGAGAAAAGGAGGGAGACGCTTGGAGTAAAGAGGTTTGAAAATGGGAGGGTGTCAGTGTTTGGGGTGGGGGGTGGGGGGTGTAGGAGGAGGGGAATACCACCCACCAAGCCAGTTGTGCAGAAGTTCTGGGGGTTGGGCTGCCCACAGGAAACAGTTGTGGCTCCGTCCCAGGCCTCACACCAAGCAGCCCTGGGCCACCCAGTGATCAGCAGACAGACCCACCAAATGGCCCGGACAGTCAACGACGGGGATTTATTTATTTTTCATCCTCTGGTGGTGGTGTGTGTGTGGGGGGGGGGGGGGGGGGGGGGATTAGAACTTTGATTTGTCATGTGTCAACGTTTGCTTGCGGGGAATGTGTATACAAGAGTCAACGTTGTGTATAGTTTAGAGATTTGGAGGCTACAAAGGGTGTGTGTTGGAAATGCTTGGGGGCAAAAGAAAAAAGAAAAAAGTGGGAAGCCTCCCATGCTGAAGGCGACGGCTGAACTGCATTATGGGTCATTCTCCAGCTGTCGCTGATTGTTGATGTCATGGTGGACTGGCTTGCGGAAGGTGTGGGATAAGACAGACAGCATGTGGACAAACACAGAATTCCTGTTTTCACGTGGATGAAAAGCAGGTGGCCAAATGGATCTGCATTTAGCAGAATTTAGGCAAGTGGTGATAAAAAAAAAACAAAGCAAAGAATAGACAAAATATTTAGAATGCCTTCTTATTTTTGACATCAGCTCAGGTTGACACATTACAGGCTTGTTAGAAAAATATTTATACCATTTTTTAACATAAATCATATTTATACAAACTGAAAGTTACCCACAAGCAATCAATTAATCACTTTTCACTATCCCTAACTGTTACAACCCAGAGCCATTTGAGTTTTTTGTTTTTTAGGAGTACGTGCATTTAATAAAGAAAAAACGCAGATAAATAAACTTACAATATACAGATAAATACTAACAGAGACACACCTTGTTGGATGATTCCCAGCTGATCCCAGGTGATGGTGGAGGAACCAGGAACAAAGCCAATTGAATCCCCTGGGCTGCAGGCTGAAGAATATGGAGAACTGGGCTGTACACTCAGACAAAACAAAACAAAACTAAGTACAGAGACTTTTCTAGAGGCATGAAACCAGAGATCGTAACACTCTCCCTGTTAAGTTACAAAACACACCATTTTGTAACCAAAAACAGAAGGCACAAGATGGTACAATAAGGTACTTACAATCTGGACAAACCATCTGCAAGAATGTTTTCCCGTCCCTTTTTTTGTCGTATGTCCAATGAGTTTTCCTGCATGATTAAGGCCCACCGCATGAGGCACTGGTTGTCGTTATACATACGCGAGAGGAAAACAAGTGGGTTATGATCCGTATAAACCGTTATAGGAGGTGAACTGGATCCTAGATACACATGGCCGTAGCACTAACCATAATCTAACCCTTATATGTCATGTTGGCGCAAGGTCCTGACATGTGGAGAAAACTGAAACTTACTAATAAATGTTTGAGAGGCAACAAAAATAGAAAAGAGAATGTAAAAAGTACAATAGAATATAAATTTGAAAAATAGTAAAATAAAAAAGAAAGAAAAGATACAATCCACAAATAGAAGTCGGAGAGCAAGAACAAGTCAGCAGGAAAGGAGAGATGAACATAAAACATACCACGTGGTCAAACTGAGACTGATAAACAAATAAACAAAATCCAGAAAGTCTTTGATTTCACAAAATTACTGTGATTATGTGTTTCTTTGTTTGGGCTGTCAATTTCAAATAGTTTTTAATGTATGGCTATCAGTTCAGCATCGTGTTTCCGTTGAGATTTTCATTTTTGTTTTCCAGTCTCTGCCAGGAACAGTGCCACACCGTCTGGCTTCGCTTTTCACCTAATGTGCCAACAAGATCTCTGTGTTCTACTCTAAATGATCTGTTGGTAGTTTGTCACTCCAAATGTAAGTCCAGAGGTAACAGTGTGTTTGCAATTTTAGCCCTACACTCCCACTCGAGATCAGACAATCCACGATTTAGCGTTTTTATCTTGTTTTTATTGTGTTTTGATTTTCTAAAAAAAGTTTTAACTGATTTTAATTGTTTTCTGTCTGTCATTGTGATTTAATTGAGATTTTACTTTGAAATTTGATTTAATCTTGTACAGCACTTTGGGCTTTCTTGGCTGGTGGTGGAAGTGTGCTTTGTAAATGAACATATTGAATTGATTTGAATTAAAGAACTATTGGATGAGCATCAATATAAGAACTGAGATAAAATGGGATCCATAAAAAATGAAGATGAGTGCCAACAACAACAACAACAATAATAAAAATACTACTACTACTACTACTACTACTAATAATAATAATAATAATAATAATAATAATAATAAGAAGAAGAAGAAGAAGAAGAAGAAGAAGAAGAAGAAGAAGAAGAATGCGTAATTATATAATTTAAAAAAATAATAATAAAAGACAAAGAATCTTGTGATTCATCCATTTTCAAGTCCAGCAGAGGGCAAAAACACAGCGCAAAACTACCTAAAACAAATAAGAGAAGAAGAAAAACAGGACCGCCTACGAAATAGTCACGTGTCACGAGTCACGTGAGTATCTAACATCTATGAAAGCCAATCACAGTCTGGGAATTAAGAAACAACGCAAGTTTAAATGTTTGGCGGTGACTCACGAACTGTGTAAGTCGTTTTTCGTCTTTATGTAGTCAAAGGAATATTTTTGTAAGCGAAATACATTTTAGGTGTTCGTTTTAATCTGTGTTACTAAATTTGTGAATTAAAGGCGTCGGTTCTTCGGCAACGACGTTTTTCCTTTAGATTTTTTTTCTACCCACAGCAGCGGCAGGAAAACCAAAATGGACACCAACCTGGCTAAACTTTTAATCGGACTCTCTGTCCAAATTAGTCGCAGTGATGGTAAGATAATAACCTTTTTATGTTATTTATCTCTTTTTCGTGCCGTTAACGTTTTCCCACTTGTGTTTTAACAGGTCGAGTCCATTCATCGACGGTGAAAGCCTTTGATGCAGCGAAGAGCACAGTAATGGTGGAGTGGACCGAGAGGAACATCTGCCGTGGGAAGGAGGTCAGTCTCTTCATTTACTGTAAAAATTAGACTTTCAGTGTTTTAAGGTCATGTTAAAGTAAACTCCTTTAGTTTTATCAGTCTATGTGTAAATGATACTGATTTCAAGGCCTGTTTGAATACTTTGCTAAAGAAAGGTAGAGTAAACACATTTATTTATATTTTAGGTGGAAGTACGTGAGTTGTGCTCTCTGAATCCAGAGCTTTTAGAGCATGTAAACACCATCACAAACAAAGCTGCTCAGACAGCAACTCCTGTTCCAAGCAAGGTAAATGTTGCATTACTGATTATTCACTTCGCAAATAAGGGACAGATGCACACTATATTTAAACGATGTTGTTTTTATATTATTATGATATTCTTCTAGCATGGCAAAGCTGAGGGGATACAACATTTTGATGTTTTATGGTAAATGGTCTGTATTTGATAGTGGCTTCTGGAGCCCTAGAACCCCCTTCCCCCCAAGGTGCTTTAAAACACATTCACCTATACACACACTGGTGATGAGCTACACTGTAGCTACAGCTGCCCTGGGGCTCACTGATGGGGACAAGGCTGCCGTATATTGGCACCATCGATCCCTCTGACCCCCCACCAGCTGGCACTGTGAGTTAAGTGCCTTGCTAATACTGCACGAACACAACAATGGCACCGGAATGAGCGGGGATCTAACCTGCAACCGTCTTAAGGGGCAGCAGTTGCTCAAGGAGTAGAGCGGGCTGTCCAGTAATCGGAAAGTTGCAGGTTTGATCCCGGCAGAGAATGCTGCTGGTATGTGCATGGGCAACATGCATAACCTCCCTGCCTGCTGGTGGTGGTCAGAGGGACTGGTGGCGCCTGTGCTTTGAAGCCTTGCTTCTGTCAGTACTCCCCGAGGTAACTTTGGCTATGGTGTAGCTCATCACCATCAACGTGTGAATGGATGAAGGATTCACTGTTGTGTAAAGTGATTTGGAGTCCTCTAGCTCTGAAAGATGCTATACAAGTGCAGGTCATTTTTCATTCACCTCCCAATTATGGTGCAGACACCCATCTCCTCTGCCACAGTCTTGGTTTTACGCTTAATTGCATCTAGTGTTGATGCAGGATTTTTCAAAAATATCCTCCTCTTGCAGAAATATGAAGGTCGACTCCGCTCTTCCAGGATTCCTGGTCCACTCCCCTGTATGTAAATATAAAGAAATGTATTTCTCTATTTTTGATCAACACGTTCAGCACCTGAAACTGTAACCACTTGTTTTATTCCAAAGCCTCTGCTTCAGTGATCCCAGTGGGTGAAGAGTCAGGTTGGCAAAATATGACGTTCCAGTCTCTGGAGATGGCAAAAAAAAAAAAAATCACAAATCTGCTGGAAATTAAATCCTTTCGGTCCAAATTTTCCTGAACTATTTGCTGTGTTTTCACGAGACACCAGGGTGCTTTTGGGAAATTCTGGGCTTGTACAACTAGTCATGTCTGTCAGAAAATCAAATGATGCACCTTGGGCAGCACAGTTCTATTAGTACGTCCTGTTTTAAATTTACGAAAATGTTACCCCCCCCACACCCACACCCACCCCAATCAACTTTCTGTACCTGCACTAATCACTCACGCTTAAATCTTTTCCAATCTAAACCTTTGTAATTTTTTTTAAGTGTTTAGTTTCTTAAGTTCGTCTCCTCCCCCTCTTTTGCTTCTAGTTGCCGCTCGGCCTCAGATGCGCCAGACCTGTTTTTTCCAGCAACCATTAACACTTGTTCCATCGACTTCCGGGTCTTCTGCAGAAAAATTGGATCTCAAGCCATCGCCAGCCATAAGCTCTGGTGTGTAAACATTTTGAAACTGCTTTTAAATCTGATTAAATCAACATTTTTGATACAAATTGATACAATATTACCACTCCCAACAGTCTGACCTTGAATTTAGTTTTTTTTTTTTTTTTTTTACACATAACTTTATCTTGTGTGGTATCAATCTGGTTATTTTTGTTTCCAACCCACGTAGCAGCTGCTAATCGACATTGTCAAGAAAACGATTCTAAACCAGCCCCGCCGCAGCATTTTGTTAGTGAGGCAGTAAAAGCAAATGAACCTGAGAGAATGCCTCCTCCGTCTTCATTCAAAGGTTGGTAGTCAGTCTTGGAATTATATTTTAAAAAACACACACAAATCCCAAAAAACCTTTGCATGTTTAGGATTTTCAGAATAAAGTTCAGCGTGTTGGTATTATGTCCTGTAAGTTTTTAAGCTCTGCTATTTTGATCTCCAGGTGGAAGAAAATCCGTGGCTGCCCATGAACTAAACAAAGGCAACAAAAGGCTGTCAACTGTCAGATCAGTTGACCTGCTGACCAAAAAGGGGAAGGTGATTATTTACAAAATTTCTTTTTATTTCCTCTTCTGAAGATTAAAACCATCTTCTTGATAATTTCCTTTTAGTTTTTAGAAGCATCTCGACCAAACCAGAAGTTTTACGACATGATCCAAATGTTCAGAGAGACCATGGAAATAACCCCCGTAACAACCACTGACCTGGTGAGTTGATGCTCTAGAGATACGTTAGGTTTGTGGTCATTCATTTACTCTTTTTCATCTCCTACAGATTGAGCCCCGAAAAATATGTGTCTGTGTTCGCAAGAGGCCCCTAAACAAGCAAGGTAGGTCTGAAGTGCTTTATAGGGTCTGATGAGAAGCTTCTAGAGATCAGATGTTGTGTTCTGGTGTTAAACCAAAAACAAATCAATGCTCCTGCCTGCTTTATGCCTTTCAGAGGTCACAAAGAAGGAGATAGATGTGGTTTCTGTACCTGGCAAGGGCACTTTACTGGTCCATGAGCCAAAGCATAAGGTGGACCTTACCAAGTACTTGGAAAATCAAGCCTTCCACTTCGACTTCTCTTTTGATGAAAGCGCTACCAATGAACTGGTCTACAAGTAAATTCTCCATTTATTTATTGATTTTTACTTTTCAATTGTCAGGAATTTGCATTTTTTTCTTCTACCAACAAAGTCAATCAATGAGCGAAGCTTTGTGCACTTTTCTTTCCTCCATAGATTCACTGCTCAACCTTTAGTGCAATCCATTTATGACGGTGGCATGGCAACCTGTTTTGCCTATGGGCAAACAGGAAGTGGTAAAACCCACGTAGGTATCACTTGATCAGCCTGTGTGTCCAGAACAGAATTTTATTGTTAATGTTTTCACTTGTTTTGCAGACAATGGGGGGCGATTTCACGGGGAAGCAGCAGAACAGCTCTAAAGGGATCTACGCCTTGGCAGGTGGGACAAGAATCAGATTCTTGTGAGAATTTTAAAATAAAGCTGCTTAAACTTTAATTACTTCAAAGTTGCACATGCATTTGAATCTCTAGAGCATTTGGAACATATGAATTGGTTCCCTTAACTACATACTTTCTCATTATGTCATCTATTTTTTTGTAGCCCGAGATATTTTCACCTATCTCAACCACAAGACGTACACTAATCTCAATCTCTCTGTCTACGTCAGCTTCTTTGAGATCTACAACGGCAAGGCAAAGACCATTTTCAACTAGAGTACATTTCTTCTTAAAAAAACAAAGTTTGCTCAAATGTTTTGTTACAAATTAAACTTTTCAACTCAGGTGTACGACCTGCTCAACAAGAAGACCAAGCTGCGGGTTTTAGAGGACGACCGGCAGCAGGTGCAGGTGGTCGGACTGGAGGAAGTGTTGGTGTCTTCAGCGGAGGACGTCATCAAGATCATAAAGATCGGCAGTGCATGCAGGTACTTCAGCCATTCTCCTGTGTAATTCTACATTGGACTTGTCTGCTTTTGCTCAGGGCACAATTTGTACAAAAATAAATGAGGAAAAATAAACAAGATAATCACCAAATAGCTCCAGATTCCTATAACAAAAGGCCAGTACACTTGCTCTTAGTTTATGGCCCAAAGGCTGAGATTTTACTCATTTAAGCCTAACCAATACAGACCCAAATTAACCAAAATCTTGCGACTATTGACGGCAAGAATTATACATTGGACTTTATAACATAAAAAAAAACATGTTTTTGTGACGTTCACAAAATGTTACATATTTATTTTGTCCTGTCAAGCGGTGCTGTAGGAGTGTACACTAGCAACGTGTCCTCAGAGATGATTATTTATCAGCGTGAGGAACTTGTTTCCATCCATTTCTACCTTGTTTATAAACAGTTTATTTACAGGTCCCATCAGTAAGTGTAATAACTGACCCAGCCACGGCGATCAGAGGTGCGCTGCAACCCCCCCGACCCACTCTCGCAGCAATCAAGGGCAAGCTGCGCGTGTGTATTTAGCACATTTTGCAGTTTTTAGCGGCTCAGGAGCCTGCAGGTACAGAGTGTACCTCTCACTCTGGTTAATCCAAGAGGGAGCCGGCTCTGAGAGCCGTTTATTTTGGACCGACGCATCACTACATCATTCCCTTTCCTAACGTCCTGAAGGACGGTCCGGAGCGCAGGCGGAGTGTTTTTGGTAACCTTCAGGAAATGTTGACGACCGTTATCCAGAACGTAGCTAATGGTTACCAGAAATGTTTCTATGTTGTTCATTATGTACTCTTTAAGATTTAAAGTCAATTAAGAGGTCTGAAAAGCTGTTGGGAATAGTGACGATGTCTCTAACGCTGTGGGAGGAGCACTTGATTTGCAATTCGGGGGAGCAAATAATCTGCTTGTTTTGCTTTTATAATCGTTCAAAACTCTGATCGTAATTGGGATTAAAATTCGATTAACTGAACAGCCCTATTCTGTTCATTTACATGGTAACGTAACTTCTGTGAGTCGCACGTTCAGCCTAGTGTGATGTCATCAACAGGCGCAGAAGCCGGCCAGAAGGAAACATGGCGTTTCCCAGGGATTTAGACCCACACCCTATGTACTTGAGACTCAATTTTATGGTCATATGTTACGAAGCCGCCAATAGTTTTCATAAATTAGACGTAATTTTATTCATTTTCAACAACATTTTGATGGTAATAGTAAAACTACACCTTGTCACTTTAAAACAACTTTCCAAATTTCCAACAAGTGCATTATTATAAACTTTTGATGACAATAAATGCCATGTAATAAAACATTTTTAAGTAAGATAAATGATTTTGTGTTTAGTGCTTGAGGCAGAAATGGCTTTTCTGTCTTCCAGAACATCTGGACAGACCTCGGCCAACGCCAACTCCTCGCGTTCTCACGCAATCCTTCAGATTATACTGCGTCACAACGACCGTGCTACAACACTGCACGGGAAGTTTTCATTGGTCGACTTGGCCGGCAATGAGCGCGGCACAGATGTTAGCAGCAATGACCGCAGCACTTTGGTTGAGACTGCAGAGATCAACCGCAGCCTGCTGGCTCTCAAGGTACATTATATTTATGTGAGGTTGGGTCATGTCACCCTAACATGTTGAACATGGTATATTCTCTGAAAAGATCCTAAATCAACCTTGTGTCCATTCTGTAGGAGTGTATCCGTTCCCTGGGAAAGAATAGTGACCACATTCCTTTTCGCATGAGCACTTTAACCAAAGTGCTCAGGGATTCTTTCATTGGAGAGAAGTCCAAGACCTGCATGGCAAGTCCGAAAGAATTGGCGTTTTTACATTTAATTCTGCCGCACCAGAAAATGCTTCTCAAGTCGGCACATTTGTTGATGTGTTAAAGAGTTTCCTTTAATAGAATTTTTTGCTTCTGCTGCCTTATTCAGATTGCAATGGTGTCTCCAGGAATGGCTTCTTGCGAGTACACGATGAACACACTACGTTATGCAGACAGGTATACATTTAAAGTAAAAAGTTCCAGTCTGATTGGAAGTCATTGTCTGTGATGCTTTATTAGAAATGTGGAGGTGTGGGACATGAAGGCTTGAAACATTTTGTTCTGTGACAGAGTCAAGGAGCTCAATGGCAATTCCAAAGCAACCGAACCATCTAAGGGAAAAGAGGAACTGAGCAGTTCCTCAGAAGATGTAAGCTTGTATCCTGTTAAGAAAAAAAAAGTTTATATTTTGTTGAAACTTTAGCTCATGTCTTTTGTGTGTTGCAGGAAAACGTGGACCACAGTGTGTTTGATGCCATTTCTCGGGTGACAGAGTTGGAGGAGAAGGTTTATGCTGATTTGAAGGTACCATTTTTGTTTTTTTACAGCACACTTTTTAAAACTTCATTAAAGGTTCACTTATAAAATTACTGTTCTTCAGAGGGCAAATGTGCTTGTTCAAGAGATGGATAGCATCTCCTACAACATAGAGGAAGGACTTCCTTGCTTATTGGCATATTCCCAGGAGCTGATGGGTTTGTATCGCCTTTAATATTTTCAGCCTTTTTTAGATGGTTAGAAATTCTGTGGTATGAAGCTTATAGCCTTTTGTTTTGTCTAAAATGAGCATGCTAAATATCAAGTTATTAGAAAACTAAAATATGTTTGAATTCTTTTGTGTGTTTTTTTTTTATTATACAGACAATATCTTGATGCTGCAATCTGCTGTAGACCAAGAGCAACAAGCAACACAGACTCACTGAAACGGCATAAAACTTCTCAGAACACATTTTAATTTTTTTAATTTTTATCAGTACTAGTTTTATTATATTTTGTCTTCAATAAAGTTGATTATCTTTTGAAAACATTATTCTTGTATAATTTCAAAGCCAACAGCTGTACACTTATGTTTTCTGTGCGAATGTTTGTATTCTACTGCTCCACAAGGCAATTATTGAATGTTTTAACTTTTTCATGAATGTAAGGGTGTTTTAAAATAAAGCAAATTTTAAGAAACTAATTGGAACTGAATGGATGATTCCTTGTTAATTTAAAAAGTAATAAATGTGTAAGATAATTTATTTGGCTTATATTACAGTGATGCATCTTAATGGCTTCTCTTTTTCAGTTTGTCATTTTCAGAGTTTTGTTATATTTTGAAATTAACAACTCATTCTGCATGATTAGTTGAATCTAACCAAAAGTTTCCATTTTCCACCAATGTGCAAAGGAAAAAGGTCAAGTTGGGTACACAAGAGTCAAACCATGATGATGGGCATGCATCTCATCAAATTCCAACCAAAGGAATTTGTCAGGCATTTTTTGATTATCAGTTTTTGATGTTAAATTGTTATAACAAACGTTTCCTTAAAAATAAAATGTTCAATCCTTCAGATACGTTTCAATTACTGATCAGAACATTTTAAATTAAACGAATTAAAATGTCAAAATCAATGACGTTTGGGTTCATGTTGTTTGAACATCCAAACACTAGGTGGCGCTATGTGTCCTTTAGAGTGAGGAGGAACAACCGGATTAGCCTGCCCTGAATTTAAGGTCTGAGGAAACTAACGCTGGACTTTACGGAGATGAAGTGGTTGCGTTTTGCGCTCCTCGCTTTGGGGCTTTTCTCTCTGTGCTGCGCCACGACCGGTGACAGCAGCGGTCTTAAAAAGATGAAGATGCAGTTTGCTACGGGTCCTCTTCTTAAGTTTCAAATTTGGTAAGAAAAATATGCGACAAATACGAGAAATTTGGCGAGTCATCGCTAGCTAGCTAAACTCAAATGCTAACAGCGCCGAGGCCGAGAAATGTTAGTTTATGTGAACATGTAAAATAAATCTATTACTGTCAACAATCCACAAGTGTTCAAGCAGAAGACATTTTTCCCAATTTAGATATTTGACTGTCCATTTAAACATGGTTCCACGTTACTTCCGCATCTATTAAATCCTTTAGCCATTCGGTTTCAAGCTAACCCATCCATTATGTATGGACCAATTGTCTCTTGTCCTGAGTAAATTTAAGTAACTTTGAGGCCTTGTGTATTAAGAAAATATGTATCTTGAAGCTTAGTCTGTTGAACCAAGTCTTGTGTTGTAAAAAATGTCATCAAGAGCCGGGTTTAAACCTTTCCCTGGTTGTGCGACTGAACAACATCCGTAAATTTGTGTAATTTGAGTTCTTCCCACCAATAAACAGTAAAGTTACACTTGAAAACAAGCTGCAGATGAATTTTTGAAAACCCTGGTGATGGCAGTAAATGATACGACAGGTTTTCGAATTTTTTAACCTAATTTTATTTTCAACTATCAAATAATCACGAAACTCTGAACTCTAAGATAACATTTGTATTTTAAAGTGTTAATACATTTAAGAATATGCATTTGAAACATAACATGCCACCAAATCTTCTAAATGTACACATAAAATAATGTTCCCTGCTAAAATAGGAAAGACGTTTACTTCCTAAACTACAGATTAAGTATGTGGATGAGTGCTTTCCACTGGGTTGGTGTAACTGCTCAACACCGTTTCTTTCCTTACACAGCATTTCCTGAGGGTACAAGCGGGTGTTTGAGGAGTATACGCAGGCCTTGAACCAGCGGTACCCAGACATCCGCATTGAAGGAGAGAATTACCTTCCCATTCCCCTCTATCGGTAAGAACGACCGGGTCTCTGTCTTAACAAATGGATTAAGTCCAGCTTTGTTAAAGTGGTCTGAAAGCTGTTCTGGATTAGTTCTAATTTGTCTGACAGAGTAATGTTCTCATGCTGCAGCTTTTCTGGCCATGGGTTTGGAAATGCTACTTGTAGCAGAGTAAAATCCCTGTCTGTAGAGTCATCTCTCTTTATACTGAGATGGGTGTCTTACACGTTATTTTCATATGTTTCACAATGTTATTTGTGCAACCTTTTTTTCAGGTCGGTATACTTTGTGGTCTAAAAAGTACATTGTAGCTTTTTATATCTTAGAAAGATGTAATAGGAATATTTTTGTCAAGTTATAATTGTCATAGTCTTATAATTGAATTATCTTTTAAATATTCAGCAAATAATTTTAGGAAATGTGTTACACTAGCTTGGTCACACACTCGTAATTAAGTAATAATCTGAGGGGTTTCATAGTTTCAAACTCTTAAGACTATAAAGACTTTTCATTATTGGAAGGACTTGTGAGGCTGGTTTATTAAGTTTCAGATGTTAAAGTTAAACACAGTTTTTTTTTTGTTTTAGTTAATCAAATAGGACATTTTTAATGAATACACAAGAGATGAGCTATTTGGAGATGGCTATGGCATCATATTGCATGTTTTAAATTCTCTGGCTTGGTTTTCTTAAGAATTATGGTTTTGAAATCATTCCTCAGATGCTCCACCAGTAGAATAATCTGTCCATAACAGAATATGCATCCCCAAAAACAAGACAAGAAAGATGATCATGTGGAATGGAGTTTTACCTCAACTCTAGTCTTCTGAGATTCTGCACTATACATGACAAGCAAGACAGGAGGCTAATTAATGGATTAAATAACAAAAATCCTTGTGTACTTCATAAAAAATTATTCTAGTAATGAACTGTGCAAGAGGAGGAGGAACCGCTGTGGTAGATGTCCAGTTATTGCCTCTATAGGGTGGTGGAGAATGTCCGTGGAACTTCAGATCCAGCCTGATGACCTGGTGAGCTCTAATGACTGGGCGGCTGTGGCAGAGGAGTTAAGTGCCTACCCTGTAACCGGAGGGTTGTAGGTTTCTGTCCCATCTGTTGCGGAGGGACTGGTGGCGTCAGTGTTCAGCAGTCTCGCTTCTGTCAGTGTGCACCAGGGCAGTTGTGGCTAGTGTATCTCATCACCACAAGTGTGTGAATGACCAGGTAGTTGCAAAGTACCTCGGGGGTTGTAGAACCCTAGAATGAGCTATATAACTCAGGTCATTTGCTTTTTTGCTAACCAACCAGACACATCACACTACAGAGGAAGGCAGCGCTGATGGATGATGTTTGCAAATTGTTTGTGAATATCTGGCTTCTGTTCACTATGTAGGCCAAGCTGAGATATTAGGACACTAATGCTGGAACACAAGCAGAGTTCATTTTGTAAATATGCCAGTCATAATTTATGGATAATATCTAAGAAATCTGTTTCTGACTCATTTGTTTTATTTTTCACAGACACGTTGCATCCTTCCTGTCTGTGTTCAAACTACTGGTGATTGGGCTGATTATTATCGGCAGAGACCCATTTGCCTTCTTCGGTATGCAAGCCCCAGGGATCTGGGAGTGGGGCCAGGGAAATAAGGTGAGAGTACCTGGAAGGTCGCAAGCGTTTATGGCTCCTTGCTGTAATTTTAACATAAGGGGGTCCTGCAAAGTCTTGTCACCTTTTTGGTTTCATTTAACTTCACCTTTTAAGACTGTAGAAGCAGAGAAAAGTGGTCTCCAGTTAGTTGTATTTTTAACTCAACAACACACCCACCCCTACCTTCCTAATGAAGTAAAGCCCAATGGATTTCATTAGGTGCTTAATCACAGCCTTGCTAGTGTGTTGTTTTGCTTGAATTGTTGTCCCCAGGGTTATAGTTCTGCTAATGGCTCAAAGGAATGGTTTTAACATATAATGCAGCGATGACTACTTTTGAATATTTAACATAAATAAATGCATGCAAATTTTTCACTATGTCAACAGTTATCAATAAGTCTAGAATCAGAGAAATGAAATCTGACCTACTTGCTTCAGAGCCTGCACTCTAATCCCATTAACCAATAAGGGAAGCTCTTGCAGTGGGATGCATGTGTCACTTGCAGGAGTCGGCCTATTTCTGAGAACAATGAAGAAAGAAACCCAAGTGTGCGGTCTGATAAAGTCACATAAAAGGACCCGTAGACGTTGAGCAACCTAAAGATGGGTTCAAACGATCAATTCAGCGTATTGAATGGAGATGAATTATTAAAGATCAGGAACATGTTTTATTTTTTCCTACACTAAAATTAGTTAAGGTGATACAACAATTGATTTATTTTCCCAGCAGCACTTCCCATGCATCATTTGCTTTTTAAACTTTTGTGCTGGCTGCAGCTTAATGGACCCCTGTGTGTTTTTTAAAAAGCTCTTGTTCATCTTTCTCTCTGCTCTTAAGTGCTCTTTCATGGTTGTATAATTAGTGTTTTTGGGGATCATGGGAAAAGTGTGAAATAATTGTTGTTTAGACCGTTTAACCCATTTTTTTTCAGATTTATGCCTGCATGATGGTGTTCTTCTTCAGCAATATGATTGAAAACCAGTTAATGTCAACAGGAGCATTTGAAATAACGTTAAATGGTGAGTATTTCCTTCACATCATGATCTCCGTGAATAATCCCAGTTGAATTGGACCCGAGTTGTAGAGGAAAAACACAAAAAGATCTTTTGAACGATAGAAAAAATTTTTTATTGTATACATCTTCTTTCGTAGATGTACCAGTCTGGTCAAAGCTGGAGTCGGGTCACCTGCCTTCCATGCAACAGCTTGTGCAAATCCTCGACAACGAGATGAAGATGAACGTTCACATGAATACAAGACCACACCCCCACTCCTAACCCTACTTTTTAAATCCCTGGCTGGAGCTGAAAGCCCCTCCATGTGAGTAGAGATCATATTAGTGGACCACCAGTAGACATATTTATTTCATGATGACTCTCTCACTGTCTAGGTTTGAGGTGGGTTTCTCTCGGGCTGTGAAGTGATGTTTATGAACGTCTGGGCTGAAAGCAGGAAGACTGCTAGCACAGACGGGATGCCCCCCATCACTCTTCACTGCGCTCCGAAGAGATGTCCTGCCCCTGACGCCAGAGCGGGATCCATGGCAACAGTTTTAGCCAATCTGATCTTTTCTTGTACTATCTATACTACTGCTGATTTCATCCGGACAATCTAGTAAGAAGAGATTTAACATTGGTTGTTGTAGTCATTAACTTGTTGCATATATTTCATGTATGTGAATTAAATAATAAAAAAGAAATGTTGTCATTTGTACCAATGAGCCATACGTAGAATTTTAAGTTAAATTAAAAAAAAAAGTAGGTTAAGTGTAGAATACCCATCATGTAAGATCTGTTATCATTGTGAAAATGTTGGTGAAATGTCTTGGAAAGATTTCTGAATAATTTTTATATTTACTTACTTTGGATGAGGCAGATTAATAAAACAAATTATAACGACGTGACTGAGTCTGTTTTGGAGTGTTCTAATGAATAAGGAGCAAAGGTTCTAAGTGGACCAACTTGTCTCTATGGTTTTAACTTTGGGCCTTTAAATTTCAACAAGGAGTTTTTATTTTACTGGAACACATACGTACCCATGCTGAAGTTTGCCTGTTGTCCATTCACCAATAAGAAGACAAACACTTTTTTATTCCGCAGGATTCCAACACCAGCGTTTTATGGGCAGGAAAATGGTGAAAGTGTAAAGCTCTCAGCTCCAGTCCCACAGGAAGTTTCTGGTTCCTGCGTTAGTCAAACACTTACCAATGTAGCATAAATTCACACAAACACTTCACATATCTTCAGTGGAGCAGTAGCTGTATAGATATTCTAGGGTGTTGGCTAGGGGCGACGGTGGCACAGGAGTTAAGTGCTCGCCCCGTAATCGGAAGGTTGCAGGTTTGAGCCCCGCTCAGTCTGTCGCTGTCGTTGTGTCCTTGGGCAAGACACTTAACCCACGTTGCCTGCTGGTGGTGGTCGGAGGGACTGGTGGCGCCAGTACTGGGCAGCCTCGCCTCTGTCAGTGCACCCCAGGGCAGCTGTGGCTACATCGCAGCTCATCCCCACCAGTGTGTGAATGGGTGAATGACTGTGTTGTAAAGCGCCTTGAGAGGTTCCATGACGCTAGAAGGCGCTATATCAAATACAGGCGATTTACCATTTAAAAGAAATTACTACTGTATTTTGTTTGCAATGACATATTGCCCCCAATCAGACTGGAGCACAGCTCGAAGTAGCTTGCAAAGGACATAAACACATCAGTTACAATGCAGACCACCATTTTATTTGGTTTTTTTTTCAGTGACCATAGCAAGAGGATAAATCAAGCCTGAGGGATGACTATAAACACGGTCATAAGGACCGCAACATCCACTGTAAAGTATTTAGAACTCTATTTGTCAACTTTTTAAAATAAAAAGACCCAAATGCAATTTTTTTTGTCAAATAAAGAATGTCATGTTACGATCAGAACACGTGTGAGGTTTTAACTCAAGTGTTTTAATTGTCTAAACTAAAAACAACTAAACTGACTTTCTGCAATTCACTCCCTTCTCATATTTCAGGGGAAAAACTTTTATTGCTCATGTTTGTAGTTTTATCTAATTAAATTATATGACCACAGGGGGGCAGTGTTGATACTTTTAAAACACTGATATTTGATTTCCTCCCATTTTAAACTTCAGGCGAAGAAGTATTTACAACATTGTTTGTCAAACTGTTCTAAATAAATTCTAGTGGAGGATCATATCATTCCTGCATCCTCATTCATTAGCTGATAAATAGTTATAATAAACACTTTTAAATACAACTTCAGACATCTACTTTAAAATATTAAAGTTCAACTTTTGACTGTTACATGCTTATTAAAAATAATTTATAGGCCAACTTATATTTTTTTTAATTGAGTGGTAAAAGGATCTTGAGGTCTTTCGTTTTTGCGAAAAACCAACTTTTGTTTGTGTAAAATTTGTTTTCAAATACATATGAATTTATAGACTAGATTTAAATTATAAGAAATAAAAAGTTATGGAAACATAAACCCAGTTTATTAAATAGATCTATGTGTGCTTTTAGTTCATATCACAGCATTAACATGATAATTTGCATTGTTTTTTTATTAGCTGTTTTTTGACTTAGGTTATTTATGTTATTATTTTATTTAAAGATTTTAATAATCTTTTAAATGAATAAACACTGAAAAAAAATTCTGACCACAAGTCGTCCCGCACGTAATTGTGCACAGGTGCAACCAGTAATAGTAATTACCAATCAATTTCTTTGCCGGCATTTGATTGGTTACCGCGGCACCTGCTTCCTTGATTGCAGAAAACGGGACCGTTAAATACTCGCAGCAAACGACTGAAGGGCAGTACTACTTTCCCAGATATTCCACAGCGACATCATGGGTAAAGACAGAAGGAAGAGTACCACTGGCTGCTTGGCTGCAGCTTTTATTCTTGGATGTTACTTGGTGCAAATGGCAGATTGCCTTCGACTGACAAAAAGCGAGAGACTATCAGCGCGAAAACAGTCTGATGTGACCTCCAAGATTGGCGTTCAGGAGGGCTCCATTGTGTTCGGGGAAGATTTTGAGAAGGAGTTGCAAGACACAGATGGAATCAAGAAAGCCTCTTCCAATGCTTCTGTGGAGGATGAATCAAATTATCAAGCAGATTTTGCAGGTAAGTAATTTCATTTTTAGGCTTTAAATCTTCAATGATAAATTCTTAAGTTAAGTAAATAAAATTCCTTCATTGGCCATCAAAATCTCATTCTGACAGGATGGACCAAGCCAGAAATTGACGATCCTTATAAAGAGAAATGGAACCGCATGGCAACATCTCTACACTGTTTTAAGGACTACATGAAGTTTAGATCACTTGGACCAGGGGCATCTCAGCTCTCTGTGGATCAAGGTAAACTGAAATGGGTCACTGAATTTACTGATCAATTGCACAAGCTCCATGGATTGCATTTGTGATTTTCATTGCAGGAAATGAACCTCCAATGCCTTTATCTATGGTGCCCTCAAAGTGTGGCTACAAAATGCAAGGAAACCCTATGGCATTTGTCATGATGGTTCCATATGATGGCTGCAACATGATTCAGCAGGTAACTGGTTACTTTGTGTGTATAACTGACTTTAGGTTTGGGGAGGGGGAAAACTAAAAGCATGCTAACTGCCTGTATTCTTGTTTCCTAGGGTGACAAATACAGGCTACCACTGCGTTGGCATGGAAATCGAGTCTCTCTTTTGTGCCCCAAACGTCTACAGAAATATCAGTGGCTGCAGGACCTAAGGGTGCCCCAGAATCATCAGTTGCTCCAGGACCCACAGGAGCCCCAAGTACCGCAGGAGCCCCAGTACCCACAGGGGCCCCAGTATCCAGAGGTGCCTCAACCACCGCAGTACCCACAGGAGCCCCAGTATCCAGAGGTGCCTCAACCACCGCAGTGGCCCCAGTACCTGCAGTGGCCCCAACCACCACAGGAGCCCCAGTATCCTCAGGTGCCCCAACCACCGCAGTGGCCCCAGTATCCACAGGTGCCTCAACCACCGCAGTACTCACAGGAGCCCCAGTATCCACAGGTGCCTCAATCACTGCAGTGGCCCCAGTACCTGCAGTGGCCCCAACCACCACAGGGGCCCCAGTACCCACAGGTTTCTCAGTATGTCATGTTGCCTTGGTATCTCCAAAAGCCACAGGACTCCCAGGATCCCCAGCTGCTCAATGACCCTCAATTGCCCCAGAATCCACAGATGCCCAAAGACCCTCAAATGCCCCTGTACCCGCAGATGCCCCAGTATTCTCTGCCTCCTCTGCCCTGGTATCTCCAGAAGCCAAAGGAGCCCTCTGTAACTCAAGCTCCCCAGGAAATGCAGGAGTCTGTTTATTCAGACCCGCTGTTGGCATATCTGTTCTCACTGGCAGCAGCTCAAGCATCAAATTCTCAAAATCCCTCTTTTCCTCAGCAATTTTCTTATCCCGTTCCCATTGCAACCAGACCTCCAACCACATCTGCACCTACAGTTGCCAGTATCTCCCAGGGCCCGTTTGACTCATACTTTCCTTGGCTATTTGGGTATCAGTTTCCAAACATGCCTCCCTTTTTCCCTCCAATTCCTCAGTATCCTAATCCCACACCTGCATATCCTAACCCCACACCTGTTTATCCAAGTCCTACACCAGGAAACCAAGTAACTCCCACTCCACAGTACCCAGATGTGAAGACAACCGCACCTCCTACAACTACTCAGACTCCGACAGCCTATCCTGTACAATTTTATCCACCTGAGTATCTGCCTTTTCTTCCAAATGGAAAGAACATCCCTAGTTGGGCTTTCTCCTTTCAAGATTGATATTCAATAAAATGTTTAAATTAAAGCTTTTGGTCTTTTCTGAAAGGTTAGATTCTGGTGTTTGAAATTTGCATTCCATGTGACGTGAATGTTGAATGGAAGTGGAATATTCAACAGAGTAGCCACAATTAAGACTGTAAAACCTGCTAAATTACCCTCTAGGTATAAATTTGATTTAAATAAGCTATTTAAAGGCTTTACTTAATCTGTAAGTATTACCATATCTGAGCTATGGTTTGGGTAACCCTTACTAAGAAGCTTACAACCATTTTGTGTGTATCTAAGAATGTTACCTGGTCAGTACAAAAGTAGGGGCTTAAAGGCAAATAAAAATAGACATAAAATGTGCCATGTTATGGACATTTACTTGACCTTCCGTAGAATCTCACCCTTCTGTGTAATCCAGTTCGAATAGGCTGAAATTGCTGGGATCTACACATTTTTCCTAACTTTGGATATTTAGACTGCTTTAAGACTGTCTAATATTTTAAGATTATTCTGATTACATTGCCCATACAAGACTTAATCTGTAAACAAAACTTCACTGTGGAATGCATTATGATTACATAGATGCTGTTAAACCATCCCCATCTATTAAGTTTAATTTGGAATAGTATGATCAAATAGTTTGAGGATGGCCCATTCACAAAGTTTGCTGATTCAGGATTTTTCTGTTTTATTTCCACAATATGTCAGTCTGAAAACGTTGGACATTTCTGGTCTCTGACATGATTATGTGCAAATGTAAAATATTCCTGCTGGTGCTCATTTCCCAAGTTGCTGCCCTGTCAGTCACCTGATCTAAATGACATTGAATTAGCCTCTGAGAACACAGTAATGAGCATTTATTTATGACCAGGACATATTAAAATTTCACATGAAAAATAAGACTTGACCACTGTAATTGTTTACTATCAGGAAGTCAAAATTTAATTAAAGCTAATCGGCTAGTTCAAAATGCTACAGCTAGAGCTCTGATGAAAAAAAATAGAGATCACAACTCCTTACACTGCTTCCCTACAATGGCTGCCTATGAAATTCAAAATTTTAAGATCCTCTTCTCACATGAAGCTGTTAATCAGGCTCCATCATACATGAAGATCAGATTCTTCTGTATGTTCCTTACAGAGCAATTTGCTTTCACTTTACTGGTGTTCCTAAAAGTAGGATGAGAGACTGATCTTTTAGTTATCAGGCTCCTCTCCTGTGAGACCAGCTCCCAGCTTTAAGCCTTACCCCGGGTTTCCACGGGAGCCGTCAGCAGCACGTTACTGCAGCAGCACGTCTTGCTCGCGTAAGCTGCTGCTTGGCCCTTCCCACGAGACGCGAAGCAGCAGGGGAGCAGCTGTCACCGACAGAGCACAAAGTCACACGATTGACTTCGTCAGTAAACACAACAACAAGCAGGAGAAAACTACAACATGGCTCCAAAATGTTTGTGTTTTATGTTCTGTCCGTTTTATAATCGCCAATATGGACCTGAAAAACAAAGGAGACCGCTAGCTAGGTGATAACTTCTCACGGGACCGCACTGTTAGTAACTTTTTTTAAAAGTAAAGCAACCGGAAGGCAGCACGTTCTTTATTCTGAAAATCTCGGTAGCTTCTCTCCATTTCCGCGTCCGATTTCCTGTCTTTCCTTCCCCAAAAATGTCGAACTTGACCCGTTTCAGAGGCGTCGCGCGTAGAAAATAGAACCGGCGCTTAAAAGGCCGCGACTTGCTGCTCCCGAGACGCGGCCGACTCGCGCTGCTGACGGCTGCCGACGGCTCCAGTGGAAAAGATTCTGTTGACCACAGCGGTTCCTATCAACTGCTATGACGTGCTGCTGCAGTAACGTGCTGCTGACGGCTCCCGTGGAAAGCCGGGGTTACGGGTTTCCACGGGAGCCGTCAGCAGCACGTTACTGCAGCAGCACGTCTAGCTGCTGCTTGGCCCTTCCCACGAGACGCGACGCAGCAGAGGAGCAGCTGTCACCGACAGGGCACGAAGTCACACGAGTGACTTCGTCAGTAAACACAACAACAAGCAGGAGAAAACTACAACATGGCTCCAAAATGTTTGTGTTTTTATATTCTGTCCGTTTTATAATCGCCAATACGGACCTGAAAAACAAAGGAGACCGCTAGCTAGGTGATAACTTCTCACGGGGCCGCACAGTTAGTAACCTTTTTTAAAGTAAAGCGACCGGAAGGCAGTACGTTCTTTATTCTGAAAATCTCGGGAGCTTCTCTCCATTTCCGCGTCCGATTTCCTGTCTTTCCTTCCCCAAAAATGTCGAACTTGACCCGTTTCAGAGGCGTCGCGCGTAGGAAATAGAACCGGCGCGTAAAGGCCGCGACATGCTGCTCCTGAGACGCGGCCGACTCGCGCTGCTGACGGCTCCTGTGGAAAAGGTTCTGTTGACCACAGCCGTTCCTATCAGCAGCTATGACGTGCTGCTGCAGTAACGTGCTGCTGACGGCTGCTGTGGAAAGCCGGGGATAGAACCGGCGCGTAAAGGCCGCGACATGCTGCTCCTGAGACGCGGCCGACTCGCGCTGCTGACGGCTGCTGAGGGCTCCTGTGGAAAAGGTTCTGTTGACCACAGCCGTTCCTATCAGCAGCTATGACGTGCTGCTGCAGTAACCCCGGCTTTCCACAGCAGCCGTCAGCAGCACGTTACTGCAGCAGCACGTCATAGCTGCTGATAGGAACGGCTGTGGTCAACAGAACCTTTTCCACAGGAGCCGTCAGCAGCTGTCAGCAGCGCGAGTCGGCCGCGTCTCAGGAGCAGCATGTCGCGGCCTTTACGCGCAGGTTCTATTTCCTACCCCGGGTTTCCACGGGAGCCGTCAGCAGCACGTTACTGCAGCAGCACGTCTTGCTCGCGTAAGCTGCTGCTTGGCCCTTCCCACGAGACGCGAAGCAGCAGGGGAGCAGCTGTCACCGACCGAGCACGAAGTCACACGAATGACTTCGTCAGTAAACACAACAACAAGCAGGAGAAAACTACAACATGGCTCCAAAATGTTTGTGTTTTTATGTTCTGTCCGTTTTATAATTGCCAATACGGACCTGAAAAACAAAGGAGACCGCTAGCTAGGTGATAACTTCTCACGGGGACGCACAGTTAGTAACCTTTTTTAAAGTAAAGCGACCGGAAGGCAGTACGTTCTTTATTCTGAAAATCTCGGGAGCTTCTCTCCATTTCCGCGTCCGATTTCCTGTCTTTCCTTCCCCAAAAATGTCGAACTTGACCCGTTTCAGAGGCGTCGCGCGTAGGAAATAGAACCGGCGCGTAAAGGCCGCGACATGCTGCTCCTGAGACGCGGCCGACTCGCGCTGCTGACGGCTGCCGACGGCTCCAGTGGAAAAGGTTCTGTTGACCACAGCCGTTCCTATCAGCAGCTATGACGTGCTGCTGCAGTAACGTGCTGCTGACGGCTCCTGTGGAAAGCCGGGGCTACGCGCGACGCCTCTGAAACGGGTCAAGTTCGACATTTTTGGGGAAGGAAAGACAGGAAATCGGACGCGGAAATGGAGAGAAGCTCCCGAAATTTTCAGAATAAAGAACGTACTGCCTTCCGGTCGCTTTACTTTAAAAAAGGTTACTAACTGTGCGTCCCCGTGAGAAGTCATCACCTAGCTAGCGGTCTCCTTTGTTTTTCAGGTCCGTATCGGCGATTATAAAACGGACAGAATATAAAAACACAAACATTTTGGAGCCATGTTGTAGTTTTCTCCTGCTTGTTGTTGTGTTTACTGACGAAGTCACTCGTGTGACTTCGTGCCCTGTCGGTGACAGCTGCTCCTCTGCTGCGTCGCGTCTCGTGGGAAGGGCCAAGCAGCAGCTAGACGTGCTGCTGCAGTAACGTGCTGCTGACGGCTCCCGTGGAAACCCGGGGTAACGTGCTGCTCACGGATGCTGTGGAAAGCCGGGGTTAGTCATGCTTCTCCATCAGCTCCAAAAGGGAGAGACACGCACGCACAAACGGAGATGTTTTGCCCTCATACTTCTCCGTCTCCTGGGGAGCGTTGCAAAGCAATTCTCCGCCAGGACAACAGAGGGCGTAGCGCTGTTCTGTGGTATCCTGTCATGTATCTAGTCCAAGATAGTGTGTTTATATTGTGTTTTTTGTATATAAGAGACTTTTTAACAGACAAATTTGTCTCTCATCCTCCACCTCTTCATGCGCTCGCCGCCTCTAAACCCACGTTTCCTGTCATTTCCGTCCACAAATAAAACGCTTGTTGCGTATCTTTTCACTCCTCCAGTCATGGGTGAATTAAACGTTCATGTTTTTAGAGTTTTTTTCGCGGGGGTATTCTTCAAGATGCTCCGTGTCTGCCGCTAGTCATCCTTGGCTCTCTTTATATTTTTGAGGGCGCAATGGCGGCGGTGTAGACGACAGCGGCGTCCTGACCAATCACAAGCTTGAGTTGTCCGTCTCGATAGACGGATGTTTAGAAAAGAGAGCTCAACTCCGTCCGTCCTGCGGAGCTCTCCAGCAGGCCCGCAAGGACGGATAATGGCGTTGCGTGTCTCCACACTGACGCAGACGGAGAAGCATGAATCAGGCTTAAGTAATACATTTAAAGCAACACTAAATAATTAGTAACAAATTTAGCTATTGCTTTCATTGTGGTTTCAGTGATTCTTCAGGTAGAAACTTTACCAACTTCAGATTTGTCAACACTCTGCTGACCAGAAACTGCACTTAACAACGAGAGGTCAGTCACTAGTGTGATTTAGGGGAACTGTAAGTGTTTAAGTAAGCCTTGATTATGTCAAATAAGGATGGTAAAAAAATAAAGAGGGTCGCCCCTGGTCTGAAGTTATTCTAAGGTATAAAACCAAACTTGAGCTGGTGGGACTATTGACTTTAGAGTTGGTAGGATGGCTACAGACCTCCAGACAGCCAGTGGTGAGTTCTGTGGCATTCAGGACAGGATCAAACAGAGTTTTGACGAACCCCATGACGGTGATTGAACTAGCAAGCTGAAACCAAATCAAGTTTGGTGAATTTTGAAAAGTATCCATCCCATAAACACCCCATTGAACGTAGAGGGGGATCCTAACTACAGTACATAGAGAGAATTTGTACTTTTTGTAATTTATCTGGTCTTAGTTAAAGGGGGTAGGTCATATAAGATTTTTTCTTCTTCCTCCCCCTATTTCACTCGAATGCTTACATTCTGGTTGGCAATTGTATTCTGATTTGAAGTTTGTATATTTAAATTTTGAGTGAAATAAAATTATTGAATTGAAATTGAATTAAATAACACCAGACAAATGCCACAGTGTAGAAACAGAGTACAAGCATGAGGGAAGCGCACAAAAAGAGTGCAGCAGAAAAAAGGAGGTGCAGGAAGGACCTAGAATAGGAGGTGTTCTCTGAAGAGCTGAGTCTTCAAGGGTTTCTTATAGATAAACAGGGACATCCTCGTTCTGGTAGCACCCAGAAGGTCATTCCACCATCATAGGACAACACAGGACAAGAGTCTGGATGGTCTTAAGCCAGGTAGAGACCCTGTTAGCCCACAGTCCTTTGATGACTGGAGTTACTGACGTGTATAATTCTGTAATTGTGACATGTTTTTTTACAGCTTTTGGTACATTTTGCTGCTCTGAAAACATTTATTGGAGTAAAGAGTAAAATAATTCTTCTACGGGTCAAGACTGCAGACCTGAGACTTCTGAAGACTAAGTTTCTAAATAGTATGTTTTTAGATTAAATGTGGTGGTTACTGCTGCATAAGACAGAATCTGTTAGCACAATGTTAAAAAGTATACATGAATGAAAATAATTTATACCAATGAATAAATAAACAAATAAAATGAATCAGAATTTAAACAAATGAAAACATGTTGTTATTTGTGTTCCTCCTTTCACTTGTGCGCTGACATCTGAATAAAGGTAGCCATGTTTTTGTTTTCCTGTTTATATTAAATCTATATGAAATTTAGACCACGTGCTTTTAATTATAGCGCATTTTCAGTATCCATGAGGTGAAAACTAGAATCTGACACCTACAACTCTTCCTGTTGTGGTCTTATTGAACACAGGTGCTAGGCTGTAGCTGCACTGATTGTTTTCACCCTCATCAGATTCACCTGGTGAGCTGGTGGCTGCAGTATTTAAACATGTAGGCGTGCTGCTTAAGTTGTCCTGGGTTGCTGAGCCATGATGGAAGGGGGAGCGAGGAGTAGAACATGGCGACTTATTGCAGCTGTGGTGTTCCTTTGCTCTTTAGTCCTAAGTTTGACCTATTTTAGCTTCAGGGAACGGTTCAGATCAGTGGAACGAGATGAAAATATCAGTGAAACCGTTCCTTTGGAACTAATGAAAGGAAGTGTTTTCTTTAATGGGGAGGAGCTCGTAGAAAATGAGTTATTGGCTTCCTCAACCCAGTCTGGTCACAAAGGTAAGACGCTGCCTTTTGGCTATCACTTTGTAGGTAAATTAGGACCAAAATGCTTAATGTTGCAATCTCATTTAATTTTTTTGCTTTTATTTCTGAAGAGATGGAGGATGATGTTGCTGTAGCAGACTGGAGACTACTGAATGCTTCGCTCCATTGTGGGCGTGATGAGTTCAGGTTTAAAGCCGTTGGACCTGATGCTGCTGATCTGACACTGGAAATGAGTAGGAAACATGTTTACGTTACTCGGTCATGTGACTCATTGGAATTTTTATTTAATTTTTTTTCCTCACCAGGTAATTCAGACCGTCTGCCTCTAACCCAGGTGCCTGGAGCATGTGGTTTTTCAGTGACGCAGACTGCGCTAGGACTTGTTTTACATGTTCCCTTTGATGGCTGCAGTGTGAGGAAAGCGGTAAGTTTTGGTTCTAATTATACTTCTAAACACCTGTTGGTGCTTGTGACCTTTTCATAAAGTGCACACTTCACTCTTGGTTTTCTGCTTTTTTAATTTTTTTTTTCAGAATGAGATGTATGTTTTGACATTGAGATGGAGGGAGAATGCAGTTAGTTTAACCTGCGCTGCGTTGGCAAGTTCTGAAGAAATCACTGCTACTTCCCAGTCTCTGCAACAGCCAGAAGGAAGCGCTTCATCTGAGCCACAGAGCCGTCCTAGACGACATTTAAGATGGCAGAATTTTTATTCTCCCTGTTCTCAACATCGCTCATTTCCTCTGTGTTGGCGCACCACTACCCCACCCACTACCACTACCACTACAGCTGCACCAGCCATGCCTGCTATTCTATCACCTCAGCTCTTAAGCAGGTTTCTTCGTCTTTACCCCATCTATGAGCAATACCTTCAGAACCACCCACAAGTGAAGCTACACTTAAATGCTCACAAGCATCCCGGGTGGCAAATGTATAAAAAAATGACTGCGAGGCAGAAGCCGCAGCACCTCTATCCCGATCCCCTCCAGTTTATACTAAAACAGCATTTCCAGTTCACTACCACGGACCCTGCTACGACTACAGTGAGGACGACCACGCCATGCGGCAAAACCACGACGCCCAGTGGCCTCGACTGTCCCGGCTCGCAGAGATGGTTTTTTCCATTCCGCAAACACAATTTCAGCCCAAGGGTTTCATTTAATAGCAATGACCTGTCGTCCTCGCTGGACGGAGGATATGACACAAGACGATATGATACAAGAGATCAGGTGACTCCAGACTCTTTATGGGAGTCGTTTCCCTTGATGCACTAAACTGATGAAGAGGATACTTGGTTTGACGAGGATTGGCTGGATGGCTGAATATGATGTTTTAGAGTCATGTCTTAATTCAGAATTTAATAAAAGGGTTGGATCTCAACTTTTTTGTTGTTGTTGGTTCTGTTGTATTAGGAATTTAAAAAATGCTTTTCATGAGCATGAAAATAGAGCATGGCACTTATTTCAGCTGCTGGATAATTAAGTTCCACAGTTTTAATGAAGTAAAGTCTTGAGCAAAACATGGAATTAGGAGAATTTTCTGAATATTGCAAAGCACTCTAAAAACACACACACACTCTGCCTGTAGGTTTTTTTTTTCCTTTATACTCATTCTGTCCCAATATTCTGCATGGCGCCTTCTCCCTTAAAGTCCTTTGCTGCTGCGTGCACACTGGAAACGCATGACTGAAACTAAGCCACATGTGACCTGATCCAAGATCATTCTCAAAGCTGTATACATTCTGTCAAGTTTGGAGTAATCTGGATTTTTCTGATCTGCTCAACGGACCAAGAATTTGATGTCCTGTGGAGTTATACCGCAGTTATGTTTTCTGACTTTTTGGCACATTAAAGGTCTGTGTTTAAATTTTTAAAATTAAGGAGATGGTACTAATGGCTGCTTTATGTAGACAAAGATCCTGTTTTCAGAGTATAAACATTATTTTAATCAGTCAACCTTATATTTTCAATCCAATCCAGTCTGCCTTTAAAGGACTATGATGTGGAAATGGATGAGGAAGATGAACACATGTTTGCCACAGGGACCACGCCAGGCCACTCACTGGTGGGAGGACTGCGACTGCAGCGGGACCGTACACAAGAGTGGGAGGCTGTGTGGTGAAGGGTCGCTGCTGGGCCGAGGACCTCCGGGATATCTTGACCTCACAATCTGAAGAGTGTTGCAGCAAAAGGCGAACCAGGTGGTCCAGCGTCTCTGAGTTTGGTTTGCGAAGGAAGAATCCTGGTGCAAGGTTTGCATTGTGACTAAAAGTGCATCAAATGAAATATTGTAAATAAATCCATGGGGCTGTGTAGATTGTTTACACTAGTTCAGCCACTGCATTCTTTTGGAGTGTTTTTTTTTTTTGTTACGGATGAAAGATGACTCGGTGTTACGTAGTCTAAGCAGCCCACGGTGACACAGCACTCTGGGAGATGTGTGAATCTGAGTGTGGGCCCAGGAACAGCATGCTCCCTTTGTTTCCTTCTACGGCTGACGAGACAGAGAAGCTTCTACACCTCACTTGTGTTTTTTGTTTGCCCTTCCTCTGTTACAATCTCTGTTTCAAGACTATTTTTTTTGCCCACCACATCCTGATCTACCAGTGACCACTATAAGTCCTCTTCAGCACAGCTACAAGGTTCTTCCCACTTTTACAACAGACTTTTTAGCATTTTCAGCATCATTTGTCTTTTTCTATTAAAGAAAAAAACGTGTGATAGAAAGCAGAGATGAAGATGGAGGCTAAGATAAAACAGGAAAACGGTCTCTTCTTCCATTTCTCACTACTGCCCTGCTTCCATCTCTTTCCTTATTTTCACCCCTCCTCCTCCTTTCCATTTCTCCTCTCCTCTCATCACCCCTCCCCTCCCCGTTTCCTCCCTTCCACCCTCACTATTCCTCTCCTGCATGGACCTGCAGTGTGCGCGAGTGTCTCCTGTAGCTTCACTGCAGTGTAGAGGAAGGCAGGACGGCTTTAGTACGATGCAGTAAAAGGATGGTGCACCAGGAGAAACGTGTTTACCAGGTGTGTGGGACTTTTTGTGTTAGCGTCTGGCTCTGAGGGTGTGAGATTCACAGGTATGGACGTCTATTACGGGAGCGCCGTTGTGGATGTCAGCCATTCTGGATGTGTGAGAGTGGGTGTGTTCATGTGGGAATCTGTTGTGTTTCTCATGTGATTTCTTCCATGAGATTAGGTTTTGTCAAAGCTGGGATTTACACGTTTTATCCACATTATTCATGAGGTGTAAATGTGTGTTAAGCGGCTTGGTGGGTTGAAATGGGTGAGAAGAAGCCCGATGCTTGGTTTGGAGAGTGAAAGCTATTGCTTCGTTTTTGCTTTGACGTCACAGCCTCATCTGATAATGCGTCACAAGAAACGAGGTTGCACATTAATATGCATGAGTGTGTCCTGGATCTGTTTTTAGATCACAGAGCACAGGGAGAGAAACCCATTTGGAGAGGAAGGGGTTATCTGTAAATGTGTTAAAAGTGGCCTTGATGCATAAAACAAAAATCTTGTGCTGAATCATTGTGTTTGACATCATCCATGAAGTTAATGGTAATCCAAGTGAAGGGATGTTAAATCTGGCGACAAAATAACGCTACAGGAAAGGAACAATCTTCAAGTAAGAATGTGCAGAGATTAGGAATGAGAAAAAAGGAATGGAAATGATACCAAAACATTGTTGGTATGAGGATTTTTAAATCAGCAGCAGGAATGACTCATGCTTTATTGTTTTAAATGCTATACTTTAAACTTCATGCCGTTTATAATGTATTATTTTCTAGATTTCCTCGTGTATTTAGTTTGTATCGTGCATATTTATTTTTCCTGATAATTTCCAGCTGTTCATTTTGAAATGAAAAGAAAAAAGTAAAAGATAATTTAAAAAAAAATTGTTTTAGAAAATTAAATATATAATATAATGAACAAATAATAGTGGCTTAAAATTGTTACTTACATTCAAATGTTATAAAAAACAATGAAACAAATACAAAAACAAATTGTAATATATATACAGAATGAAATGCTTAATTCATCCATTTTCTTGGTAAATGGCCTGCATTTGATATAGCGCCTTCTAGAGTCATGGAACCCCCCAAGGCGCTTTACAACACAATCAGTCATTCACCCATTCACACACACATTCACACACTGGTGGGGATGAGCTACGATGTAGCCACAGCTGCCCTGGGGCACAATGACAGAGACAAGGCTGCCGAGCACTGGCGCTACCGGTCCCTCCGACCACCACCAGCAGGCAACGTGGGTTAAGTGTCTTGCCCAAGGACACAACAGCGACAGACTGAGCGGGGCTTGAACCTGCAACCTTCCAATTACAGGGCGAGCACTTAATTCCTGTGCCACCGTCGCCCCCTTTTCTTTACGTCCTTATTCGCGGGGGCTTGTGGGGGGAGGGGGGGAGGGGTGCCTATCTCCAACAATCTCTGGGCAAGCAGGTGGGGTACATCCTAGTCAGGTTATCAGTCCATCGCAGGGCATCACAGAGACACACAGGACATTAATTTAAACACACACACACACACACACACACACACACACACACACACACACACACACACACACACACACACACACACACACACACACACACACACACACACACACACACACACACACACACACACACACACACACACACACACACACACAAACCTAAGGACAAGTTAAAGTTACCAATTAACCTGACAGTTATATTTTTTGGACTGTGGGAGGAAGCCGGAGTACCCGGAGAGAACTCACGAGTGCACATGAAGAACAGGAAAACTCCTTGCAGACAGAGCCCAGGCCAAGATGTGAATCCAGAACCTTCTTGCTGCAAGGGAACAGCACTAACCACTACACCACTGTGCAACCCTCTAATTTCTTGTTTATTTTAAAATTCAGAAATTTGACTCCCATTGTCAGGGCTGATTTGAAATTAGTTTTCCTCAAACAGTTCAAGCAGATGAGACGGGAGATAAAACAATAAGTACTCAAATTCATAATAAATGTGTCATCAGTATCAGCCTCTTGGCCAGATCGTCATTGTAAATGAGAATAAGTTTTCAATCGACTCATCTGGTGAAATAAAGAAATAAAGTAAATCAGCATGTTATATTTTAATAAATGTTTTTCATGCATGTCTTTGAATCTTCATGAGTAAAATAAAAGCCTACATTTTTATTTTAAAACCTAAGATCTCACACTGTTGTCATACAAATGCAGATTGCACTATTGACTCAGCTAAGTCACTTGTATTGTTAATACTTAATCATCTGATCAGAGGGGGCAGTAGAAGAGCTTCAAGTGTATTAATATTCACTATACACATGTATGTGTCCCAATTTCTGGTAGGCTCAGAGGAATGAGAGGGAGTCGATCAGGCAGAAACTTGCCCTTGGCAGTTTCTATGACGACGAGCCTGTCATCTACACCAGCTGCAGCAAGAATGGCCCATCCTCCTGGTTGGTTTTTCTGTGTGTGTGTGTGTGTGTGTGTGTGTGTGAGAGAGAGAGATGGGGTTGTTATAACCTCTTCTTTTTACTGACACAAATATTGTTGTACTGAAAACTCAGCAAGCAGCTGCTGTAGGTGGGTTTTATTTTTAGATGGACAACATGAAAGATTTTCTTGTTTAAAAGAATATTTCAGATTAACTTACCTTCTTTCACGAAAGAGGGCTGTTATAATTATAAGGTTTTTCCACATCTAAGAGTAACTTACTTATTTTTTTCCTTAAAGAAAAAATAACTAATGAAATAATATTTTTCCTGATCAAATTTAGTGGTTTTCTTGTTTTAAATCAACCTGCTATATTTCATTGAAACCCATGCTAACAAAACAAAACAAAAAAAGTTCTCTTTTGCTATGATGCTTGATTTTCAGAGAACAGTTTGGAAATAAGCTGTTAAAAAGATGAATGAAAACCTGGAAGTCTTTTAAAATGAGAAAGAATTTTGAGTTTACTTAGTGATATGACAAACAGAAAGTGAAAGGCTTCTAGGAAGTGTTGGTTCCTTGTTTAAAGTGAGTCCCAAAAGAGTTGACATTTCACAGAAACAATAATAAAAAAAAACAGCAGAATAACAAAGAAACAGGTCTGGAATGAATAAATCCCAGGCTCAGGGATTAACCCCACACTGCTGAGAGTTAACTGTCTGCATGCAAAGGGATTCGCAAGAAAAGGAGTTTTCATTTTCGTTGTTTTTGTTTTGCTTCTTGTCTTGTTGATGGTATAACTTATTTTGAAAACTGCGCTGTTTTGCAGGTTTGCCCCAACTTCTAATTACAGTAGATTTGAAGGCCGCACTTCAATGATCGACTTTGTTGTCATCTGATCTGATCCGCGACTGCATGTCTTGGACACTCGGGTGAAGAGAAGGGCAGAACTGATGGTGGGGGAGGAGGCCGGTCACACCTGGCAGGCCCAAACATATTGTGGGGGTCTGCTGGGAACGTCTGGCGGAGTCTCCTGTCAGAAGGCGCTGTAATTCCCACCATCGACAGAATTTCGGACACGTCCCAGAGGAGGCGGGGGACATTGAGTCTGAGTGAGTCATGTTTCGTGCTTCCATTATCAAGGCAGCAGACCGGAGCTGCATCCGCTGGGTCATTGGTGCCTGTCGTGGCAGCAACCCCCATACCTGCTGGCGGACACCAGTGGTTAGGGATGCTGTCAAGCTGAAGAAAAAGTCCTATTGGTCCTTTTGGCCTGTGATACTCCAGAGGTAGCTGATGGGTGCTGGCGGCCTAAGCAAAATGCGGTTCTGGTAGTCGCAGATGCAAAACTCCTGGCATGGGAGGAGTTTAGTGAGACCATGGAGCAAGACTGATGTATAGCTTTGAGGAGATTGTGGTCCACCATCCAGCACCTCAGGAGGGGAAAGCAGTGCGCGACCAACACTTAATAGTGGGGACAATGTGCTGCTTACCTTGACTCAAAATGTTGTGGATCAGTCACACCGGCACGTCTTCCAGTGTGGAAGTGGAGATCCGGGTGGTGGTCCCTCTATTTAAAAAGGGGGATCGCAAGGTGTGTTTAAACTACAGGAAGATCACATTCCAGAGCCTCCCTGGTAAAGTCTATTAGGGGTTCTGGAGAGGAAGGTCCGTCAGATTGCTGAACCATGGATTGAGGAGGAGTAATGTGGTTTTTGTCATGGACATGGAGTGCTAGACTAGCTCTTGGCACAGCCAATGTGCAGATGATGTGCTCCTGTTGGCTTCATCAGAACATTATCTCCAGCTTTCCGCTTCCGGTCGCTAACAAGATGGCACCTGTGCTTGGCTTAGCCGCAGTCACCAGCCACTTTTTCAAACTTTTCTCCACTAACCTCCTCTTTTCCACCTTGCTCCAGTCTGCGATCCTCTTCAGGAGTGTCCCTGCTACCATCCCCTATGATCGCCAGACTCTTTTGTCCTTCCGTTCGTTCACAATCGCCCAAGATGCACCAAGGACGTACCTCCCTGTTTGTTTATCTGAGTGGCGCACTGACCCGGAGCCAAACGACGATTCCAACCAGGGCGCCTCCAGCGATGTTTATCCGGTCCCGGGAAAACGTCAAAGGAAAAGAGGTAAGAGAGCAGGAATCCAGGTGAGAATAAGACTTCTCTTAAAGCGTGGTTTATCTGGTAAACATCGGCGTGATCTTCTAGCAGCTTCTTTTCCTTTGTTTGGCGACTTGAGCGCCATTTCCGCATTCCCGCCAGGCCACGTTGCGGCGCGGTTTCTCCTTCCAAGTTTTTTAAGGTCGGTTTATCCTCATTCCTCAGTGGTTTCTCCTCCTGTTCCCTCCATAAGTGGTTTTCAGAAACACCGTGGATCTAACCCTGCTAATTTACGTTCACTAACTCCAGCTGTATCTGTAGTTTCTGATTCCTCCACATCTTGGAAAAGGTTGTGGCTAAACAACTCACAGCTACTCTTGATGAACATAACATCTATGATAGCTTCCAGTCAGGTTTTCGTAGAGCTCATTCTACTGAAACCGCTCTTCTTAAGGTCTCTAATGACCTTCTGACTCACAGTGATGCGGGGGACTGTTCTGTTCTGGTCCTGCTGGACCTGACTGCAGCCTTTGACACTGTTGACCATCACCTGCTACTGGAGAGGCTGAGAGACTGGGTAGGGCTATCAGGAACTGCTCTGGAGTGGTTCTCCTCCTATCTTTCTGAGTGCTGCTTTTCTGTGGCTGTCTCCAAGTTTAGGTCCTCCACCACCTCTCTTACCCATGGTGTCCCACAAGGTTCTGTGCTGGGGCCTCTGCTCTTCCTCCTCTATCTGCTTCCTCTTCAGCACATCCTGAGCTCCTTCAAAGGAGTCTCCTACCATCTTTATGCAGATGACATCCAACTGTACATCTCCTTTAAGCCCCATGAGATGTCTAAGCTGCAGCTGTTACACACCTGCTTAGAGTCTATCAAAACCTGGATGGCTGGGAGCTTTCTTCAGCTGAATGAAGATAAGACTGAGATCCTCATCTGTGCCCCAGACAAGCTGGTTCCCAAAGTCAGAGACTCTCTTGGTCAGCTTGCTTCTCACACCAAACCTTCAGTCAGGAATCTTGTTGTGACCTTTGACCCAGCTCTCACCCTGGATTCTCATGTCAGTTCTCTTGTTCGCTCTTCCTTCTTCCATCTCAAGAACATTGCTAAGCTGAGTCCCATTCTGTCCTGCTCTGAACTTGAGACAGTTATCCACACCTTCATCTCCTCACGCTTAGACTACTGCAACTCTCTTTTCACGTGTCTGAGCAGAACCTCCCTGAACCGTCTACAGCTGGTTCAGAATGCCTGTGCTCAGCTTCTGACCAAGTCCTCCAAACACACCCACATCACCCCGCTACTCCTCCAGCTTCATTGGCTGCCAGTCAACTTCAGGGTTCATTTCAAGATCCTGGTTCTGGTCTGTAGGGCCTTACATGGACAAGCACCATCTTACATTAGTGATCTTCTTAGTTCCTACACCCCCAGCAGGTCCCTGAGGTCCAGTGATACAAGCCTACTGGTTGTGTAGCGCACCAGGCATGTCTTCTCCAGGTTAGGGATCAGGTCCTGTCTCAAGTGGAGACGTTTAAGTATCTCAAGGTCTTGTTCACGAGTCAGGGAAAGATGGAGCAGGAGATAGATAAGCGGGTTGGTGCTGCATCTACGGTGCTGTAGGCGTTGTACTGGTCTGTCGTGGTGAAGAAAGAGCTGAGCCAGAAGGCAAAGCTGTTGATTTACCGATTGATCTTCCAAAGTTCCAATCCCCATGAGTTTTCTCTGCAGGGTATCTGGGCTCTCCATTAGAGAAAAGATGAGAAGCTCAGTCAACTGGGAGAGGCTTGGAGTAGATTCACTGCTCCTCCACATCGAGGAGCCATATGAGGTGGCTTGGGCATCTGGTCAGGATACCTCCCGGACGCCTCCCTGGTAAGGTTTTCCGGACACGTCCAACCGGGAGGAGACCTAAAGGAAGACCCAGGACACACTGGAGGGACTAGGTCTCTCTGGCCAGTGAATGCCTTGGGATTCCCCGGAAGTGCTGGCCTAAGTGGCTGGGGAGAGGGAAGTCTGGGCTTCTCTGCTTAGGCTACTGCCCCTGCGACCCGACTCCAAATATGCAGATTAATATGGATAGATCTGAATGGTTTTTGAGTCTACCAGGTGCCTAAATAGAGAGACATACAGACAGACAGACAATCTTCTCAATCCCCATTACCTGTGTGCACACTAATTGAAGTTCAGAATTAAAAAGTTTGACAAATTCAAATTTCCAGGGCCAACAACTTCTAATCATCAAACATCTCTAAAACCACAAACTGTTCTTCATTTTAGCCTAATTTGAAGTAAAACATGCTGTAGTCTGAGCTGGAAGAGTTACTAATAACTGTCAAAGTTTGAATAAAAAAGGCCATGTTTCTTATTTGTGTGATAATTAGAATTACATTACCAGGATGTCAGATCCATCAATAATTTGTCTGACTTTAGGTTAAAATGCATGATATTGAAAATTATCATAAAACTCTGCTATTTGCAGACGGTCCCTAAAGTAACAAAATGCTGACGTCCAAAAGAATCCCATCAGAATGATTTTCAGAAATCCTTCACAAACTGATCATTTTACCATAAAAATACTGGATCAAATTAAACATGAAGACCACCCCTTCACACACACACACACACACACACACACACACACACACACACACACACACACACACACACACACACACACACACACACACACACACACACACACACACACACACACACACACACACACACACACACACACACACCGATAATAAGAAAAAAATTGGATTCAACATAAATAGTTGTTGTTTTTGAGACAAACATGCAACAGAATAAAAAATGACCTTCAATTACTCTTTGGCCATTTTTTCTTTGATCACAAATAACATTTTTTATACTTTGAACCAAACAAAGGGACTCCCCCACTTGTTAGTAAATGCGGAAGTGCAGCTTCGTCACTGCCTAATAAAAGAAGTGATGCCTGATGTAATCCAATTGGTGGGATTGAGGCACGTGACCTGCGCCGGAGGTTGGGTGGATTGTTCGGGGTTGAGCTTTGCATGGAAATTCCAGCACTGCTGCATTTCACACTTGGGGGGTGAATAAGTAATTGTTCTTTGCTATTTCCTTTAAGTGAGGGTATCATGACGTGGAACTGAATATTGGCGTTTTGAATTTTTGGAAAGGCTGTGGTTAAGAATGCAAAAACTTTCATGTGACTGCTGTGAAGAGAAGGCGGTAATTTATATATATAATGAATTGTTTTAGATCCATTCAGAGTTTCAGATTTGTTTTTCATTTTTCTTTTTTCCCAATTTCCAGCTGATCGAAGGTTGATTTAGTCACAACCCTTGTGCAAAGGAGTTTTTATCATTAATAATAATAATAATAATAATAATAATAATAATAATAATAATAATAATAATAATAGTAGTAGTATGAACAAATAAAACAATAAATCATGGTGTTATCTTAATTTTAAATATGTTTTTCTTGTTTTTTCTTCCTATAATTAACTAATTAATATGCCTAATTATTATAAACACATTTTTACTATCATGTTTTTCTACATAAAGGACTTTCTAGATGCTCCTTTCGTCTGTTTTTCCTCTCAGGAAGCAGAGTGGTGTAAATCTACAGGTGTGCTTTGTTAATGACAGCAGCAGTGACAAAGACAGTGATGCGGAGGACAGCAGGACAGAAACTAGTTTGGACACGCCCCTGTCTCCTGTGGTATGTACCTGTATGCGTGGCTCTTTCTGTCATGCCAGGCAACTTTCATGTGTCATAACCCCAGGAGAATACTACACGCTGACTGCAACATGGCATTTAACCACTTTATTTCCTGCACAGAGCAAACAGAGCTCATCGCTGTCGGACCGTGACACCGCAGAGGAAGACTCTGATCCACTAGATGATTGCAGTGGGTTCTGGAGGGTGCAGAGAAGGCTTCAGGAGGAGGCCCGTGTGGCGCTGGCTCTGGCCCGACCCATGGCCCGCATGCAGGTGGAGGTGGAGAGGCAAATTCAGCTGCACAAGCGTTCTCCTGTGGCTGACCTGGTTAGTCAAAGAGAGAAATCAAGGGATTTGCTTCTTTAATCCCTATTCCGAGTTTTCTACTTGAAGCATCAAAAACAACAATAGTTTGGTTTGATAGCAATTATGCTTTATATGTAATCAAAACTACATTTATTTAATTACCTTTTTTCAGTTTATTTAAAAAAAAACATGTAATACCTCAATTCACAAATCAGTCCGTGGCTAATCACAGCGTGCACCTCCTAAATATTAGTTTAATTTCTTCTGCAGCTAATGTGCAAGTTATATTGTGAGGGATGCATTTTTTGTTTTACTTTTTAGAGAACGTATGACACTGTTCAAAATTTACCAAAAGGTGTTCCACAGGGATGCATCATCGGACCATTAATATCGGACCATTAATATTAAATGTATGCATCGGTGGTCTTCCACCAGCTCTAATTGTGATGTTTAATTGTGCACAGATGATATTGTATGAACATGGTAGCACTATGATACTGAGTCCATGTTGCATGGTTACATGGTTTATCTGTATCGTGTGATACAATGTTTTATTTTCTGGACTTACTGTTTTATGTTTTTATTTGATCAGTGTAGTGCCTTGGTGGCATCTTTTTGCCTGTAAAGCGCGATTTATAAATAAAGTTGAGTTGAGTTGAGTTACATGGTTTTGTATCAGGGGAGAGTCATGGAGTCACAGCTAGATAAGAATATCACAGTGTTTTGTTTTCCCTCTACCTTCAATGTTCAATGTAAACAGGTGTTCCACAGGGTATTTACACTCACCTAAAGGATTATTAGGAACACATACTAATATGACGTTTGACCCCCTTTCACCTATCAGAACTGCCTCAATTCTATGTGGCATTGATTCAGCAAGGTGCTGAAAGCATTCTTTAGAACTGTTGGCCCATATTGATAGGATAGCATCTTGTAGTTGATGGAGATTTGTGGGATGCACATCCAGGGCACGAAGCTCCCATTCCACCACATCCCAAAGATGCTCTATCGGGTTGAGATCTGGTGGCTGTGGGGGCCATTGTAGTACAGTGAACTCATTGTCATGTTCAAGAAACCAATTTGAAATGATTGGAGCTTTATGACATGGTGCATTATCCTGCTGGAAGTAGCCATCAGAGGATGGGTACATGGTGGTCATGAAAGGATGGACATGGTCAGAAACAATGCTCAGGTAGCCTGTGGCATTTAAACGATGCCCAATTGGGACTAACGGGCCTAAAGTGTGCCAAGAAAACATCCCCAACATCCTTAAAAGCTAAGATTGTGAAAGATCCATTTCTAATGGGAAGGGCAAATAAAGTGAAAATGAAATCATTCTAAACTCTCACGGTAAACAACATAAATACATTAGGGACTGATCTAAACAAAAGGCCATTATAGTCTGACTTTGTGTGTGAACCAAGAGAAAGCCCCTGAAACCAGTCAACAACAGAGCAGTGAAATTGTCCCGCCATTGAGGGAAAAGGGGTATTTGCTAAATTAAATCTCCAGTACTCTCAGATGAGTGCTGAACAATGAAAACGCTCACAACCTTTTTGTCCCTTTGCAGTAAATTCCCCATCTCTGTCTGTTCAGCTTCCTCATCTGCCCCACATCAGCGAGGCCTTAATGAAGTGGAACCTGAGGAGAGGGGACATGAGGGACATGAGTCTTGGACAGCTGCAAGTCATCACAAATGATTTACACTCACAGATTCAGAGTGAGTAAAAAAAAAACAACAATATCACAACACTAAATGAGTTCCAGAACCCAGTGCAAATGTTTCACAGAAAAACAAATCCAACTAATACGTGGATTATAATTCCAGGTTTAAATGAGGAGCTGGTGCAGTTGCTGCTGATGAGGGATGAGCTGCATGTCGAGCAAGACGCCATGCTGGTTGACATAGAGGACCTCACCAGGTAAACTACTGTTCCTGCAGCAATTTAACAGATAAAATATTACTAAAAGTATACAGAACCTACTCATTTAAACATTTTCCTATCTTTCCTTTCTCAGGCATGCACACTGCCATCAGCGGGCCCAGACGGAGAAAGCTGTCTCTAAATAAACATGTCCGTCTGCACACCGAGCAACCTCCCATTCCACACTGTGACTAGTGTTGCTGTTAAAACTCTATCCATGCTGACTATTTTTGGGGCACCAAGTACAGCATTAATTAATACACACAAATATATCTATATATTAATGTCACACAGCATGGTATTATCTTGGTAAAATCACTAATTTCAACGCGGATACAAATGAGTCCATACAGGATGTTCATACACACTAAGTAAATGTTTGCACAGTACACTCTTCATGGAAGTTCTTGGGCAAGCCGTCATTCTTATTTCTAGTAGAATAAAAATTAGGATCTCTTAAAAAAATAATAAATAAGATACTTAGCCTGAAAAACTTTGGCTTTCCCTCACAATCTTTATTTGTAGAGTGTAATATTTATTTTATATGCCCTGTGTCAGCACTGTTCCTCACTAGAATCAAATCCACTCAAATCAACTAAAAGCATTAAAATAATCACCACTTTGTTTATAATAATAAAGATTGTTTAAAATAGATAGCAAAAGAAAATGTGAAGGAACCATCTTGATAGAAATATGCAACATAATTTTTATTTGCTTACTGCTTAGCATACGTGTCAAACCAATAGATGAGAGTCTGAGAATAATCTATTTTGTCTGTTTCAAAGGATTTATTGTATGTAAATGTTAAGAGGCACTTTATTAAAAAACGAACAACATGCCTTGATGTGTTTCAGTGTTTTCACTCAGCTTTTTAAGAATGTCAAACCACTCACAGGTGAATCATTTGCTTCATTGAAAACAAATGTATGATGATTGTAAAAACAGATCCAATAATAAATGTTTTAAATATGTGAGAACAAGCTGGAATTTGATTTATTTTATGGTGTTATTGGGTTTTCTTTCAAGAAAATAAATAAAAAAAATAACATATTCATCTCATAGTTGTGAAACAAGTTCACACTCTTTTTTTTTTAAAGAACAGAACTTGAGTTTTCTGGATGTTCACACTGAGGATTGTTGTTAACTCTACACATATTATTTAAAAAAAGGCCCATAAGAATAATCATCATCTTCCACAGAACCAACAAATGTTCTGTTTATCACATTTAAATGGTTGAAATTTGGAGACGTGGTTTGCTTGAAAATACTCCAAATTGTGTTCAAAATCAAAAATTAGCAATTATAGAGCAATATCCAAAAGCTTTTCCAAATCAGGGATGGTAAATTTAGTTTGAGAGGAACAAGCATGTTTGTAAAGCTAAACTGATGCCAAACCTTTTTGTCTTTCAACAAGAGGTGTTATGGATATTGTTATGGAATAACTGTAGTGATGACGCAAATACATGTCAAAATACTGGAAAATTTACAAACAAGATAAAAGAATTGGTAATTTAAACATGTAAATAAATTAATTAGACCTTTAGTGGGCAAAGTGTACACACACACACACACACACACACACACACACACACACACACACACACACACACACACACACACACACACACACACACACGTTGGGGCTAGAAATGATCAATCTCCATCCTAAGTTCTTTTTTAACACTGAAAGATTGAGATAGTTTATTTATTTTTATTTATTTATTTTTCAGTTAAAAAGGGGCAGATATTAGTAAGAGGTTTCCCTTCTTTCTGCTAATTTTCATTATTGGTTGCGAATTTCTGCATGTTTTGTGCTTTCTTTTTTTCTATATTTGAATGAAATAAAGTAGAAAAAAATTGGCCATTTTTTAAAGCAACAAAAAAAATTACACATTGACTATTTTTGAACATTAATAAACAAGATAAATGTTAAACCTTGAATATTTTTAAGAATTTATAAAAAAATAAATGTAAATTTCAGACACGAGTCAGTGACTGAAACATTTAAGTTGAGCCTTGAGATGACTCTTGTCGTGATTTGGCGCTATAGAAATAAACAGAAGTTAATTTAACTTAATTAGACATTTTTATCTAAATTGTGTAATAATATAAATACAGAGAAATTTAAAACAAGTTAAATTTTGAAATTTTATTCTTGTAAAGTTGCCGAAACCAAAAGTTAATATAAAAAGTTAACATTTTACTTTATTATTATTATTATTATTATTATTATTATTGTTATTATCCTACAATAATTCTATCAAAAATTATTGTTATTATCCTACAATAATTCTATCAAAAATTATTGTTATTATCCTACAATAATTCTATCAAAAATTCCCTGAAGTGGCTAATGACAAACAATTGTGCCCAACTAAAGTTAAAAATAACATCAATAACATCCACGCTTCCACTGTACCTTATCTGGAAATGTCAACAGTCATTGATGTGAATCTGCATGGTTAATCCCAGGATAGTCTAGTAACCATTATAATTCCATTTTGGCTGAGTGACTTAATTGTGTCTGAGGGTAGACATTGCATAATAGAAATTTCAGTTTCAGTAAGGAATGAAAATTGTTCAGTACACCAAAAATTCCCTAACCCCTGTTTGAGTATAAAACACTTCAGGATGTTTGAGTTGAATCAGACACACTTGAAAGAATTGGACTCCATTTTTCATCAAGATGCTCCTCATCAAGCTCTGTGAGTTATTTTTACTATAAAATATTGAATTTTTTTGCAAGAAAGTAGTTAAAAGATTTTTCATTTGTAATTTTTAAATTTTTTTTTATGTCAGTCTCTATTTCTGCCTTGTTGCTTCTGGTGCTCGAATGCCCCGTAGCGGTCAGCCGGGCTCTACCGGCAGTGGGTCAAGAAGGGATGAGAGACTTCTGCGTTTTGAACGCACGGGCTCTTCTAAGAAACATCACATCTGCACTCACACAAGTATAAACGACTCGATGAAGGTGAAATTCTCCACTGACACCAATGTGTTTTGGTGTTTAAACATCTCTACTCCCAACAGGCAGAACTGTTCAGTGGGATCGACTGCACTAGGCAGAACATGGAGGTGAACTTAAACACCGACACACCTTCCGTCTGCTCGCCAAAGGTAAGCATTTACTCTACTCAACTAACTTCAATGTAAATAAAACCTTTGAGAGTTTTTGTTCTTGCAGTTGTTCTAAAATGGTCCAACTGTTCTTTTCTCAGGACTCAAATTGCTCTAGAAGCACTAAATCAGACTTTGATCAGGTAAGTTTCTCTGTTTTTTAATTCATTACGCAAGAAATAAACATTGTTCAAGCATAAACTTTGAAACAAAACATCTATTTTCTGATTTGTTTCCCCATCTAGGCATCTTGTTTGACAAACATCGGAAATGATCTGACTCACTACTACACATTTCTCTACGCTCAACCAGACCCCGATCATGTACTCGGTTCGTCTGTTTTGCAGAGTCTCCGAGAACTCATGGAGGTAATGTAACTGAAATTTTATGCTTTAATTTGGTTTAAACTTGTACTATTGAGACATTTAAATGACTAATTAAATATGTATGATTTGCACTTCATAATGTTGTAAAAGATTTACATTTTTTGTGATGAACAGACGTGCTTCAAGGGGTCAGTGCCGACAGAGTTGAAGAAGGTGAAAATGGTGAAATATCGTTCAATGAAGCAGAAGTCCAGCAGATGTTTATTTTATTGTAGTATTTAATACTTGGTGGGGTTGTTGTCTTCTCTTCTAGGCTGCTGCGGATCATTCAAGCACCTACAGTGAAAGACTGAATCTTTGCAAAGTGATGAGAGGTTTTCACGTCCGCACCATCACTATCAACCGTGCTATCGGCTACATGAACTCTGGTGATCATCAGAGATAAATCAGCAAGTTTGGAAAACACCCATCTTACAAACTAATTCATGTTCCATGGAAATTATTTAGTTTTGACGAGAAACACTTTTATTTAGTGTTTTGGAACAGTACACGTTTACCATTATTATCTTTGTGAAAGCAAGACATGTATTTTAAACATCCAGATGATGTGTGGAATTATTATTTTATAAAGTTTATTCATAGAATGTTATATTTATATATCTTGAGTTATTTATTTTTACTATTTATTGATGTTGTGACTTGGTTCTGAGAACAATCAAATAAACTTTTTTCTGCATTATAAATGTTATTTTATTTAATTTACGTTCAACTTTTAAATTATAATTTGAATGCATGTAAAAGTAAAGGGATTTTATTTCAGATCCAGAGTGATCAAATTTGCATGAGATATTGACGAGTCATGATGAATGCTCTTCCATTACCGGAGCACAAGTGCATTTTCCTAAAATTACCTTAATTATTGTTAGGGATTTTATCAATCACCTAATACCTGCAGTCGAAGAGGAAAGAGAGACAATTAACCGCACGTTTACCGTGTTGCAATCGGGGCAGATCAGCTCACAAAGTGAGACTCGTGCAACTGCAAGGAGATGCTGCCCTGAGAGCTTTATTTACACAAGAACAGAGATATAAGACAGTCTGTGTGTGTGTGTGTGTGTGTGTGTGTGTGTGTGTGTGTGTGTGTGTGTGTGTGTGTGTGTGTGTGTGTGTGTGTGTGTGTGTGTAGGAGTAAGTAAGGAAGAGGTGAGTGTCTGAGTTGTAAGGAAGTTACAAGACGAGCAAAAGTAAATGGTAAATGGCCTGTATTTGATATAGCGCCTTCTAGAGTCCTGGAACCCCCCAAGGCGATTTACAACACAATCAGTCCTTCACCCATTCACACACGCACACATTCACACACTGGTGGGGATGAGCTACGATGTAGCCACAGCTGCCCTGAGGCGCACTGACAGAGGCGAGGCTGCCGAGCACTGGCGCCACCGGTCCCTCCGACCACCACCAGCGGGCAACTTAGGTTAAGTGTCTTGCCCAAGGACACAACGACAGCGACAGACTGAGCGGGGCTCGAACCTGCAACCTTCCGATTACGGGGCGAGCACTTAACTCCTGTGCACTTAACTCCTGTGCCACTGTCGTTATGTTTTACCCAAACAGGAAATAAATGTTTTACTATAAGGTGACACGGATACTGTCAGAAGAAAACTTTTTGACGGCCAATCAAATTGCAGGGTTTAAACTTGTGTTGTAAGATTTTTATTCACAACCAAATGCAATAAAAATGAAATCATGAAAATCACTAAAAGTATTTAATGCCCCCACAAACTGAGATTTACTCCAGTTTGTTGATGATGTCATGATGTTTTGATTGTGCACGTAACTGCAGCTGTTTATTCATAAAACCGTACTGAAAGTAAACAGAGGGTTTCGTTTTGTGTTTGTTTCTTTTGACATGCAATGGAACTGAAACAGGTGACCTTTGTGGTTGCTGAGGTTGAGAACAACCTATGATGTTTTCACAGAGTACATGACAGCTAAGAGTTTATTTATAGAATGGGTCGAAGGTCAAGGACTGGATCGGTGAATGTTCATTTTATGAATGAACTCCGAGGCAACCAATTAAAATCCACCACAAATGTATTGAGGTTGTTTATTTATTATTTACATAAGATTTTATGGTTTTATTGGTTCTGTAATTTGAATTTAGGACTCAACTGCCAGATGGTCCGTTAACATGAAACAATTTTCTTTTAATATTGGAACTGCATATAGTTGAAATATAAAATCAAAGCGATTTATTACCGAATCTTCAAAATCCAATGACTTATTTATCACTGCACTGTTGAACGAGACTTTATATAATAAGTTTTCTTATTCATGAAGTTCGTTGCACAAAATCCCTCAAACATAAAGTGATTTCAGTAGTTTGATTCTCAACAGTTTCAGTTCTTTGCCGACGAAGCCGTTTCAGGTCTCTGTCACCATAAGCAAGCAAGCTGGAGCTGTCCACGCCCACCCATCCTCTACACATGCTGCTACATGCTGAGAAACTCTGATAACCAGAGGTTCAGAAGAGAGCTGCTGTTTCTCCAGCAGCAGCTGTCTTACAGTGAGAGATGGTAATTTTCCTTTTTGTGACATCACAAACAGGGACTTTTTGAAACAGATTTATTTGGTCACATTTTGACAGAAAACCAATGGATGGGTTTTTGTTTGCATTTGGAGTTTATTGAGGCACAAAAAGATGCAAATGTATATATTCTCAGGTTTCCATTACCCATCATTTCAAACCAAATAAGTAGGTTTTACTTTCTTGCGTTAAAACATAGGATTCTGTTTCATTATTTGGTCAGCCAATTAAAAAAAATGCTACAAGATAATAGTGTTTTGAATTTCTTGCAAACTTGAGAAATATTGGCAGATTGAGCTCTATGACATCCAAAACCGATGGGGAGGGTCGTTCATGCTTTTATTTATTTATTTGTTTGTTTGTTTTGTGGACTCTGGAGTTTGTCCAAAATGTATTTTCTAAGCTTTTTCTCCAGTTGCTCTGAGGCTGACTGGCTCTTCAGTCATTTTCTTCATGTTACAGTCTCTGGTCAGGACATTCGGGGCTCTGTGTGGCCGTACACACAATCATACACATCTAATTAGGACTTACCCTCTACAAAATCAACAATAAAAACTAATGATGGCAGTTGTTGCAATTACGGTCCCTTCATTATGTGACTTTGTGCCCGTTAAAAAACTAAAAATCATTCTTTAAAGGCTAGCATGGAAATGTACTCAATTATTCTAATTATTTGATTTTATCTTAGCTCATTTCAATATTACTTGAGACATATAAGTGTTGTATTTGTATGATTTGTATACTATTTTACTATATATGAGAGAGATTTTTTTTAATGAGGAAAAAAAGAGAAAAATGTGTGGGACAATACACAAGTATTGCCACCTAGTGTGTAGTGTGGGTCATAGCAAGTGGCCTAAGATAAAATATTAAAAAAATACATTGTAAAAACACCTTGGTTGTCGTCGATAAGATCATTCAAACAAGCAGGCACGCACACCGTATAAAAAGGTCAACGCGTAAAATCACTGCGGTGACGCAGCAAGTGGCGCATCTTCACCCAGGTGTGTTGAGGGTAGTTTAATTACCTGCAGCTGGTGTGGCTTTATTTCCAGCAGCTTCGAGGCTTAGTCTGTTTCAAACTTGTCTAAGAATGGCCCGTAACCTGCCACGGATCGTGTTTTACTGGACCCTAGCTTTCTACTCCGTTTCCACTCTCACTGAAGACCGGCTGACCGACAGCCGAAGCTCCGGCGCTGCAAACCTCCAAACTCGGCTCAGGATGCGCGGAGAAGTCCCCCAGCCTCGGTTGTCTGCGACGATCCACCAGGAGAGCAGCGTGGAGCACGGCGGTCACACCCGAGCCGTCCTGGTAAAGTGCCATCCGGATTCAATGGAGGTTGTGGTGCAGGCTGACCTGTTTGAGACGGGCCTGGAGGTAGACGGGGGTCACCTGAGACTGGGCTCGGACTCTCCAGGTCAGGGGACGCAGTGTGGTGCGTTCCAATCAGGAGAAGGGGAGTTCACCATCCTGGTCGGCCTGACAGAGTGTGGAACCAAACTCTCTGTAAGAGATTATGTCTCTTTGATTCCGATTTGGCTTAAAAGAGTTTTGCATAAGTTTCAGACTGAAATTTGAATTTTTCAGTCAACAGAAGAGAAGATTATCTATTCCAATGTTCTGATTCACTCACCTGAACTTTCACCTGCTGGGCTCTTTAGACTGGATGAAGCTGCTATTCCTGTTGAATGCCATTATGAAAAGTAAGTCACTTAAAATGTGTTTTGGAGCCGTTTACATCAATGTTTTTTTTAACTGGTTTAATATTCTAGGAGGTATTCGGTGGATGGCATCTCTTTACTTCCTGCTTGGATTCCTTACATCACCACAGCCTCTGAGGAAAACCAAATAGACTTCGATATACGAATCATGAATGGTATTACAGCTTTTTCAAATGCACCTGCAATAGTGTGTGTGTGTGTGTGTGTGTGTGTGTGTGTGTGTGTGTGTGTGTGTGTGTGTGTGTGTGTGTGTGTGTGTGTGTGTGTGTGTGTGTGTGTGTGTGTGTGTGTGTGTGTGTGTGTGTGTGTGTGTGTGTGTGTGTGTGTGTGTGTGTGTGTGTGTGTGTGTGTGTGTGTGTGTGTGTGTGTGTGTGTGTGTGTGTGTGTGTGTGTGTGTGTGTGTGTGTGTGTGTGTGTGTGTGTGTGTGTGTGTGTGTGTGTGTGTGTGTGTGTGTGTGTGTGTGTGTGTGTGTGTGTGTGTGTGTGTGTGTGTGTGTGTGTGTGTGTGTGTGTGTGTGTGTGTGTGTGTGTGTGTGTGTGTGTGTGTGTGTGTGTGTGTGTGTGTGTGTGTGTGTGTGTGTGTGTGTGTGTGTGTGTGTGTTTTTTTTAAATCTGCATCAAATGATTTTTTTTCTGCAGATGACTGGCAGCATGAAAGGGGATCTCATCTGTTCTTTCTGGGAGATGTCATCAACTTTGAAGTCTCTGTTGTTAACTCAAACCACATACCCCTCAGAGTTTATGTTGACCATTGTGTTGCCACGGCAACTCCTGACATGGATGCAGAATTGAGATATGACTTTATAGAGCATAATGGGTGAGTTTAAGAATTAAACATTCACTCAAACACTAAAATAAAAAATGAATTATTTTTTTGTTCCTTTCAGATGCCTCGCTGATGCTTACCTGACAAACTCCAACTCGCTTTTCTTGCCACGAGTTGAGAACAAGCTGAGGTTCCAGCTGAATGCCTTCCGGTTCTACCAAGAACCCAATGACCAGGTTGAAATTCTCCTCACTTGCTTTTTGCTTGTGCATTCAAGCAAATTAGACCTTATTTTTAAAAATATTTGAAATGCACATTTCTTGATGCTGACTGATGACGGGACCATATCAAACTCTAAAAGGCTCATGGCAAAGCTTGTTTGATTTTGGACATAAAATTTCTTGGAAGCTGAGCTCTTGCAGGCTACAGATCTTTGTTTAATTGCCATTAGGGCTGTTTTAATATTAGAATGTTGGCATGCACAAATGCATCAAATAAACAATTATGTTAGCTGGTAGATAAATTAATTAGTAAAATATCTTCACATAAAACAAGTTATCACAAAGACTAAAACCAATTTGACTTTGAACTTAGTTGGAGAACATCAAAGGTGGAATATGGAGCACTAACACCATAGCAACATCTAGTGTGTGGAGGTTGTAGTTGCAACAAAAATACAAGGTTTCCAGCTGTCCGGACACCAGGTTCGCTGCCGATAAGTAACTTTGTTTTATTTTGGTCTGTGGTAGGCTTCTCCAAAACTCATGCTGGTTTTAGATCTTTAGTAGCTGCTCCTCTTCTGAGCAGGATAACACCTTCTGGGCTCAGACAGCGCCAGCCTCACTGTGCTGAGCGGACTGTTTGGCAAACTGAAATGGTGTCATCTATTGGCTAGTAGATGCATACATAAACCCAGTGTCATGCCCATCTAAATAAAACTTATTTTTTTATTGTAGCTTTTAAAATAAATACTGTACCTTATTTCTACACATCTCTAAATGTCCCCTGGAGGTATTTATAAATATAGCTTTATTTTTGCATATTCAACTTTTAATACATTGTGCCCCTCTTTAGAAGAGTTCTTTGTCGTGTTCATTTTCATCATTGAGTTTTACACCATCTATCTTCCGCAGGTCTTTATAACCTGCTTTGTGAAAGCTGTTCCAGTTACGTCGGAAGTGAATTCTCAAAACCGGGCCTGCTCTTTTATCGGCCAAAGGTAATTGATGAATATGCATTAAATTGTGCTTAAATGAAACACTAAAATGGAATTAAATTAACCTTTATAGGGTTTTTCAGCTTTAGTCACTGAAGTGTTTTTAAGTTGAGCTAAAATGGGAGGACTAAATTTGATTTCATTTAGCCCCTTTAATGTAACTTGGGTTTATATTGTGAATTTCCTAAATGGAAACATGTTTTTCCAAAATTTCTAAAAGGTTTTTAAACAAATTTTCATAAACTCCATCCAGATGGCTATCAGTAGATGGAAGCAACCAGGTTTGTAGAAGCTGCGACATCTCCCAGCGGTTTGAAGAACCTCAAGCTACAGAACCACCAAAAGTTACCCAAACTTGGCCCACCATGACTTCGCAAGGGAGTTTAGTCCCGAATAAAGCTCAACATCCTTTAGCCACTTACTTCCATGTCCGCCCAGGGAGCAAAAATAGCCAGTTTGGAAGACCTCAACAACCCTCTAAGTTGAGGAAAAGAAAAGCAGACAGCAAAGAACGTGAGTAAAGTTCATTTTATTAAATCAAAGTAACGCGGTTGAACGATTTTAAAAATGAGATCCTGTGATTTGTATTTTTACAGAGAAAACCGTCCTCCTGAGACCCCTTACTGTTCTGCCATCCCGCAGCACAAAACGTTTGAAGCGTAAAGGCATGCTTTCTCAGAAGACCTGGAACATCTAAGACTCAACACCTTACTGCAGAGAGCTGATTACATGTTTTCACTGCTGTAATTAAACAGGGTAAACAAGCCAATATAAATGCTAATTTGTTTCATCACCAAAGCCTTGTAACTAGTCAGTTCTCACCTTTTTCAACAAGCTCTCAAAAATGAGAAATACAATTTGTGTAGTTTGGAATAGTGACGTCTGTACGGATGTAGCATTTTTCTCAAGTAAATATTTTACACTATATTTTGTCTTTTTATTAACCCTTCTGTTGTGTTGAGGTCAAAATTGACCTGTTTTCAAGTTGTGTAAAAGGTACTTTTTTTTTATCCTGGAATGAGGCATGATCTAAGCCTCAGACACACCTATTTAAATGCACCAAAATCAATTTTGACAATTTTAGTAAATTCTGAAGGTCTCAAAAAAAAGTTACATCTGTGGTGTTACGGGTCCAAAATGACCTGGCAGAGAACTGGCTGTTGTATGCATTACTTAAAAAGCTATTGGTTGCTCTGAGTATCAATTATGGCCCAATGTGCAGTTACGGGCCACATCACTCACATGCACACGCTGACACACACTGGATGTGTCAAAGGAGGATTATGACTTTCAGTATGGTATGACCCTGAATAAGACCAAACATTGGATGAGGAAGACTCAGATGTCACAAATCAAAGAGGTTTTCAAGTCAAAAGGGGACATTTCATGGTTCTCGAGCCCTCTTCAAACCCAATCCAGGACACTTAACAGAATATCCTCGGAATGACTCCAGGGCTTACTAGATAACCGTGTCACATGCCCAAGACATCAAGTCAGCATATGAACTGTTCTTTCCATGACCTATTCAGAATCTTCTACTTGAGATGACCAACATGGAAGAAGAGTGTTAGGTGACAGTTGGACAGAGATGGACAAAACACAGCTTGATGCCTACATGGGACTGTTGCCTCTTGTGGGGGTATACAGATCATGTAATGAAGCTACAGCCAGCTTATGGGATAGTTGGGACGCTGTTTTTGTGCCACAATGCCTTGTATTAAGAGTGCTACGTTTTGACAACAGGGAGACGAGTTGCTTGTCACGAGAATGACAAGCTTGCTCCCATCAGAGATGTTTGGATCAAATGGGTGGAAAATTTATCCTTCATGTACAATCCTGTGACAGTGGATGAATGGCTAGTCCCTTTAAGAGGCCACTGTCCCTTCAGGCAGTACATGCCAAACAAGCCTGGAAAATATGGTATCAAACTCTGGGCAGCATGTGATGCAAAAACTGCCTCTGCGTGGAATATGCAAATGTATACCGGAAAACCTGCCAGCGGAGTGCCAGAGAAGAACCAAGTCAAGTGGGTCATCCTGGACATGACCAAGGGTCTTTGGAGGCACAACATAACCTGTGATAGTTTCACTTCCTATGACCTCACGCAAGAGCTTCTAAAGATGAAGCTGATGATGGTGGGAACAGTCAGGAAGAACAGACCTGAGCTTCCCCTAGCTCTTCTAGGAACTAAAGACAGGAATCCTCTTATCAAAGTTCGCATTCACAGAAAGGACCACAATTGTGTATGTACTAGTGATGTCCACTCTCCTCAGGGATGCTGGTGTGAGTAGCAGGGAGGACAGTAAGCCAGACATAATTCTGGACTACAATAAGAACAAAGGCCATCCATTGTTTAGATTATGGTTAATTCAGAACAACATACCTGCGCTAACACCATATTATTTTCAATGTACAGTTTATGGTCAGTGCAGGTGCATGTGCGCGCACACAACCACACACACAGTGTTTGTCATTTTTCATTTTATGGTCAAATTGTTAGGTTAAATAAAAGTTGGTTTCATGGGGAAAAAAAATGGACTTGTTTTTATCCAACCATTTATGTATGCAGGTTCGTTTTGACCCGAAACACCAAAGATGTCATTAATAATTTTAAATTAAAAAAAAGATTTTTTGAGTAGATGTACTCTAATATTAATTTATAACACATTTATAGTTTATTACTCATTCTATAAGAAAAAGAAACATATTTAGTGAATTTAAACTGTTTTTGCAATCAAAACGAGTGGTATATTTTAAAATACTGTATCTGTGGACCCAACTAAAAAACAATTCACACACTGAATCCATTTTTATGAATACATATAAGCCAGCAATTAGCTGAAGAAAACTGGTGATTTTGAGCATTTTAAAGCATTTTTAAATCATGGGTCCAAATGGACCAGCTAACACCACAGATGTAAACAGCTTTCTAACACAATACAAGGGTTAATCACATTTGATTTAACCAGAAAATGCATAAATGTGCTTATTTTGACTGAACTGAGAACAACCACAGAGTTAAACTTCACAGATGCTTACTGCAAGATGATTAGGGAGCAATTTAACTAAAACAAGGATTTATTATAACCTGAAGAAAAAAAATGTAGCTGTTCATCACAGAAAACATCTTTAAAAGGCCTCTTTATTTTTACTTTTTATTCCAACATTTACTCTGCTGACCAAGTGGAGTGCCGTTTTCCCCTCTATCATCCCAGATCCCAGCACAGGTGACGTTGCAGCTTTCAGCATCAAAACATCGGTTGCCATTTCCACAACATCCACTCCAGAGGAACCTTTTGCACTTGCCATCAACTGAGCCGTAGTAGAATCCCAAGAAGTTGCCACTACATTCACCAGTGGTGGGTTTTAAATGACACATTTTGCAGATGTCCAAGGGGTATGTGTTCTCAGCATTGGGTGAACAGGTTCTCAGGCAATCTCTTTCATTTACAAAATGGTTCTCATTTCCTCCCTCGCCGTTGCATGAAAGGGTTACACCGATCAGTGAGGTAATCGTAGAAAAGGCTAAAGGAGAAGTATGTGCCTCGACCTTGATCACATTCTTGTCTACAGAAATCTGGAGAGAAAAAATTTTTTTTAGAATGGTTTCAGAGGGAGTTTATGAAATTAAAAACTATAATTGTTTAAGCAGGAGTCATCAGAAACGCACGTAATGTTTAAACAAAGATTGACTTTATGACAACATTTAAAAAATCCTTTTTTTTATGCTTGCCCACCTTAGATTTCCCAGAAAGGAAGTACATGTAGTTTCTCTGTTCACAAGTATATCAGATTTTGGTGAAGTGTCATTCTTGCAAATTTGCTAAAATTGTACCTTAAAGGTTTGGAAACCTACTAAAAGAGAATCTCTATTTTCTTGCCTTTTCAGGCTCATACAGAAAAGATTTTTTTAAGAGTCAAAAATTTAGAAGGGGAAAAAATCACATTGGCAGCCCAACACTAAAGCAGTGTGTAAAGATGATTGCCAGGAAGGTAAATGTAAGCATAATTTCAGCTTTAAGTCAACATGAATTTAAAGATGAAAACAGATGCTGTAATGTCTATTTGGATGGAAAACTACTTTTTTTTCATTTTTTGTTTTTATGTGCAGAATACGTTCTGCTTGTTCAGTCTCTTAGATATGGGTGATCACTGGCATGACTGATGGTTAAACTGTTACCATTTGAAATGAAAATCAAAGAACCAAATAGTTTTTAAATGTAATTTTTGGGAGGTTTGCACAAAGCACGAGTTAGTTTAGCAAACCTGATCTAAAATTTATAAAACAATCTTCTGTTTATGTTTTTTTTAATTAATAGAGAAATGAATTCATTCATACCTGGGAAGGAGTGACTGATGTGAAATGCTGCCAAAAAAGTTTCTAAAAACAAGAGGTTCTTCATGTTTCTGCTCTTCTTGGTGCAGTCTTTCCTGAAATGACTGAGGTGTCATAAACCACAATGGAAGTGGACACTGACGACTGACCTTTGGATCACTGCTTCCCTAATGCTAGTTCTGCCTATTGAAACCAAAGGGTGCGACAAAACATGGTTGAAAGCAAATATGTGACAAGACTTTCAGTTCAAATTCAAGTTCTGATTTTTTTTTCATTTTAGTAAATGTCGATCATAAAACCCCAACTAAATTTGGGTGCCATAGTTTTTTCATTATTAACCAGAGAACCAATAAAGAAGAGGAACAGACTGCTGTAACCTGCATCCGATGATTACACTAGAATAGTTATATCAGGATACTCATTAGTTAAACAAGTGTTATTCAGAAAACCATCTTTTTTCTCCCCGTCCAGCTGTAAATCAATCAGAATTGTTTAAGTGCCAAAAGTAAGCCTCACAGTTTCACTCCCAAATGTGGCGCAATATAGATTCAGCTATAATGCCTCAGCTGGTATAAAAACTTTTTAGAATGGCTTCTGGTTATTTTGGATCCCCACAAAGATGGAAATTAATGAGAAAGGAGGGGAGGAATGGAAGAGGTAGAGACAAAGTTCACAAAAATAAACACAGGATGTAAAAGAATCCCCTTCTAGACCTGCAGAAAGAGAGAAAAAATGTACATGTAAAAATACAACAGAACCAAAAAAAGAACAGCTCCAAACAACATAATGATACAAAAGTAACAATGTTTGCTGAAAAGCACATGATTTTAAATAATTCATGGTGCATTTAGTGTCAACCACAGCTCAAGATTAAGTGTCAAAAACACTTAAGTCCATTCTTGTGAACACCTGTGTGTACATGCGCTTGTGTGTGTATGGTTTCACCATAAAAGTGTACAAAAGTGAGTGTTAGGGACCTCAGAAATGCCCCCAAGACCCATGGCAAACATGGCAGAGAACCGAGGCCTTGACATCCAGAGGTCCCTTTGGGGCATGGGAACCACAAAAATACCACATCAGAAGCAAGGGATCATTGAGAATAAATAATTGACTCTTGGTAAAACCATAATTTTAACTGAAGGGCCATCGGTAGACATTTCCATCTGGCAAGATCATCTTCCACCTTTAAAAGTGGGATGTAGTTTAGTTTTGTCACATCTGCTAGCCTGGCAGAGATATTAATGACCAAGGATGAAATATTCCCTGACTCCAATGGTGTATTAAGAGAATTGAGAGACAAGATTAATTGGAAACACTGAAGCTCTTGAAAAAGAATTTATCAATTCAATTGCTTGAGAGAGAGAGAGAGAGAGAGAGAGAAAGAGAGAGAGAGAGAGAGAGAGAGAGAGAGAGAGAGAGGAATGTGAATTCTGGAGAAAAAGTAACATCGTCTGCATAACATGATTTTATGTTCTATGTTCTTTCACGTTATGACTTCAATAACTATACTTTGCCCGATTGTTGCTGCTAGTTGTTCAATAAAGAGAGTAAACTGTGAGAGGGAGAGTGGGCATCCCTGCCTGGTCCCCCTCTGAAACAATACATTCTCACACCCGAAGCGTCAAAAAATGTTGCGGGGTGACCAAGCATCTTTTTCCAACTCCCGCAGTAAAAACTGAGATTTCACCAGATTCTGACCTTTACCCTCTTGCTATTTAACCTTCCCCTCACCCCCATCCTAACCTTTACCCTCTTGGGCACTCAAAACGTTGTTCTGGTTAACGTGAAGTTTAGAATGACCAACAGGGTTATGGTTAGGCTGTGGGGGATGGGAAGGTTGAATAGCAAGAAGTTAGAGATGAAATGTTAGTGAAATGTGCGTTTTGACGTGGGTGTCAGAAACCGATGCTCTGGCACAACATGTCGACTCATGGCACGTTGGAAACAAACGCTTGGTCACCCCGTGTCACTTTTTGATGTTTTGACTGTGAGAATGTGTTGTCTGAAGACAGATGCTAGCTGATATTTGGTCGTTTGTCCTGACACTTGCTGTTGGTGAACTGTTTAAGGGGTTCAAGCAGTTTATGGAGGAATTTCCAAACCAAATTTATGCAAAGTTGAAAGAATGTCCATTTAACTCTGTCAAAAGCCTTTTTCTGCACCAAAAGATTAAATACTAGTTTCAGTGTTTAAATTGTAAGAAAAATATCAAATTAAGCAATCTATGTGATTTTGTGGACGAATGCCTCCCTTTATGAATCCAGTGAGGTTAGGGTGTAATGTGACAGGGATTACCCTCTGTAATCTTTTTGCGAGGGCTTTACAAATTGTTTCATATCAACACTAATAATGGATATTGGGTGATTGCTGGTAAGAAATGGGGCATTTAACTGGTTTTAACAGCAGACTAATGTTGGTTGAATTCATATTGTAGCCTGCCATTTTTTTTTTCAATTTCATTCATCATTCTGAAGAATGTTGGAGCCGGAATGATCAAGAATTCTTTACAGAATTCTACTGGAAACCCATCAGGACCTGGAGCTTTCTTGTTGAGCAGGGTTTTAAGGGCTTCCTGGAGCTCAGCTGATGTTACTGGTGAGTCCAAAGCCACCGTTTGGCTATCCAATAATTTAGGAATTATTATTTTGTCAAGGAACTGATTGATCTCATTATCTGATGGGTTTATGTGAGTATAAAGTTTTGTAAACGTCTCTAAATACTGCATTCCCAGTTGTTTGGTTGTTTTCACTTCATTTATTTTTAACAGGTTAGCTAACAGTCTGCCTGGTTTTTTACCATGTTCAAAGTTCAAAGTTTCTATTTTGTCTCTCTTCAGCTGCCGTCTGCTTAAACACGCAAACCCATTCCACCCATTAACAATTGCTCTACATGTTATTGATATGGATTTAGCAAACAATTTATTTAGAATTGGATTTCAAGCTTGTAGACTCATTAAACTCCAGAAACAAAAGTGGATGTTTAAAAGGAAGATATTGTTTGTATCTGTAATGCAAGAGTAACACGAAACCAGCTCTTGTCAATTCAGGAGACGTGCAGACATGCTATTAAGGACCACTTCCTTCCATTACTGCCCACAGCCTAATCATGTAGTCACTGAATTGATTATTTTCCTGAAGGCTATGATGAAGCATAAAATGACAGCATGCTCAACTGCATCTAAAATGGTTTGTCACATCTTTAGCTCTGTTTTTTATTTATTTATTTTTTTGGGGGGGGGGGGGGGGGGGGGGGGCAAATTACAAATATTGCTCCATTTTAATTCAATTACAATTCGTGTTTGCCCTGTTAAAGATTATTAAACACATTTTTCATTATAAACCCATTACTGCAGTGCTTCCCGTAGTACTCTTAAGTGTTTGTTTTAACAGAGAAAACAGGGTTGCACTTAGCACTTACTGTCTTCTGTGGAAGGTTCAGCCTAAATGGAACAAAGAATTGCAGCAATTTAAATTCTCTCTCTCTCTCTCTCTCTCTCTCTCTCACACACACACACACACACACACACACACACACACACACACACACACACACACACACACACACACACACACACACACACACACACACACACACACACACACACACACCAAGTTGTGTTGCATAATGGAGGCTCACGTGCTGTTGCCAGAGAAGACCTTTAAGTAGTTTGGAGGTTAAGTGCGTCAGCACCTCGGACAGCGCCCCACATTGTTTTGCGTCGGAGGGCGTGCTGAGCGCTGTCCGTGGTGCTGAAACGTTCACCTAAGCTCTTTCATGGTTGGACACTTTAACCTCACACATAGTTTTTTGGGTCACAGGTCACTTCTCGGTGTTGGCAAGTCTGATCTTCGACTTCTTGGGCGCCTCTTTACGTCCATGAATGCCAGCTATTTCTGACGACGTCGTCACATCCGCTTTTCGCATAATGAATCTGGGGGACACTGACGTGTGCATTGGAGTTGCAGTAAAACTTGTTTTTCGCGTTCTGGAGCACTTTCAGCCATTTTAAGTTTTAATTCAGCTGATGGGAACTACTTGCTACCGTGCTAACTTCCAAACTGGACATGAGGGTGGTGGCTTTCCACATTTTCCGCACCTGAGAGGGATTTCCTGCTTCCTCCGGATTCTACCTGATTTGACTTTTTCATCTCTGCATTCTGAAGACGACAGCGATGTTTTCCAGTAGATACCTGCCTGTCTTCAGCGTCTTCCTTCTTGACCCTTCTCTGGTTTATTGCTTAAACAGATGCGGACAGAAATGGTGCGCGAAAGACCAAATCTGTTGCGGAAACAGAAACTCCACTTGTTGCAAGCAGCCTACGGTCAACATTTACTCCAGCATCGCCGTCCTCACCCGGAAACTCTCCGGGATCCTGATTATCCTGCTCCTCTTTGCTGTGGGATATTTTATTCACAGGATTTTGTGCTCCAGATCTCGGCAGCCCACTCCGTCTCAGAGTAGACCGCCCCCTGTTACTACATCACGGGAGCTACTGATGGAGAGCTGCCCGCCCGAAGCCTTTACTGATCCAGCTCCTTTTCCTCAGTTGCCCAGCTATGATGAATGCAATCGTCTGCCAACTTATGAAGAGACGATTCGGGATGGAAACCGAGGACCGCCGGGGTCTAATATGGGACAAGCTTCATGATGACGAGGATTTGGGGACTTTAAATTGCAGATATTTAGTTTATTTCGATTAAATTATCCTGAAACTGGAACAGTGTACCACTGCAAAGTTCTTGATTGGCTGTTTCAGCACTTTTAAAATTTAGGTATGTCCAGGTGTGTTTCAAGTTGATCAGGTTACAGATCGGATTTAAACTTATGGACAAAAACTGCTTTCATTAATAATTTAGCTTTTGATTATTATTTATTTGCTTCTCATAACAACTACCGGATTTCAGCCACGCATCTCACTAATGTCCTGCCCTTTGATTAAGACTGCGTTGTTAATGTTTTGTTCTTCTGAACAAACTGTGACGTAATGTGCAAACCAATCACCCTTTGGTCAGCTGCGTGTTTTATTTTTAACTTGCATGAATATATCAGCTCTTTTACAGCAGAAAGAAACTTTACCTGGATTCAACAAGATCTCAGATTTGAAGCGACATTATTTATTTTAAGAGAGTGGAAATCTATTAACAAAGTAAATTCAAAAATGCATTTGAAATATTAAAAATGACATTTCCTATAAATAAAATAAATCCGACTCATTGTCTGGTGTTGGAGCGGAGGTAGAGCACTGTTTCTTTGATGTTGTCCTTCACATCCTCGGAGGGGAGCCGGACCATCTGCACCACCCTCCTATAAGCCTCCTCCACTCCGAATCCCGTGGACGCAGAGCACGGCTGAACGAACCAATCTCGACCGGAACACATCTTCCTCATGTGGAACTTGTCCTTCAGTTCTGTGACAGTCAGCGCGCCGCTCGCGTCCTGTTTGTTAGCCAGAAGGATCAGAGGGCAGCCGCGCAACTGATCGCTCCTCATGGCTTTCTCCAGCTCCCTGCGCGCCTCCTCCAGACGACCCCGGTCCGACGCGTCCAGCACGAACACGAGAGCGGCAGTGTTCTGGTAATAATTCGGCCAGTGTTCGCGCATCTTCCTCTGACCGCCCACGTCCCATAAGGTCACGTTGAAGTTCTTCCTGTTCTTTCGGGCTTCCAGCGTCGCCACGTTGAAGCCAATGGTCGGGACGGTGGTGACGCTCGCCTTGTGCTTCATTTTGTAGAGGAGAGTGGACTTCCCAGCATTATCCAGACCGAGGAGCAGAACCTGGACTTGTGGCTGTTTAGATACCGGGTGGCCCATAGCAACGTGGACATAGACAGGTGCTTCAGCGGATGAGGGGCAGTCACATATCTCAGCTGGTGGCGCACTGTTTGCTCACAGCGTTTCCTGGAGTTTAATAGATAAACCATTAGCTGCATGGTTTACTGTAGACTGATAAGGTGGCACACCAGGGACAAAGTTTGATCCAAGCCACTCCTTTAACACTATAAAGTTCACTCCAGTGCTCAATGATCTCATCTTTCAAATTTCATCCTGCTTATCAGCAAATTGTCTTCAGAGAGCATAAAAGGTTAATTACAAGGCAACAACAACAACAAAAAAAAAATATTTTACTTAAAAGTTATAATTGACAGCTTTTATTGTGTCATAGAAAACAGTGGGTTGGAGAGCAAAATGCAAATCTCCTTCCATAAGACAAAAAAAAAATGAAAGAATGTGTCAATAAGAAAACGTTGAAACAGCTTTTTGTGCTGCACACCAAGACTGTGTTCAACAATTAAACACTTCCTTTAAAAACTGCCTTCAGTCAGAGCTGCTAACATGAGTCACTGGAACAAGAAAATCCACATAATGCAAAATAAATATTTCTGTAGAAATAAAATAGGTTGTATTAAAAATAATAAATTTAAGAGTATATTAAATAAATAAAGTTTAGTCGTTCCGAGTTGCCCCTGACTTCATCCAAGCTCCTTTCTTTTAAACCTCATCTCTGCTTTGTTTCATTAATTATTACAATTTTAAAGTAATTTTATGCACGTTTGCTTCTTATGAAAACAAATATGCTGTTTATATCATAAAACATCAAATAAATGTCTGTGGCCATCTTCTGTCAAGCCTGAGACTGGATGTTCCACATAACACATTCACAATCCGCTTCATCGTGGAGGCTTTTTCATTCCACTCCAGCTCCACACCCTCTGCTGCAGTGTGAACACCAGAAACCGACATGGACATCTTCTGCTCTGAGGATCCCAACAAGGGCACAGACACCATCCAGTCAAAAATCGATTGACTCCTCTGATCAAATATAATTTTCCCTGAGTACTTTACATTTCCTATCAGGTTCTAGTCCATTTCTCTTTAGGTTTCACCCACACTCCACCAGTTGGATTGTCCATGACGTACACCAGTCCACCACCGTCACAGCGACTTTGGGGCCAAGAGTGGGATGTTGTTTTCTCCTGGCTCCGGGTAGAAGGGTGAAAACACATCGTTGGAGTGGTCACCCTTTTCTGGATGTGGACTACAGAGGCTGGAGTGGAGAAAACATCCGTTTGAGGATAAACGTCCTCTGTGCCAGTGCGCTGGAAGATTACGCGGGCTTCAAAGGAGGATTTGGAGCCGTGCTGTCCCATGCTGTTTGGAAAAACTTCCAATTATTCCTTTACAGAAACCAAATGAACCGAACGGCGTGGACCTGTAGATACCAAACGAGTGTATTCCTGTTTCCTTATGGTTGACTTTTATGCCACCACAACACCAGAAGGTGAAGTGTTCCTGTAAGTCAGAAACGTGACTCATTGCTTACAGACACCAAACTGAATCGGCTCATGTTCCAGCTATTTTTAATCTCCACCTGCTGCATGCTGTCTCTAACCTTGAATGTGGACGGTTTCGAGTTGTGCTGCAGCGGGACCGAGTCGGGGGGCGTGACACGGAGAAGCAGCTATTTCTGTTCTGATGGTCCAAATCTATCAGCTGTTTTCCAAACCCTCTATGATCACATCATCCCAACACTGTGACTAGTTGCTGTTTAATAAGCAGTTCATTTGAGCCCAGTGGCTCCAAGCAGGAGCTCTGATTTTAACTCCCAAAGAGTTCATGAATATGACTTTAAAAACTTGACACCTCCAGTGTATTCACGCAAAATAGTTTAATGTTTCACATGAAACAGTCCGTGGGAATGGGTTCTCTGGTAAAATGTTTTATTGTAAACTTTTGCTTGCATACAGAAGGATGGGGAAAAAAACATATTGATGGCGATTTGGTATTCTGCCAGAAACATCCCCAAAAAATTAACAATAAATAAGGCATTAGGTTAAATGTTAAATAAAAAAAATCTCATTGTTGCTCTCAGCTAATGAAACATCAAGCGTCTACAGTGCTAACCATAGACTGTACATACGGTAGGTGCTAACAGCTGAACTGAAAACAGTAATCAATCAAGTATGGTTTACTGGAACTTTCTCTGATGTGTCGCTGCTGTCCGTATTGCTTCAGGATCATATTTCTGCAGCTTCCATAGCTGCAGCATGCAGTCTGCATGAGTCATCTCTTCGTCCAGAGGACTTTCTAGGTCAAAGCCACCATCAGTGTCCTGTGACAAACATGTGTAAGTACCTGGTTCATTAACATGGAGAAGCCAAAGACATGCCTTGCTGCAGACGAGACCCAGGTTGAGGGAACAGCTCAGATTAGCTCCATAACATTGCAGAAGAGCATTTCAGGTTGAAAGTCAGGTTTTACATACATCAAAACCTTACTGAGGTACCGACAGTGTGAACATCTGCCGATATGTAGGAGTTAGCATTCAGAATTAAAACGGTTTTAAAAAGAAGCACATATGCTGTTAATGCTTTTTATTTTCCTCATTCTAACTTGGCATTTCGCCCCAAATATGTCTTTGAGTATCACCCACATTCTGCAAACTTGAAATGCTGCTTTGGAATCAAGTTTTTGTCCCAATAAATAATTAAATAAATAAGTAAATAAATGTTGTATTACTATGAAGGTTTCAGAAGTAACTACTCTTTCAGGAAGTGGGGAAAAATATGCAAATTTTCAAAAACCACTTTAACTAAGTGAAACCACAGAGAAATCCATTTATACTGATGATCTCAGCTCCTAATGCAGATGATTGGTCAATTCCAGAAACGTCACATTAGAGTTTGACCGATACTGGTTTTTCTATTGCCGATACCGATGCTGATATGTAGGAGACGTAGTCAGCCGATGGCCGATATGTACTGCCGATATTCATGACCAATACCCAGACTTTTTCCACCTGATTTCATGCTACTATATCACTAATGATATCAGATGATGCACATTTCTGAAACTGAATCAGTTTTTGAACTCTGATTTTAACAAACTGCTAAACTGAACTTTGTGCACTGCTCAGTGTTAAGACACCTACATAAAGTTATTTTAGAGTATCTATTATGCAGATGTGAACGTAAAATTTAAATCAAATTCTGCAACAGCACAGGGCTGCCTGAGGATGTGCCTGAATTTAAATTAGCTTCACTAAGGAGAAATATCGGCCGATGCAGGTATATAACTTTTTTTAAATAACACGCCTGATATATCGGTCCACCCCTACCCCACATTAAACATTTTAAGATTTTAGTATAACATTTAGATAACAATCACAAATTCAAAATTTTATGTTTTGAAACAACAAATAAGAAAAATGTAACTGTTCTAAAAATAATCTACCATCATCCAGTTCTTACAGTTTTAGGGGTTTTCTCCTTGAATGTTTATACTGTCATCATCTATCTTTATGAAGAAAGACTTAAAATTAAATGCATTCCACTTTCGGTCAAGTGTGCAGAAGGTGAGTGTTTTACACTCAGAGCATTAGCTTTGTGTTCAGCATCCTTTCACGTGTCTTCTCACAAATGTTTTCAAGTCAAAATGTACAACGATCCAGTGTGTCATCAAAATGCTGCAAGCCAGGGGGTGATTTAGCAGTTGCATTTGCAGCACCGTGTTGTAATTAAACAGTATCTCTTGCACAGGCACAACTTTTTTTCTCTAAAGAAAATAAAAACATCCAGAGGAGCTGCATCAGTCGTGTGTATGTATAATAAAGTCATCACAGACTAATGTGTGCTGGTTCAGAGCAAATCCTGCATGTCTGCAGTGTTCTTTGATATTTTAGGAATTATTCATTCATACAGAAGATGGTGATGATGCATTTGTTTAAATGCATTTTTTTTTCCAAATCTGATGTCACAAAGTAAACCGGTTTTATGTTTGTTAGTAGGTATGTGTGCATATGCCTGTAGGTAAATGCACTCGTCCAAAGTAGTTTTTAGTAGTCATGCTTCACCCGTGTCCTGGGATCGTTTTCCTCGGGATCCGGATAAATCACAGTGAGAGCTCTTCACTCAACCCCGTCCTGCTAACCCGCCTTGCTGCTCCCCCCAGCTCCACTTTTAAACTTCACCACCATGACAGTGATGTTGTCGGGGCAGCCGCGGTAGAAGGACTGGAGGACGATGCTCTTGGCACCGAAGTGAGGCTCGTCTAGTCGCTCGCGGACAAATCGCACCGCCTCCTCGTTACTGAAGGCGTCCCACAGCCCGTCGGATGCGAGGATCATAAACTCTGGTTGCAGTTTGTCCAGGTCAAAGGTCATTACGTCAGGGTCGGGAATAACTACGTTGAGGTTCTTCAGCGGGTAGTCGCCCAGGGAGCGGGACATAGCGAGGATTCCCTGGACTCTCCAGGATCCGTTAAAGCTAATGAATCCTCCTGCAAGTAAAGCATTTAGTAAAAAATAAACACTTATGTGCATAATCGTGTATCTGGTATTACAAAAAATGGATAAAAATGTCCCTTAAATGTTTGGCGAAGTGAAGATCTTAGCAAAACGTATGATCTTCAAAGAAATACCGCTGAATTTATGCCATAATCAAAGCTAAAGTCGGGGTGAGAAAACATTAAAGGGTGTTTGACCCAAATGTTAAGTGTTATTTTCTATTTCACCAGCAGATGACAGTCAATGAATGTGAGGTGTGTGGTGCAGCTGCAGAGGGAGGCTGAGCTCAGCATGTACCTGCCCTCTTGATCCTCTTGCGCTCTTTAAGCTGGTACGGCTTGTGGTCATGTGACAGTGCAACTGCATTCCCATCTTTGTCACACAGCACCCCTCGGGAATCTCCAACATTGGCCACCGTGAGCTCTCGATCTGACAGCAGTGCCACCAGGCACGTGGTACCTGAGTAGAGAATTTAAAGGAACTTAAGCAGAAGCCTCTTAATTGGCAGTCGTCCACTCTTCCTGTAAGTCAGAGCTAGTGACTTGTAAATCCTGGCTGTCGATGATAAAAGGCCAAAAATCAGCTGTTTTATCTGACAAGTGTCTTGAATTCTGCCACCGGATCAATCTAATCTGCTTTTCTGAATCGTAAATAAGCGGCATTGGGATATAAAGCTGTGCAAATCAGTGAATGACATTTTCTTCTGCAGATTTTCAGCTGGGTGGTGTATTAAACAAGTTATTCTGAACTTATAGAAGCAGTGGGCTGAGACGGAAAACCTGGATTCTACTCAATACCTCACATGCAGCAGCAAAAGTCAAGAATTGATGACAATACTAGCACAGAAAGCATTGTTTCTTATTTATATTTGCTTAAAATTTGACCCTAAAGCTTGGTTTATGCTTGACACATTTACTTAACGCTTGGTGATGCGGCTCACGGATGGAACACGCTTCACAACTTGCAGCATTTATGGTTCATGCGGCTCGTCTCTGCGGTGAGCCAATATTCTCCCAAACTGTAGGGGGCAACATAGAGCTCTACGGCATGCATCCAACACTACACCATAGTAGAAGTAGAAATTACTGTTGTTTATAGCAGTTGTTAATGAAAGTTGAAAGCCAACTCAGCTCTTTTAGAATTGGTGGTGTTCTTGTTTCCACCAGGATCACCGCTTTTCCGTTTCTTCCCCTTCTTTGCCTTCACATATCGGTCCCTCATGTTTTTCCAGCATTTTTTAACAGTGTCCTCGTCTTTTCCGACAGTGCGAGCTATTTCTCTCCAAGTATTATTTACAACATGTTGATCACGGTGATCTATGAGAGCTGAATCATACAAATGTCTGTATTTACGAACTCTGCCATACTAGCTCTTGCAAGTTCGCCAATGTTTTTCTGTGTTCGACCATCCGCGTGGTTAGAAAATTTCCTAGGTGCGCGGTGCGGAAAGTTTAGGCAGTGCGGAGGCGCGGATGGAGGGGCGTGGTTGTTAAAATGACGCAATTTTGCCGCGCGGAACCGTGCAAACCTCGCGGACGCGTCAAGCATAAACCAACCTTAAGTCTTTAACAAAATGCTTAAAGTGACCTCTTTCCTCACTCCCACCACCCGTCCTGACCTGCTTCATCATGGTTGACAGAGAGTTTGTCTAGCATCTCACGGTCCACGGACAGGATACGCTGCTCGAGGATGCTGGTGTACGACGCAGCGCCATCTCTCTTCTCTTTCTCAAAGGCCTGCAGCTGCTGCTTCAGAGTCTCAGGCAGGTGGGCTTTTGCATAGTCAGCTGCAGCCTGCGGTGGAGAGAAAGTCAGAAGAGCACAGACAAAAAGTGTCATTCGATGGATGGGGAAAGGAAATGCAGAGGCACAGAACTAAGCTGTTTATGGGACAGGTGCTGTTAAATAAACTAAAACAGAATATTATTCTGCAGACATGAAAGATTTTAAGATTTTAAGCGTTAAATCTGGAATTTTATTATTTTATTTACCTTGCACCAAAAACAAAGCAACATTAAGTGGTCATTATAATACTCTTTGTAGCCAAAATTACACACAAAAACTATTTATTACTTCAATTTTTACAGGGTTAGATTGTTGCATGGTGTATTTTAACAGAATTTGACAGCCATTAATGTCACTGAACTCCAGCGGCGGACTAGGGATGGGTACCGAATTCGGTACTTTTTAAGGTACTGACCGAATTCCATAGTACCGACTGAGCACCGATTCACGTCATTTCAAACGGTGCCTCGTTTCGGTACCCGTCCATCATAACGAGAACTTGCCTAGACAGCTGCGCATGCGCAAGAGCGTTATGTCATGGTCGCTGCGAGCCAGTTGTAAACAGAGCAGCATGGTAGAAAGAACGCACGCTAACGCTTGGGTCCACTTCACTAATGTGATGGGTAACTGGGTGATGATGAATTCAGCGACAACGATCTAAGTGAGACATTGTCATCTTAATCTGCTCCAGTAGGTAAATAAAATGTTTAAGATAACGTTAGCTTGATTTGTTAGCTTCCGTTTCACTAATGGTGCGTTCGCTTTCTCCTCATAACTCCGAAATTCCGACTAGAAGAACATGAACGCGCTCTAAAGTTTGGCTTCACTTTACTAAATGTGACGGGTGAAGATGAAACCAGTGACAACGATTTAAGTTTGAGGCATCACTGTTTAAATCTGCTCCAGCAGTTAAATAAACTGTTTAAGATAACGTTAGCTTGATATGTTAACTTCCTATGCCACCATTGTTATCATCTAATGGTGTGTTTGCTTTCTCCTCGGAAATTCTAACTTCCCAGTAGGAAAAATCAAATGAAAAAAGACGGCAAAAGGAATGAAGATACACAGTAAATTTAGTTCACAGTAAAGATGTTTGCTTCAGTTAAATTATCAGCTCATAAAACTACAAGGACGATGTTAAAATACAAACAGCTGAATGTTATTTATCGTGATATTTATCAAATATTGTTATATATTGAGAAAAATATATATTTAATTATAAAAGAGAATTAAAATAATAAACACTCAAAAGTATCGAAAAGTGGTACCGTTAAGTACCGGCATCGATTCGTAGGTACCGGGAATTAGTACCGAATCGATTCAAATGTCAAAGGTACCCAAGTCTGGGATCCCAGAATGGCCGGTGGCTGTAACTGCCAACCGTCAGTGGGGGGGGGGGGGGGGGGGGGGGGGGGGCACCACTGCTTCCAACAATTACAAGCTGTCCAGTTTAGATGGATACAAACTACAGTAGGTGTGGCATAATGCAGCTTTAATTTGGAGAAATGCTGTGTTTAGTCTCTCAAACACACACAAACACACACACACACACACACACACACACATACACCAGGTGTTCTGTGTTGAATTATTAAGAATCCTTGTGAGCAACCATCCCACTTCGCTCCTTCTCCTCCAGTATTCACTTAGCATCTTTCCCCTCTCATTTCCTACACCTGTACTTCCATTAAACACGTTTTGCTGAATAAAATCTAAAAACGGAACTGTCCATCCTGTTTGAATGACCTTCTGGCTTTCTAGTCAACATATTCTATCTGCACTCTAATGTTGTGTAATTTAGTTTAAACTAGTATTCTTGCGGTTGTTGATTTTATGCATGATTATGCAGCAAAACAGATCCCCAAACCACAGCAAAGATACAAAAGTGACTTACTACTGAGCACGTCACGCAACAGTTTCAAAGCTCTTCCTGAACATTCTGTAGAGAATTGATGCTAAAAATAAATAAATAAAACAAAGTCTAAAATGTTTATTATGACATTATGGAACTGCATCTAAATGTATCAGATATTACAAATAAGTAAACCCCTTTGCTTTTTCCTGCAAGAATAACCTGAAGAGAGGAGCATTGCAGATACGTAAAGAGCTTCAAGTTAACACTCCCAACCTTCTGAACAGTCCCCAGCCTTTATATTCAATTACTGAGTGTAAAATACAAGGAGCCACTTCATTAAAAACAAAGTGGATCTCGTGCTTAGATTGCTGCTGTAATAAAACATCATTCCGCCTCACACCACCAATAACCATAAATTAAATTCCATAAAGCAAAGCTGCATGAAAGCTTGAACAGAGCCTCTTTGGACTGCCTTAGTAAATCAAGCAGAAAATGCAGCAGCAGCTTGTGCTGACGCTTTTGTTTTCGGCTGCATAGATCATTTAATAAACGCAAGAGAAAGAAATCTGAGACATTTCGGAGAAATTCTTTCCATTCTTTCAGAGCCAGGACACGTCGCACTGAAAAACAACTGTTCCTATGTGGCCATATTTGGCCTGACAGCATGCTTTCATTTATTCTGGCTCTCTTTTTTATGTCAGGAAAAGGTGTGTCCTACTCTGCTGCAAAGCCTTTTCACCACCGTATAGAAGATGTGACCTAAACTATAAAAAGGCTAAATAAACAAGGAAAAACTAACAGCTAAAACCAAAAAGTAACACATTCATCGCATTTTACAAAGTTAAACAGCTTGTTTTTTTTTTTAGGTATAACTAACATGCAAAAATGGTAAAAATAATCTTCGTGGGTCTGACTTTTTCAATGTTGGTTGCATATATTTAAAATTATTGATAAACAAACATCAGTGAATGCACAAAAAGTTTGGAACCAATTATTGTAAATATATATATATATATATATATATATATATATATATATTTTAAATACGCAGTGCAGCACAGGAAACAGATTAAATGGGCAATCTGATGAATGGATGTCTGCTGGGATCACAGAAAGTTTAGAGGATTTAGCTTTTTTCCCCCACAGTGGAAGTTATTGAGTAATTGATCAATATGTTGTAAAACTTAAAGCTTCAGTGAAGTCATTTTATTCTATATTAACATAAGAACCCACGCTCTCTTCTCATCTCTCTAAGCTGCAAGATGGTGGATTTATTTATGTAATTTCAAATCATTTTTGACTCCTCTGTAATTTTAAGTGTTTTTAATAACTAAATAACAAAAAAAGAAATTTGAAGTCCTTCCTTCTGAGTTCTCAATCCTCTCAAGGCCAGATGGTGTTCAAAATGACTCAAAGACCCCCCATGAGAAACCGCTGACCCCTGACAGTGCGTGCGCGCGCGCACACACACACACACACACACACACACACACACACACACACACACACACACACACACACACACACACACACACAGCTCTCTGTAATCAGGAGCCAGTTCTACCAGAGGGACTGTGGGGGTGTATAACAGAATAATGGAGGAAGTGCTTTGTTTGAGATGTGGTGCTTGAAAACAAATCAAACAGCTTGGAAGATAACAGAAAATAACATTTAACAGATTTTATGATGCATGTGATCTATTTCTTTTTGTTTGTTTTCAGCATTTTATCTTACAACCCACTGCAGCAATCAAAAGCTGATGTTCTGCACCGCAGCAGGAGTGACTGCATCTAAAACAAAATGCAGTAAAACAAGGCGGACAAGCTTACCTCTCCACCGTGACCATCGAAAATCGCGAATATCGACGGGTGGCTCTTGTTGGCAATGTCGGTGAGCACCTCGAACCGGTCCTCCATGTGGTCTCTCCTCCCCTGTATGGAGTACACGGCCACGTTGTTGCTCTTGAACTCCCACGTCTTGGAGAACTCCGCATCCAAGATACGGAGGCCTCCGAGCCGCTCATTCTGCATCATTTCCGCCACTTTCCCCTTCACCATCTTCACGGCATCCCTGCTGGACTTGACGATGGTTTTCACCTCGTCGGTGTGAAAGAAGTAGCTCCACAGCGCCAGACTGATGCACAACAGAAACAACGTCTCAGGCCTGAGGAGAAAATAGCGCATGATCCGACCCAGAAGAGACAAGAGCGTCATTGTGTCTCCTATCATCACACGCAACCAAACTGCAGTCTAACTCTCCTCCTTTCTGCACGATTCACTCCATCCGCCTCGCGAACCTAGAGAATAAAAAAATATATTTAATGTAATTTTTTTCAAAAGATCGACTCAGTACGATGTGCGACATGAGAATTCCGTCATTTAAAACGCGTCTTTTGGTTCCGCTTCTACTTCCTTCGAGCGTATTTACGCACAGCTCGTTTGGTCAGGAAGCGCAAGACCAACGGGCCACTCAGGGCTCTATCCGATGTCCTGGCTATTAGATCTGCTACAGAAGGGTTCTACTGCTTGAGACGATCTCACACGAAACATGGTAGTACGAGCGACTCTTTGGGTCGGAGCCAGCACGAACACGGGAGTCACCGGCAGGGAAGAGTCTTCAGGGTCACCCGAAGGTGTCGACCTTTTCTCCTTTTGACCCCCTTTCTTCTATTTGTCAATGCAGCCTCCGCAACAACATCATCTTTTCCCACACGCCTCCATTCTTGAGTTGTCAAATTGTTTGGAGACAGTAAGGATAGCACCGGAAGTGGAATATTTGTCCTAATAAAATGAGGGGGGAGAGAGAGATGCAACAGGTTCTCAATAACTGATTTTAGAGTTGTGCTTTTATTTTGAAATTGAGTAGCGGAAACGTTGTTATTTTGTGAGCAACTTGACCCTCAGGCATTGTGGTCTGAGTCGGCATGCGCGCGCAGCTGCGAGGCTCTGACTACGGAGTTCAAATATGTCATCCAGCGAACCAAAAACAAATCCTCTCAGCCTGTCTCTAATATCAAAAATCATGAGTGACTTTTTAATATTTTAAAGTGAAGATCACAGAACCAGAACATGTAATCAGAGAATAAAATAAAATAGATTAGACCAATCCAAAATAAACAAATTAAACTACATTTTACATGCATACAAATTAAATAAACCCCAATTAAAAAAAAGATTAACTTTTAATTTGGCACCGAAAGCCCCTTTTTATTCTAATAACCACAGTTAATGCGTGGAATTGTGCTCATGTTTCTAAAAAAAACATGTTTATGCTGTGAATGTTTTTACAAACAAAACTAAAGCTAAATCTTTGACAGGTTTCTCCCCTTTATATTTTATTAATAAAACAAATTGTGGCATTTGGGATTTACTTTATTTTGCTTGAAAACAGGAAAATACTCCCATTCCTATATATTTATATTAATTGCTGATTCTTGAATGTGCAATCTTTACTTGACAAACTTTTGTCCTCAACATAACCCCCTCTATCCACCCCTCGCCTGTTCTAAGCCCCATGATCTCTAGTTTCTTAGCTATTCTTGTTGGTTGGTGAGCCAAAATTAAGGTTTTGAACAAAAAGCATTTTTTCAGGCAGTGTAAGAGCTGTGACGCACTTTTTGAGACATCTGAGCCTGGTTCATTGATGCTTGGTTTCCATGACACGTATCATTGGGTGTACTGTGGTCCTTGAGTGTGTTAGATCAAGGAGGTAAATGTTGGATCGGTGTTGCCATGCCACCTGCTTCAGGACATTGATCTTTCTCCCACTGGGTGATCCATTTTTCTACTTTGAGGCTCTGCCAAATGGTGTGATTGGTACCCTTTGCATCTTTGATTGAATATTTGTGTGCATAGGCAACATGAGTTTTCCCTTAAATTTGTGTTTATTTTGACAACTTCATGCACCAAGTTTGTGCACGAATTACTCTTAAATAGCCCACTTGTACTTATCCCAGACAAAGAAGAAAGTCTTTCTTTGTGTCTAATCTGCTTTATTCTATATCCCTTGAGAGTCACACAATCTGTTCTTGCCAGCCCACCTACCTCATGATAACCTTCAGTATTTTATGTCTTTTGTTCTTTCAGTGGTTTAAAGGTGCAGACGGTGGGTTACAAGGGCAATAAAAAGATGTCTGGGAACACGACTGGTACCTGCTTGGATGGGGTGGAGTGAAGAATCAACAATCTGTCTCAGAAGGTAAATTACATTTGTTGAAGTTTTCTTCAAACTTCATTTTAATTGGACTTTTACATTTTTCAGACTATGAAGAAACTGTATTTGTTGCAGATTTTCAAGATAAATCTGTGTTCTATCTTGCTGAGAAAAAGACCATAGACACGGAACAGTCCATAGGTGTTACTGTTCATTTCTCTTGCTGCTCTTTTATTTTCTTCAGAATGTAGATCTGACCTGAAATCACACATAATGTGATTTCATCTCTGTCCTCCTGAAATAACATCAGAAATAAAACATGCTTCAGTATTAGCTTATATAATTTCTTATATGCCTTGAATTAGTTTTTGACTCCACCACCAAAAACCACCAAAAAGTCTGAAACCTTTGCAGATTGTTATGAGTGAAAGTTTATCTCAATTTCTTTTTATCTTTTATTATATATATATATATATATATATATATATATATATATATATATATATATATATATATATATATATATAATTTATTGTCCCTCTTTGGGGCATTATTTCTAGCATTTCTGAATCTTTAATGCATCTCTGTTTTGCAAAAGGAATTACGTAAAAACATTAATAACCAATGCTGCACCTTCTAACCATCGGATTATTCTGCCTTCAGTATGCTGTCCACAGATGTCATCCTTTTGAACATTCTCTTCATGGCCCTCATGGTTTTGTTGACCTCTGGTGCCAGAACTACACACTGGCCCAAACCGCACAACACCAATAAGCCGCCTCCAGCTGAAACTAGCTTGGGAGGTGCAGGTGGAAAATCGGGAAAATTTGCACAGATGGCCCCAACGGCCCCATCATTTCCTTTCAGGAGCCTTCACATAGACCAAACAACAGAGCTCATGATTGACACGTTATCCGCTTCCCCAACGGACAGCAGCACCAACCATGGTAACGTTTACCCAACTGACCTTTACTCAGAGACAGCAGCACCTCCTGGCAACACCCTTGGAAACTTCTCTCTCGACTACAATGAATGCTTCTTCAACTTTTGTGAGTGCTGTCCTCCAGTAAAAGGTCCAGTAGGGCCAGCTGGAGAGAGAGGCCCACAGGGACCACCGGGAGTAAACGGCCTCCCTGGTAATTTAAAGTGTTAGCAAAATCGTTTTATGAATTAATTTATTAAATAAATTAATTTTTCCAATATTTACTTTTTTTTTCTTTTCAGGGTTGCAGGGAGTAAAGGGAGAAACCGGATCTCCAGGATCAGCAGGATTACCTGGTGCAAATGGACTCAGTGGCAACAAAGGTAACAAATCTCGTCCTACTTTTGTTAGTCATGACGGCAGCCTTTGATACAATCGTCCACGAAATACTATTGTATCAGCTGCAACGCTGGGTTGGGATTACAGGCTTGGCTCTCCAGTGGCTACATTCATTTCTTGCTAATAGGACCTTTTGTGTTTAAACAGGGGAAACCCCCTCTGTCTGGGCAAACCTTAGATAAGGGGTTCCACAGGGCTCTGTTCTTAGCCCCTCTTGTTTGTAATCTATCTGCTGCCACTGGGAGACAATGTGAAGTTCATTTTTTATGTTGACAACTGTCTCTCATTGCAAAGGGGCGAGTACCTCGGTCTCACCACTCCTTGTTTGTCTGGAGGAAATAAAGTTTTGTGTGAGCTCCAACTACTTACATCTAAATGAGCAAAACTGAGGTGATTTGGCTGACCCCTGGTAGGACTCCCTGTTTGGCTTCCGAGGTTGACCTTTCCTCACTGGCAAACCAGCTGATGTTGGTAGTCATTAACCTAGCAGTAACACTGGATAGCAGTAACTCTGGATACTGCTCTCAAATTTCAAGCACAAATTTCTGTGGTTGAGTGTGCCTGTTTCTTCCAGTTTCAACAGACTGCTAAGATCAAGCCAATGTTGTCAAGAGCATATTTACAGCTCTACATGCATTCATACTGTATTTCCTTGACTACTACAATGCTGTGCATACTGTTGTTAGTTTGGGAGAAGTTGTCCACCTTCAACTTGTTCAAAGGTTTTAGAAAGAGGGAGCACATTACTCCGGTGTTGGATTAACTTCAGTGGCTTCCGATTGAGTATCCGATTAGGTTTACAACATTGTCCCATGTATATAAGGCCCTTCAGGGTACTGCACCTCAGTACCTCTCAGCAATGATCCATAGACACATCCCCTTGCAGCACTTGCATTCTCTAAACAGAGGATTTTGGAAGAAGAACCATAGATACAAGGGTAGGGGTACTGTGCACTTTCTGTGGTATCCCTAACTTCTGGAATGAGTTACCTTTGCTTGTGAAGCAGGCTCCATCCCTCCTGTCCATCAAGTCTTGCTTCAAAACACACTTTTATCGATTGGCCTTTTCCCCCTGAAATGTTGTTCTGGTTTAATTCAGTTTCTTGGCCTGTAATTAGTCACGAATTTTCTTGATTTTCTAGCTTTAACTTGGTTTTACTTATTTTTGATCATGGGATTGTTTTTCTACAAGTATTTCTTGTCTCCCTTTTATCTATATTTATCGTGTTTTTGTTGTATTGCTACTGTTGTACTGTTGGTATACAGCACTGTGGGCCTCTGCAAGGGTGGTGGAAGGTACTAGACATAAAATTGATGATCATTCTGTCAAAACGCTGCTTTGAGTAGGTAGGTATTATTTTCTGTTTTTAAAATCATGATTGCTTCAGGTGAAAAAGGTGATCGAGGACTTGCTGGTTCACCTGGTCCCCAAGGCATGCCAGGAAAACCAGGAGAAAAAGGTTATTTCCTAAAATACTTCATATTATACTCAAAATAATATTGGGAAATCTGAAAAGCATTGATTTTTTTAAAGCCATTTTGGTTTTACGTTCTACAGGTGGTCTGGGACCCAAAGGAGAGAAAGGTGAGCATGGCCTCAGTGGAATGAAAGGGGACTCAGGAGAAAAAGGAGAACCTGGTCTACATGGGACCAATGGCACCATTGGGCTCATGGGTCCCCCTGGTGTAAAAGGGACAATGGGTCAGAAAGGTGAACAGGGATTGGCTGGCGAATGTTTGCTAGGTCACAAAGGAGAGAAAGGGGAGGTGGGTGATCATGGCCCTCAGGGTCCGATGGGTGAGAAGGGCCCTTCAGGTACCAATGGAACTGATGGTGCAAAGGGAGACAGAGGGCCCCCAGGAATGAAAGGGGATGCTGGTTTAAGAGGGATGCCAGGTGCAAGAGGTGTAGCAGGAATGAGGGGCGAGAGAGGTGTCAAAGGTGGACGAGGCCCTCGGGGCCCAAAAGGCAGTCCGGGAGAGAGTCTGGAGCAGGTTCGCTCTGCATTCAGTGTGGGTTTATTCCCAAGCAGGTCGTTCCCTCCACCTGGCCTGCCTGTGAAGTTTGATAAGGTGTTTTACAACGGAGAAGGCCACTGGGACCCAGCACTCAATAAGTTCAATGTCACATACTCAGGCGTCTACTTATTCACGTATCACATCACCGTACGCAACCGACCTTTACGTGCCGCCCTGGTGGTCAATGGGATACGGAAGATACGGACACGAGATTCCCTTTATGGCCAGGACATCGATCAGGCATCCAACTTTGTGCTACTACAGCTGAGGGAGGGCGACCAGGTGTGGCTGGAGACACTGAGAGACTGGAACGGAGTTTACTCCAGCAGTGAAGACGATAGCACCTTCTCTGGCTTCCTGCTTTATCAAGACTTAATGGAAAAGAACATAACTTTAGAAATTGTGTAGATGAGGCTTAGCTTTTATCTCCCTGTAGATGTTGAACCCTCAGCGTGTTGTTCCGTGAGATTCACACCATTCAGCTAAATGTTGCTGCTCAGAATCTTTCTGCTGTTCTGCTAATCAACCAAGTGCTTTGCTTGCCTTGTTGTTTGAAAGGTGGTGGGTGACTAATTATTTAAATAGGTGCATGCAACATTTCTGTTTTTTTGTAACATTACATTAAAAGTGCACAGCTGGAATAAACCCATCAAGCTTTATTTACTGGAAACTGAGTCTTTATTTAATTCACAAAGTATTTGACTAAGGATAAATGTGTCCCAGTGAACCAGATCTGGAGAAAGAGATGAATGATCTTTTTAGTGTCCACTAGAGGGCATAATATGCTCAGGTTTGGAAAATAATTACAGAAGATGATGGCTGAGAGAGAAAGAAGGAGAAAAATGAGGTAATAAAGAATAAGAGTCTCCATTATTAAGCAAAATGTATATTTTAATGCAAATAATTTAAAATAAGCCCCCAAGTAGATGCAATAATCCAACTAGTTGTGGTTAATAGTAAATCAGAAGGTTATTAAACCACAGATATTACAAGATGAACAGGAATCACAAATCTGGATTCTCACACCACTTCTCACTCACTGATGTCATTTCCTCTTTGAAATTCCTTAATCCATCTTAAAAAAAGATCTGGTTTAGAAGTAAAAGCTGAAAAACTGCTTCACATAAAATCAGCTGGATTTACAGGAATTTGAAGGACCAATGTTTTATGCAGACCCTTGTAATGTCAGATAAGTTGCATTCTTTATGAGCTTGGAGGATAACCTTCTAGCACAGCAAGTCAAGCTGTAAATTGTTACTCCTGGTCCCTACAGTACAACAAAAACAGCTCTGATTCTTACACATTTTATACTTTATTAGACTGTAAACTGGGAAAAGACATGACAGATGACAGAAAATAAAATTGATTTCCAGCACTCTTTCACACAGGGGATGCTGCACTTACTTAAGTTCAGACTCAGGTAAAAAATAGTAAAAAGAAAACACTGAAAATATCAATAGAACATGAGTTTCTCAACAGTTTTTGCGTCTTCACTTCCTTGTAGATGCAATAATCCAACTAATTAATTAATTGATTGATTGATTTGTTTATTGATTGATTGATTTGTTTATTTATATTTGCATTGTATTACGTTTTCCCCTCTAAAAATATTCAAATTTAATTACAGATGCAAAAACATAATTGACCACATTTTGACTGCCCTGGAATGTGTATTAAATGTTATTTTAGAGCAGGTACACGTTTGATAAGCATTAGTTTTAAAAATGTTATCATGAAATTAAAATTACACTCCTTTATGAAATGCAACGAATAGCAACAAAAAGGAGATATGACTTTTTTTAGTTGAATAATTGTTTATTAAGTGTATCCTGATTTTTTATGACTTTTTTTCCTTTTGCTCTCTAAACATCTCCCAACCTGCACCCCAGGTGCTGATGAACAGTTCTTATAATGATAATAATGGTGATAAATGAGGTGTTTGGTAATATTCAGATTATCACAGTCAATTAAACCGATTACTAGTTTTGCACTTGATGATTATATAAAAAATGAACTAAAAAAAGAAATTCAGATGGAATAACACAAACGATTAAGCTGTGTAGATCTGTTAAAAAGGAGTCCAGCAATTATCTTCATGCAATTTATTAAAATACATCATGTGAATGTAGTGGTAGCTAAAGATGCTGTTTACGACAGTTTTTATGCAAGAATTCTAATTAAATCTGTGTTGCATAATTTAGCATTATAAATAGCATCAGGCATTGTTTTGCTAAAGGAATTGCAAAATTTACTGAGGCATATGCAAATTATTAAAAATGTACTTCAATTAAGGGTGGACTGTACAGAATAGAAACCTAACGATGATACCTGTTAAAGCCCAGAATGACATCTCCATCTACTGGTGAAGGGCACGCAGTGTTCTTCAAACTTTCATCATATTTATGCTGCTGTTTGTAGAGATGGTGCCATATTTGTGTCAGTTTGTAAAAATGTTATTTGGCTTATTTGTTTATGCACGTACGTATGCATATGTGAGTGTGCAAGTGCACAAGTGTGTTTGTAACATTTATGTATTTTCAACTACTCTGTGTGAAAATATAAATAACTACCTTGGCGGTGTGTGCAGTGTAATCTGTTCCCAGCAGGCTGGATTCCCACTGTGAGAAAGACAGTATATTGTTCCTGCAGCACCGCAGATAACAACTCATTAGCATACTGAATCATTTGGCTGCAAGAGCCACTCTGCCACCCATCTGCACTGAGCTGATAAACGCACAAACACACACAGCCCAGCTCACACAAACGAATCCATGTAATGCAGACACATACACACCAACCAGCTCTTGCAAACACATAAACATGCACACACAAGCACACACACACATCCTCTCACTCCCTGCCTTTCAACCCCTCATATACTTCCTCTATCCTCCTCTTTTGTGAGTCTGTGTCTTTTCTGAGAGTCAGGAAAACGGAAGCAGGTAAACGCTTGGCAGGCATTAACCCAGAGAGCCCCTCAGTGGAGCTGTGGCCCAGCCAGAGCAGAGCACAGGAGAGGTCTCCAAACACCTGGATGTCTCTGATGCTCTCTGGAAGCAATTATAGCCTTTAGAAAAGCCCGAGTGCTGTCTGACGTGGTAGCAGAACTGGTGGCATCGCTCATTGCACATAAAGTTGAAGAATGCGAGGAAGTTCAGATTCAAGCTCCCGTATTTCTGCTATTATGATTGTTTTTTTTCCCTCATATGCAAGTCGGTGTTGCCGTAAATCTTCTATTTGTAACTGAATGAATCATGGGAGGTGAAGTTCCAATCTAATTGAGTGTTTCACCAAATGCACAGACACAACAGCGGTAAAACGAGTGCAGCGGAGGCTGTCAAAGCCACTTTCACAATGGCAGGATATCCTGCAGGTCAGCGAGCCATGTTAACCTCCACAGGAAGTTGTCACTTGTTGGGGAGGAAGTGAGGATTACAGCGTCCACTGAAAGAGGCTGTGGTTTAAACTGTGTGCAGAATAAATGTGTCTTATTTGAGAATAGAATAGAATAGAATAGAATAGAATAGAATAGAATTCACACAACCACAGAGGGATCAAATATCAGAATTTTCTTCTGCATATTTTATTCAGTTACTTCGTATAAAATTCATCAGTTTAACATTGGATATATTTATAGTTACAGCTATCATACAACAAATATGTCATTACCAAACATACAATGTTCCTTTACTGTAATCCATAAAATATCAAAGGTACCAGTATAGGCTACTAGGTTCTGCAAAAAAAATGCAGAATAACCAACAACAGTGAGCAATACTTAACTGCCTTTATCAGAAAACTGCTGGTGTTCTTATGATATTAACACTGCTTATCGGGGTGTGTGGGTGTGTGTGTGTGTGTGCATGCATGCATGTGTGTGTGTGCATGCAAACGTGTGTGCGTGCATGTATAATGCAGGAGCAAAGGGATTTATTCATGTACCTTGCTAAACTACATCTGCAGTACAGTTTAAAAAAACACTGACACATTCATATAAAAAGAACTGCACGAGTCACTTCCTGGTTTCATTTGACCCCTTTTTGTACACTTTAAGAGCACTGATCATCTTGTACCTCCACAACAATGTCAAACAGATACCTTTGACCCCAGACAGTGAAATTGTTTGACTGTCTCTAGAAATATTTGTTGCCATTTTCTTAATCACCAAAGTTTAACAGAAGGAAGCGGTACCACAATATTTCATCTGTACGTTCGGTTGTTAGCTTTACATTTAGAAGTTTTCTAATTTCTTGTTGTCTGTCCCCCTGAAAGACAGTTTTGATAGTAAACTTATTGACAAACACACTATGGTACATTTTAAACCACATGACTTAGAATTGTCACTGTTTAACATTGTGCACTGGAAATATAATATTTACAAAGAATAATAGCGTTTCTATTGTGCTCTAATGCCATTTTAGGTAAAGTTATTGGGATTCCTGATCCGCATACTTCCAGCTCATTTTGTAAACAAACATGAGGAGTGACCTTTCACTTTGTTTTTTGTTGTATTTCCCCTTTTCTCGTTCGTTTTTGTGGTTTTATGTATGTATTTTCAGAGTGCCGTTGGAAATTTCAAACAAAAACGTAATAATCTGCAGATTGGATTACAAATGCTGAGTTTTAGAAGTTGTTGCTGGATCAGTTCATTGTCTCGTGTGCCGTATAGAGACAAGAGGGTACTCGAGATCCATTTTAAATACTACCATCTCACTTTGTGGCTGGATTTATCTGGCTAATCTGAAAGCTCAGAGATAACGGGATTCTAAGAATATCTTTTGTAAAAAGTTCTCCCTAACTGGTTTTATTTAGTCTTAGGTGTTGTTTCTGTGGTCTGCTGGCATCAGCATCATCGCCGAGTGGAACCATCTAATGGACGTCCATTGCGCCTGAGATCTCTAGCTGCTAGATGCAGCGAGGGCCCGCGTGAGGTTGTTAGAGTCCTTGGAGCTGGAGGTGAGTCCTGGTCCTCCATGAAGCTCTCAGGACTCCCTTCTGCATCACCGTCTGGTAGGCTTCCACAGCTGGAGCTCGGTGACATTGTCTCCAGAAGATCATCCCTCGCCAAGCCCACCACAGTTTCCTGATGCGGCGCTCCCTGAGGGCCTCCCTCATGAGTCGCAACGCCAACCAGAAGCCCCGTGTCCCCGTCAGTTGTGCCGCCAACGTTCCTTCCTCCGTCCTGATCCTCCAGGAGGTTGGAGAGGAAGCTGATGTACTTCATGGCAAGTCTCAGAATCTCATTTTTGCTCAGCTTCTTGTCTGGAGGGTGAGTGGGTATGAGTTTACGGAGCTCGGCAAATGCACCGTTTACATTCTGCTGCCGCCATCGCTCGCGGCTGTTTGTGAAGATGCGGCGGACAATCTTTGGCTGGCCAGCTGTCAGAATAAATGGAAAACAGGGAAGAGGACAGAGACAGTAAGGACACTGCAGATAAAGCTTGTTACAGAAAACGTGGCAGGTGCAAAAAGCCAACAGAAAACAGATGCACAACATTTGTGAGAACATTTTCTAAAGCAAAAGTTGCAAAGCTGTCCTCCATACAGCCATGGGTTATTAGAAATCTTGCATAAAGTTTCCAGATGTTACACAAGAAATCTTTTATTCATGGGGTCTGAGGGGGTTGTGTTCACCCCACTGAGCACTCTCTGTACAATGTATTTTGTCAGGCATAATAAAATGCTTCACTGCAGGTAGTTAGATCTTCCCACCCCCAGTAATGGTGTCTTTGGGGCTATTGTTTCCTCTGGAACACACCCAGTCTATCTTAATCCCTCAGCCCACTCTGCAGCAAAACCTTGGCATGGAGGCAGCAGCACCCCCATCCTCCTCTCCTGTGGCTGGGAGTGGGCAGCAGCAAAACAATTAGAAATGTTCCAAATCAAAATTACTTCCAATTTGCCTGAGAAAGGTATGTTTTAATGATATAAAGGTATATGAATTTGGCTACAAACGGAAATAATTTGTGCCAGAAATGGCATTCTTCATTCCTCGCTGGATCATTTTCTTTTTTAATAAAGCATCTTCTGCAACACTCAGTGCAGAAGCTGCATTGGTCCATGTCAGTGGATGAATGACAATGGAGATGAAGAAGGGACATTTTATTGGCAGAAGGAGGACACAGCAGAAGTGCATCTTACCATACTTATAAAGATCTAAAATGCGCCTACCCTCGTCGAGTTCAACCTCATAAGGCGCCGGGCGGCGCTTTACCCTGTTGCTGGGGTACATGCTGTACTGCTCTGACTCTCCTCCAAGACTGCAGGAAAAGAAAGCGCACAAGTTTTAAACAAATATGAGGATATGGGCATTTTAAAATCACCATAAACACACACACACACACACACACACACACACACACACACACACACACACACACACACACACACACACACACACACACACACACACACACACACACACACACACACACACACACACACATGCATCTGTATCAGAGAAAACAGCATTTATCCAAATATCTACACCTCAGGTGTCTTTTACTTCACACCTAAAAGGCCACACAGACCCAACATTAATCCAACATCAGAGGTGAAAACTTAAATTACACGGAGCATGCGTGATAGCCAATCTCTCCCTGACCTGTTGATGGCGGCAAGAGGCTGCGCCAGGTTGTAGAGCATCGCCCGCGCCGGGACAGGAAACGCGTTTGGGCTCAGTTGGACCATTCGAGCGTCGTCTCGTTGCGGCGGTGGTAGCGGCAGCGGTGGAGGTCTGCGAAGTTCCGTGATCGGCACCAAATGGCTTTCAGTCCTGCGCTGCACCGCCTTTATAGCGTCCCTCCTGGAGAGCTCGATCACCGGCACTTCCCTTTTCAGGTCTAGGGCGTTGTGAGGGGCAGTTTCCTTGGCAACGCCGTTAATGATGATGCTGATGCTGGTCCCGTTGCTCGAGTTCTGCAGCGGAACGTCATCCGTCTCCTCAACCCCTTTGAAGAAACCCCCCCTCCCCTTCTCCTCTTCCTCCTCCTCATCATCATCCTCATTCTCTTCTTCCCTCTTTTCTCTCCGCGGCTCTTCGTCCTTCTTGTATCCGTTCTGTCTGGAGATGATGGCGGAGCCCTCGCGCCTTCCAGGGCCGGATCCTGCGTCGGGACTTCCAGGACAAAGCTCCTGCTCCTTTTTTTCCATCATTTTGAAACCGTGGCCCCTATTGCAGTCCCGCTGTATCCTAAATAAAATGCCCCTCGATTAATTCATCGCCGGAACATGACTTGTGGCAGACACGTCGAAAATGATGAGCAGTTTGATGTCCTTGGGAGTCTTTGGAGGAAAAATTAATAATTAATCGACTTTTTTCCCGAAAAACCGCTACATCTGGACAAATTGTGTGATTAAACGGGTTTACACATTTCTTATTATCTGACAAATGCCAATAAATAACTGCTGCATTTTATTTTGTTAATGTGTTTTTGCTGCTAAATTAACAAAAGAGGCATTTTTCCTACACGAATGTGTGTTTAGGTTTAAATAGCTCACTTAACTCATTATTATAGAACAGAGATTTGACAATGAAGAAATCACTTTAACACAAAATACCACATTTAAAACATTTTTGTAATCTATTACATCTATTTGTGTGTTTTCTGTACTTATATTTAACGTTTTTATACAGTTTAGCTTTTTATATACGTTCAGATGAGAGTTACCTTTAATCAAAGAGATACGTTTGGGTTTATTTAAATGTATTTTAAAGCAGATCCTCGACTCTCACACAAACATTACTACCAGAAGAGCTTGGTAAAACCGTTATGCGTCGAAATCTTTTCATGTCTGCCCTTAATAATTACAGAATACCCAAAATAAGCAACAGAAGAAAACAGTTAAACATCATTTTGCTTTTCTCTTCCATAAAGGCCGGAATGCTTATGTTATTATAACCAAACAACACAGAAGCTTATAATAAAGCAGGTGTTTCTTCAGTGATTAGAAGACAAACGTCATCGGAATGTATTTTTAAATCGAACAACCAATTATCCAGAAAAGACGCACTTTTATTTTAGGGGATTCTCCCGCAGGCCTCGTCTCCGTTATTCCTTCTCATCCGATCGCAGGAAAAAAAGACGGATAATTTCTCTTATTAGACCAATAAATCGACTCCGATAGTAGATATTTTGCATCACTTGGAGTAGAAAATAGAACGATTTAAATATGGGTAGGTGATTTTGGCACTTACCGTTCCAGTCGTGTTGATGTTACTGTGGAGCCATTTTGTGAGTGGGTCATCCATGTCTGAGGTTTTTCTTTTTTTCCCAGCCAGTTGTTAAGCAGTGTGTGTGTGTGTGTGTGTGTGTGTGTGTGTGTGTGTGTGTGTGTGTGTGTGTGTGTGTGTGTGTGTGTGTGTGTGTGTGTGTGTGTGTGTGTGTGCGTGTGTGCGCGCGCAGCTGAGTTATTCCCCGCCGCATCCAGTGCGCTCCCTCTGTAAGGGGAGCGGAACACAGGCCGCAATGTGGCCGAGTGAGATAAGCGCGCGGCAGCGGCCTCTTCATTCGCGATAAGCCCCTAAACCCATTATTTATGAAATGATTCATTATTATTTGGCTGTCGTGGGCTATATAGTCTTGTGGAGGGCAAGCCATGAAAAAAAGCAAACAGACACAGCGCAACGGCCTGTAACAACGTGAGGCAGCAGACTGTACTGCCTGAGCTGCATTAAGGTGTTTTTATTTTTTTATTTTCTCACGATATAAACAAAAGCTCGGGTTGAGCCCAGCGCTTAAATTATATTCTCTTGAGAAAAGGAGGCACTAGTTAAGCCCAATTATGAAACAATAACCTGATAAAATCACGTGATCATTTGCTCATTTGTTTATGATCACAGAACCTACATTGAGTTTTCCCCTTGCTCCGGGATGGATAATTGTCTGAAGGAGCGACTCTGTCAACTGATAATGAATAACTAAATGAATAGACAACAAGGAAACTAAATAAATAAATAAATAAATAAATTGCCGGCCACCACTCCCTTGGGGGTTTGTAGTCGTGGCTTGGAGAGATAAAGGACAAAAAAAAGACAGAAAAGGCCTCTGGCTCTGGAGGCATCAGATAACCGGGCAGAGCATCAACTGTGACACCCTATCACGGTGACGTTTCGGCCAGCAGGTACATCCCTAATAACGAATATATTCATTCTGCAGGTGAAACGAATATATATATATATATATATATATATATATATATATATATAATTACCTTAGGCAGGTGTAAAAAATAGCCTGACCAGCCAGCCTATGCGTCTTTGTGGGAAGTATAGCTCTCTGTAAACAGAGGACGTGTCTGGCAGGTCAGGCTGGTGATTAAAGGCTGTAAACAAAGGATGCTTTCAGTCATTTACAGTAATGGTCGTTTATTTGGATCATTTACAAAATGCAAAGTGGGTGACCCCAAACATATCCAGTCTAAGTAATTATCTATCTTCAGTATAGATAGATAGATAGATAGATAGATAGATAGATAGATAGATAGATAGATAGATAGATAGATAGATAGATAGATAGATAGATAGATAGATAGATAGATAGATAGATAGATAGATAGATAGATAGATAGATAGAGAGAGAGAGAGAGAGAGAGAGAGAGAGAGAGAGAGAGAGATAGATAGATAGATAGTTAGATAGATAGATAGATAGATAGATAGATAGATAGATAGATAGATAGATAGATAGATAGATAGATAGATAGATAGATAGATAGATAGATAGATAGATAGATAGATAGATAGATAGATAGATAGATAGATAGATAGATAGATTGATAGATAGATAGATAGATAGATAGATAGAAAACAAAAGTCAGATAATTTTTTTAAAAACATAATTAATTTAATCGATTTTCAAACAGAACCGCATGATTGAAAATAAGTCTACACACTTTATGACAGCAACAATAATTTTCACTTAAAATATCTCAATTCAACATCCTGGCCCAAATCGAACAAAAATAAATATAATCATAAATGAACAAGTGTTTACGTTTTCTAAGTTGACTTTATTCACTGACTCCATGCTGCTTGTAATAAAATCCATGTAAAGATGACCCTAGCTTCATGTTCCTGCCCTTAATGCATCGTTTTCAGTTGGAGCCAAGTTTCTCATACTTTTCGAAAATATACCGACTTTACTGAATCTCTCAGGTGGGCGGGGCTAAAGGAAGCCAAAAGGCACTTATATCAGTCGCAGTCTGAGGGTCTCTGTTGCTTTCTTCAGCTGTTGAACATAAATCAGTTATTAGTGAACTTCTGATGAGCAACAATTAAATGAATGGTGAAAACGCTGCAGGCGATTTTATTATCTTTAAATGGATCTACGCTCAGTCACGACCTTCCAGGGCTGTTGCAACAGCAGTCACGACCGTCATCCCACACGGAAAAAAGTTTTTCTTTGGAACTATCCTGTTCACTGCAGGTTCGCCTCTAAAACGTTTATGTTAGAAAAAAATTTTCTATTTCTCTCAAAATGCAACAACGCCCTTATTTTAACACCCCAAATATTTTTAAATGAACTTAGAAATTGCACAGTCACATAGATAATGCTTAATATATTGTTTCCTCTTTCATTATGAAAACTATGAAAGTAGTGCAAGGCTGTGAAAATATGTAAATAAGATGAGGCCATGAGTTCACATTTCGATCATAGATCGTTTATTTGAGCATTTCTGACAAACCTTGACAATCCCCCCCCCCCCCCACCCCCCCACCCCACCCCCTTCTCCTTCTTTGCTCCTTCTAACGCTTGGGTAAAAAATGTAGACAACAAATTCTTTATTTATCTAATGTTACTGGTTTCTGACCACAGTTCTTGGCAGGATGCACTTAAGTTTCCAGAACATGATCTAAGAGCCACAGTGTCTCTTTTTTCTGTTTTTTTTATTAAAATGAAATGAAATCCAAGAATAAAAGAGTTGCCAAAATAAAATGCTTTATTTCAGAAGAAATAAAAAGCACATCAATCTAATTGAATAGTCTAAGAGGTAGAATAGACGCACAGATTGGGAGCAAAGAGCCGGTGATGGGAGAAAGGCTATTTTCTCTAAATGTGCAGCTTTTTCATAGTGATCCTAAATGAGAAAATAATGTTACACTAGATTTAACTAAATTACTGATCAGTCTAAGCTTTGCTGCTTCGAAATGCAAAGAGCAAAAAAAGAAAGAAAAAAACCCAGAAAAGATATTACAGTCCTTTATCAATCCAATCTTGTTCATAAAAAAGTAAAGATCCTTTATGCAATTCTCATAAGAGATGAACCATTACTTCAAACTGCAATGCTGCAGTCATTTAGTCATGTTTGGATTGTGTTCTCCAGAAGAAGCGGCGGCGTGCCGTGTCCCTCCCACCACTCAGCGCTGATTTCGTCGAGCAGGCAGGATCCGAAGCGAGGCGCTGCTCTCCCGGGTCATGAGTCGCGTCACCTGGTCCAAACTGAGTCCAGCCACCACCTCCCCGTTCACCTGCAGGATTTCATCTCCAACGCCAAGAAGGCCCTCCACACTGCCGTCACCAACCTTCTCAACATACACACCTTGAAAACACACAAGATAAAAACACACTAGGACAGTAAACCCAAACCCCAGATGTGAGAAATATCAAGCTTACCTGTGTCTGGTCGACCTTTCCCCCTTGATATTACAAAACCAAATGGGCCGTTTGGGGGTTTGATGAGCTCCAGGAGGATGGTGCCATCAGGGAAAGCCTGGGTGACTCGGCCCACCGGACGCACCATTCTAGAGACAACCACGTCTTCAACGCTTAGGGTCCTGTGGAGCTCAAGCTGGGGGCTCTCAGGGCTGGAGGAGCAGACAATCATTTCATTAGACACGTTTAAGAAAATAAAAGCACACTGGCTTTACCCAGTCATTTCTCTGTGTTGTGTTTTCCTCTCATATTCACCTGGGTGCCAGGCCGTAAGGTATCTGGACTTCTCCAAGTATTGTTGAACGCTCAGTTCTTCTTTCTAAGCTCTGCACTGAGGACGCTTTACGGAGCTGGGCCAGTGGCAGCACCTAGTGGCAAAAACAGGGTATTGTAGCTCATGTTTCCTAAAAGCTGTGGGTCAGTGTGATGCATCATATAGGACAGTGGTATTCAAATCTGGGCTTGGAGGGCCGGTATCCAGCACGTTTTAGTTTTAACACTCCTGATATCAGTCAGCAGGTAACTAACTGGCTTTTGCAGAGCCTGATGAGCACATGTGATTCAACCACTGAATCAGGTAGAAGCAGAGAAACCACTCAAACGTGCTGGAGACTTGCCCTCCAGGCCCACAACTGAATACCCATGACACTCATTATCCCATTACTTTTACATCCAAACGCAGACATTAAACTTTCAGTTAACTGTTAAATGAAGCTCAGGTCGAGTCGTGATATCTCCACAATTTAAGGTGAAAAACAAAGACCGTGTGCAGGGTCTGCAGCGAGGGAGTCCTCTGTATCCGGATGCTTGGCTGAGGTCTCCGGGTGGGGCTCGGTGAGGCTGAGCTTGCCCGTGGGACTGTGGGTAGGCTGAGCTGTTCCATGCTACTGGAGCGACCCCCTTTCACAAGCCTGCCAACGCTGTTCAGTCCAATGGAGGAAAAGAAGCGACGCAGAAAGAGCTTCGGCCTTCCGTCCAGTTTTCTGTGAGAGAAGTTCAATTGTGATAAAAAGTGAAAACATTGTTTGGTTTTGTATTTTAGCATGCATGTTTTGCTCTACCAATGCTTATAAACATCTTTAATCGGCGTGTACATAAGACATTGCTTTGTCAGATTGTAGCAAAACTTAGATATTCATTAGGGACGTCTGATATTATCGGTCAACCATTAATATCGGCCCATATCTGCAAAAAATATCAGTTTTCAGTCTTTTAATGACACAGCGTTTGCATCCAGGCACATATGACCCATCAAACTCTTCATCTTCTTCTCTTCTCTCTCAAAAGATCAAAAGATGACATCTCTGAGGTAAAGTTTTTGAGATGTTTAAGTTTATTTGGCACAACTTTTGGAGTAGAAATTTGCCCTGTCCTCACAGCACGTAGCTACATGCAGCCGCACAGCTAGTTTTCCTGTTATTTACCTAAATAGAAGTAGTTGTCACTTTGCACAAAACATGTTTAAAATTTAAGCATGCATGATAGGAGGTATGTGATGTTAGTAACATCAAATGTTTAAAATTTTCTTTATCTATGAGAAGGGACGCCGCATTAATCAGTATCGTTTTATATCAGTGTAGGAAATTAGGAGTCAGATAATAATGCAAAAAGCCAATATCCCTAATATTTATACAAAAACACTTTGGAAGAGTGATTTTTTTATTACCAAAATGAAAAATAAAACTACAAAAACAAGTAAAAATGGAATAAATCAGCATTTTGTTTTGGGTTATACTAAAAAAAATGTCCATCATTTAGGGCATCAAGAATAAATCTGTATCGCCAGTAGAGGGCAGCTTTGTTGTGGTTTTCACTGATTAATTTGAACAATAATACCAAGTGTAGGTCAGAGTTTTAATTTCCGAACGGTGCTGAGATGGAGGGTTTTTGTCCTACCTGGAACCATCTGAGCTTTCCTCCCATAATGCCTCAGCTTTCAAATGTTCTGATCTCAACAGCTCAGCTCTGAGGTCCTCGGACCGAGACATGGCCATGCCACGGAGAGAGCGGAACTCTGGTCCAGGACCAGTCTCTCCGCTGAGACCTGCAGACAGAGAACGACCACAATATTGGACTAAAACTTTCATTTGCGTTTTTTAATAACTAAAAATTGAGACTTGTTTCTGTACATCACAGCTGGGTGCCGACACCTTGGGTTGTTACAACGTTCCACTTATAATAGACTGTGCATTTATGGTTTAAACATTTTATTAGAACTTGTTCCACATCTACAAAGTGAGACATTAAAACAAGGAAAACACATCAATGAAAAAGGAGCTGAACTCTTGTTGATTTAGAACGGTTTAATCTTACACTTAACTAAAGACAGGGAGAAAGTAATCTGTTTGATCCACTTATGTAAGAGGCAGCATTACAGCATAAAATTAACAGCTGGAACTGCAAGGGTTTAGATGCCTCTACAGTGGCTCGGCTTATCCCCGCTCACCTGCTCCTTCTGGAGTGATGTCCCAGAGCTCAGCAGATGGCAGATCTGAGGCGAGTCTAACTGGGGAGTACCTCAGGGTAGAGGGCCTGATGAAGGGCACTGGGCTGTTTGTTGATGCTGCTCCTTGGTTAAGAGTAACCGGAGACTCTCTTCTTGACTCTAGAGAGTCCAGAAGGGACTGGGATCTGCCTTCGTCTCCTTGATTTGAGGACATCTGGAACTGAACTGTGGACTGACCCGTAGCAGGGCGATGTTTTGAGCTTGACTTTAGTGCTGACTTTATAGGAAGTAAAGATGCGGGTGATTCTCTGAGTCCACCAGAGGCCTCCAGTAGCTGGGGCTCCAACGTGATGGGGCTTCCAGGAGCAAAGGAAACGGCTGCGTTTAAGTTCAACCTGTTCCGTGGGTTCGAGTTACGCCTCTGAGCCCACGACGGGCCGTAAGGGCCGTGGCCCGATTCCAACCGACTTTCTCCCTTCCTGCTTCTTCTCCTGAGTTTCCCAAAGCCTGATGGCTTCCACCCTGTGCTGGTTTCTTTATCTTCACCCAGTACATAAGCTCCAGCAAACGTGACGGTAAGGGGAGCTTTGGGACGAGTGCTTGTCTCCACTTTGTTTGACAGCACCGAGCACAGAGATGTTCTTCCCCGTGGCTCCTCCAGGCTGGCAGACAGCTGTGGTTCATTGCTCTGTGGATCTGACGGTGATGAGACTGTCTGAGGTTCCCTAACTACAGCGCCACAGGCTTCACATTTCTTCACCAGCACTATTATTTCCTTGATCACTTTTGTTTCGTTACTTGGAACCAGGTCTTCCTGCTTCTGAGAAGGTGGCATAGAAACACTTCTCTGGCCTCTGCTCCTCTCTGAGCCGCTGCTGCTGGAATCCGTGGTGCTTTCTTTTGCTTTGGACTTGGGCATCCCAGGTCTGCCTCGCTGTCTCACTCGGTCCAAATAGCGAGACTCCGCTTCTTTCTCAGACTCATCCTCAAAGCGCACACGTGTGGGCGAACAGCCATATCGCCTAGATGGACCCGCTTGGTCACTGGGAGATGTGTCTCTTTGAGTGGGGACAAGAAGGGGACCAGACACCGTTTGAGCTGGAGGGTCCTCTTTGGTTTCAACAGCTTTCTGCTCTGTTGTTCCACCGGGAGATCCGTTTTCTGGCTTCTTGCTGCAAACGAGTTTAGAAATGTGCAGGTTAGCGACATCTTAAAAAAATAACACGGACCCCAGATTTTCATGGATGTACACCAGATCCACAAACTACATGGCGATCAAAGATTTACTCTGCAATCGTCTCAGTCACCACGTATGTTATTACCTAATGGCTGAATCCTTTGCAACTACTTCTAATCCTGATTTACATGAATGTGTTCTGCTTACAAAAACTAACCCTAAACCCTAAACGGAATAAAAGACAACATTTTTAGTGCAGCCAGGTTTAAATTGAGTCAGATAAGGCAAGATGATGTTTAACAAAGCAGGGATCTGTTAGATAAGCAGATGTATGCGACTCACGCTGTGGATCTTTGGTCAGATTGGGAGCGTCTGGTACGGTCACCCTTGACGTGAGTGGACCGAGCCTTCAGTCTGGCTCGCTCCAGAAGACGCTTGGCTTGTTCATGTCGAGGACTTAGAGGTAGCTCGTCGCTGATTACAAGAAGTGACCTGATGATTGAAACATGTTAATTAGTAAAAAAAAAAAAATAATTAAATTCAAACAGCTAGGGGATAGATGGTTCCGGAAATATTGTAAGTTTCAAGAACATTAGATTTTTTTTTTGTTTGACTACCTCTAATACTTGATGATTCATTTCCAGCAACATCATCAATTGTCCCAAAAACTGACTCAATGCAGAGTGAGTCAAAATGAATGTTTCTAAGCTGTCGTGTGTAATATAAGATACTTAGATTGGGGAGTGGTCACGACCGTGAGCTGCAGCGGGAAACGCCATGCACCGTTCTATCCTCGGGCCAAGCAGCTAAGCTCCTCTGCATTATGCTTCATCGTCTGTACTTGTCTTTATCCCCTGACCCAGTGATAAAGATAGCATGATACACCAGCCACGTGGATTATCAATGCAATGGATCAAGTGTGATTCACTTTCTCCTGTGTGCCAAGACGAGAACATGATGTGTTTCAGAAGATTGGACTTGGTCCTGTCACTTATGTGGCATCAATAACAGCAACAAAAAAAAAATGGCTGTCCACTTTGGTGTCTCGATCTGCTCTAGTGTTCATGATTAAGGGGTAACGGTGGCAGAGGATTTAAGAACCCACCCTGTAACCAGCGGGTTGCAGGTTTGCATCCCATCTGATGCAGTGATTGTGTCCTTAAGCAAGATGTTTCACCCGTTTGCCTGCTAGTGGTAGTCGTGGGGGTTGGGTCTGGTGGTGGCACCTGTGTACAGCAGCCTCGCTTCTGTCATAGTGCCCTGGAACAGCTGCAGCTAAAATTTTGCTCATCATCACCAACGTGTGAATGTGTGTGTGCTTGGGCTTATTGTGTGTGCTGTTTAAGTCATCTAACATGTTACAGCTTGGACTGGTTAGTTGTAAAGCACCTTGGGGGGTTGTAGAACCCTAGAAGGTACTTAATAAATACAGGCCTTTTTTCATTATCATTAAAGTAGCAACAGATCATATTTTAAACTTTATGCAAGAGTTTTAACATGGATGTCAGAGACTGTTGGGTTAGAAACTTGACCAGATTCATATTTGACACCACTCTGCAGCCCTCTGCCGACCAAAAACAACACTAGATGGGTTTTTTTGGAATGGAAAAGTGTTCTAGGGGAGCTCTTTACCTGCTTTATGGCTCTTAGCTGTAACGCTAGTAGTTAGCATTTTCAGTTTGCCAATCATCAATAAAAAGCACAAGAAGAAGAAAAAGAGGTAGTGTGTGTTTTGTGTTGGAATCGTGGCCGAGTCTGGAAATAAAAATAACGTCTACTGCACACTGGAAGCATCAGTGGCAGGGAATGGCAGCGAAACGGCACTGCCTCAGATATAACCCATTAGTCTCTGGAGAGTAACAAACCAGGCACGTCGCTGCAATTTTCAGCCGCTTCCCAGAAGCGGCACGCCGCACCGCTAAGGATGGGATCAGGTTTTATTTTTGCTGCGATCCGTACCTGGGATGCGTCAATTACCGCAGTTAACCTAGGGCTAGACAGGAAATCACACACAGTTTCAGTGTAAAATCGCCATTCATTTTCTAAATAAACGTATTGCAGCATTGCATTTTCACATATGTGAAGCTTACGTGTGACCTAATGACTTATTTACTCACAGCATCATTCCAGAAGTGCAGCTGTGTTTTTTTCATGGCTTTATTCCTGGCAGTGAAGAGGAACACCATCATATATGGCATCAAACAGCAATATCAAACGTGAGTTCCCTTTTTTTTTGTTTATTGGCAGATTGCGTAAACAAACCGTAACCTTTGAAGTCTCGAGGGATCGCGTGATCTCGCGAGGAGTTTGGTGGATTGGCCGCTTTTTTTTTATTTTATTTTTTTTCTTTATTTCATTCAATAAAAAATAACACAGTGTGCAGCAGGAGCAAGAGAGTAATGCCTTTGGAGGCGAAGCAAAGAGCTAGCACTGGAGTAAACATCAGTGTGGCTTCACTAGCTTGAGCAAGCTAAAGAAGGCTACAAAATAATGGACTGATGGTGACCTGTCTTTGTTGCTGCAGGACTATTAGGTAATACATTTTTTTGTCCAACAGTGTGGATCTTGTTACTTCGTGGTTTATTTTAGTATTAGTTGGCTGCTGTTAGCTCATTATTAGCGCTAGCTACAGCAGGGTTGTTTACGGCAGTTGTAACTCCACTTTCAACCAGTAGGGCGGAGGAGCAGGAAAGTGATCTGTGACTTGGCACACAACAAAACTAACATTTAGAAAACTGATGAGGGAAATTTTTATTCTGGTACGTGAAGAGTATGGAAGACTAACATAAATAGCATCAGAATCAGTGTTTGGCTTCAAATATTTCCTATTCTTATGTCAAAAGAGACACATATTGAGCAAAAAGTAATGTAAAAGTTAATTTTCTAAAGAAAGAAAACGCGTCATCAGGTTTTCTTTGCGCTCACCTCAAATAGGGTTCAAGTTCCTGAGCAAGAAGGGCTGAGTCTGTGCTGTCCAGAACCCCCTGGTCACCTGAAACTGGGAGGAAAAGAGCAGATGTGGGTTACAATGGGTTATAACTCACAAATAAGTAAAAATCACCCCCTTTATTAACCTATTTAAGTCATCTAACATGTTACAGCATCAACTTATTTAAAGTTCAGTTCCTATTTGGTGTTTGCTCGGAGGAAAAGCAACCATCCGTGCTCTGATCCTAAATGGGCATTTAGGACATTTAAAGTTTTTGAGGATTTGCATAATTATTGTGAGTTTGTTCATTTCTTAGAATACACCTGGCCAATACTTTGTGTCAGTCAAAAAATAATAAATAATCATGGTTATGCAACCACTAAGAGTGGATTTGCATAAACAACGAGGAAAAATAACCCCGACTAGGCCGAACTTTGGGTCGGCTCGTCTTGCACTGACCTTTTGTCTGGCCTCTACATTAACAGGGTGGACATGTGCAGATTCACACATCAACAGCATTGGATAACACATAATCTTTCATCCTACGTGCATACAAAGACACCAAGCATCCATCCAACAGAGAGATACCAACACAGGGACACTTCCCCCCGCCGCTCTGACTGCTAATAATAGCAACAGCCTTCATGCACATCTGCACATCTGACATCTGTTCAGTTCTGGGAACCAGCCAGGTTGCATACTGAGTTGAATGAATGTACAGCATCCCAGGTTAGACGTGCAGGCAGCAGCTTGTGAAGGGTGCGTGAAATAGCAAAAGCAGATGAAAAACCTGGACTGACAAGCATGTTCACACTGGAAACACGCTACAGGAACAACATATGTTTTGGATTTTTGTCACTATTTAGAATGATAACACAGATTTTAGCCTTTTGATGGAGTTCAGGCGCAGATGCAACCAGCTGAGTTTTCAGAAGGAAGACAGTGATGATGAAATAAACATGAGCTCCGAGCTGAAAGCCTTTTTAAAAATATTTATGTTTGCTGTCTGATTTTTTTTCATGTGTCCTTAAATGCACAGCACTTTACAGAGATGTTATTATTTATATAACATGAGATTAACGTTGTCATCAGAGGCTTCGTGATTATCCATTCATCACTCATGTCATTCAGCCCCACCATTCATAAACACGATGACTATGAAGCCACTTCGGGATTGAGGTAATGAGGGAATGGTGTTTCTGTTTCTTTCACAGATTCCCTATAAACGCTTACCTTTATAATCCACCCTGTATGTTATGTCTCCATAGTAATCGACACTTTCTCCTCCAGGCTGATCGTGATTCTCCCTGCAGGATCGTTGCCTTTCCCGTAACTTTGCATAGGCCCTCTCCTTCACCCTGAGCTTCAGGTCAGCACAGAGCACCCCGCTTTGTGAAGACGTGCTCTCCCAGCTGTCAGAAGTGCACGGTGCTTTGGCCACATCGCCCACGTCCGCCTCTCTTTGCTCACACCTGTTCAGGTATAACTCTGCGCTGTCGGAGTGTTTGAACTTCAACGTGGCATCGTCTGCCTCATCCCTGGATCCGGTCTTGGATGGTCTGGACTTTTTCTGAGGTTCTGCTTGCACCTCTATCTGAGTGTAGTCCTTTAGAGGTAAAGTTGGGGGTATGTTGTGGGGTCCAACCCCGTTGAGAAGCAGTGTTTCTGGACGGGCTACTCTCCAGAAGCCCTTCGGAGGAGCCCAGGACCTCGGTGAAGATGAACAGGTGGAAGAGAGCATAGGCGCAGGAGGAGGAGGAACAGGAGGAGGAGATGGATCGTCCTTACTACTACTCGAGCTGTCTGAGAGAAGACTCTCCAAACTGGTGCCCTCTCCACGCATTTTCTCTATCATAGAACTGCTCTGTCCTTCATTTTTTACCAACTTTTTTTCCTCCTCAGTTTGCACTTCAGCTGGAGGACTGTGGATCTCCAGCCTGACTTGGACCTCTACCTCCTCCTCTTCATCACTACTGGAGTCCTTCACTGCACCTGATCTCCAGGAGGACGAAGGCACAGAGAGCTGATCGTTACCTCTGGGTCTCTGCCTGAGAAAGACTTCGGACGAAATCTGCCCAGAAGGAGCGCTCACGTGCGCCTCGGTGTCCAACTTCTCTCTGTCCTTGTCTCTTTCTCTCCCTCGCGTTTTTCTTTGAGTCAGCGACTTGACTTTGGTCTGCAGCGAATGCACGGCCGAACTCTGAGGAGGAGGAAAGGAGGTGTGCAGAGAGGCTGTGGGGAAAATGGGCTCAGGAACAGGACCGGTGATGAGTCCCCAGTTAATGGGGAGCCCGGAGGGTGCAGGGCAGCTGGACTTTGGATGCATCTTTTCAGCGTGTCCCTGCTCCATTAGGTCGTGCTAAACAAGATCCAAGGTGATTCTGGGGGGGAAAATAACAGTGCTTTACAGTTGTTACTGTCTTTCTCAGGAGGGAGGAGATATGTATTGTAGATTCAGTCACGTTGCTATAGCCAGTGATTACTCTGCAAAGCATGGGATAATCCTTTAGAATGAGAATAAGCAACGGCTGTCTGCTACCGAAACCCTATGAGCCTAAGCAATTGAATATATTTCTGTTTCCTTTAAGCACAATAACAAAAAAGCAAAAAGTCTTCTTTAGGCTTTCACACATCGAAACAGAAATGAGTAATTATAGCAAAAGCTTGCATTTTGGAAAATGTTGACATAAAAAGGTTAAGTAAGAATAAAAACAGGAATATTAACACATGGTGAAAACTGAACTTGGATCAGCAAAAAGTTGTCAGATTCTGCACAGATCTGTTGAAAGCAGCCATACTATCAGCGCAGTTAAAAAAGCCAATGATAATAACAACAACAACAAATCGGATTAATATGATGTCCAGATAAAAGTTCCTTGTGCTTTTAGATCATATAAGATTATATCTTACTGTCTACGCAGCTCTCAGTCCCAGCAATGTCACGCGAGCCAGCCGTTTCTCTGTCATCTTCGCTCCGGTAATCCTTTCAAAAATCAGTGGGATTAACAAAAATAAAAAAAATGCATACAGAAATGTTTGCTTTAATTTCGTCCTTCTTTCTTGCCACACGAACGAACTCCACGCTTCTGTTGCGTAAGAGCTTCTGCAAACTGTCCATCCAAATGCAACCGGATGAAATAAAAGTAGTAATTCTGTCTCGTGGGTTACCTTGATGACGAGACAGAGCCCGGTTTTGAAAATGAAAAACAGATTTTGTGTGCTGTCACCTGATTCTTACTTGTCGATATGGCTGAGCCCTCCCTCTGTCTCCTTTTATCCTATTCGCCCCCGCTCCTCCTCCTCCCTGCGCCCTCCAACGGGAATCGTGACGGAATAAACATTATAACAGCCCGGGAAAATTAAAAAAGGAAACCCCCCTTGAAACGTGTGTTTACTCAGTCGTGGTTGCCATTTATTTAATTGTCTGTTTATTTTGTGATTATGTTATTCCTTCTTTTGACATTTTGCTTCCAGATTAAAAAATAATAATTTCACAATTTTTTTTATCTGTTGGATCTGGGTCTGGTGTGTGTGTCATTTGAGCAATATTGTATCTGTTAATTTTCTATTATGAGATTTTGACATCATGAAAAAATACATCAGTTTTTTTTTTATCAGAAACCGTTACCGTGGTGTCATTTTCATTCTCTGCTTCGTTTCATGTTTCTTTTGACTCACATTTGAGTGTTTTTGCTGTCGTTTTCACCAGACTTAAGAGATCGTTTGGTTTTGGCTGTGCATGCGGCTTATCGCCGATAGGGGGCGTTCAACGAACGCAGGTAAACGTGTGCTCGCCATGGTGCTCGCACACGCGCAGCCCTGAACGGTGTCGTGCTGAAAAAGAAAACCCTCGTCGCAGGACGAAATTTTCAAGGCACATGTTTTCTTCCTTACAGCAAATCATGGATGTAATTTTGGGGGAGGACAGGGGGGACATGTCCCCCCCACTTTTTCCAAAGCCAAGTTTTGACCCCTGCACTTTTTACCATCCAAAAGCAATATTACATTATATTAAATTGACACTGGTTGAGCTCTAGGACTAAGTAGAAACGTTTGTGTTGAAGCCTGTTTCCCATTAGAACATACTGTAAAGATCCCCCCCCCCCCCGTGTCCCCCCCACATCTAAAGTGAAAATTACGTCCATGCAGCAAATTAAAAAGAAAAAAACGTAAAAAAAAACATATTTCACACGTACACAAGTTGCAAACCTTATAAATATAGTAAATATTTAACGCAGTGATGATACCAAACAGAGTGGATAGTGGGTCCAACGCTGGCAGCCTATCCCTACTGAATGGTGATATTCGCTTTTCCTTTGTTTCTGAGGGTCCATTCTTATAAATAACAACGATTGCACAATAAGTTAAATGAAAATTTCAATCCTGTTCATTTGCTTTCATTTTTATCTATTTTATGTGCGAATAAAGCCATCTAGAAATTCGCTTCGCGTAACTGGTTCCTTTTTACGGAAGGGTTGCATTTTTTGTCACAACACCAACCTTCAAGCTAGTCTGTCTTCGAATTGACAACCCCCTCCCCTAAGAGCAGCGAAGCTGCGCAGTCGACATGGCAGGAAAATATCGCAACAGTTTTGTAAAGAAAGATGAGATACTTCCAATTCATTTGGAATAAGTGAGTATTATCGACAAAATGTCGTCGGTATCATATCGGAAACTGATAGAAGCGCTGCATGATTAGTTAAAGTCACACGGACGCATAGCGATGGTTATTTGCTGTTAACATGGAGGAGCAACATTTGTTCATTAGCCAGCTAGCTGTCTCACTAGAAAAGCGTTCGAGTCAGCCGCTTTGGCCAAGACTATTTCTGTAGTTACCAAGTGTCGCCATTTAGTTAGTGGATCTTGTTAATATACATTTTTGGTAATATATCTACTTGTTAGTTTGAGATACTAGCGTTACATAATTATACAAGTCGAATGTTTTATTCGGTCTCTGCTAGGTATCATTTCCTTGTATATTTATACACGAGTGGCAGCTGATGTTTTTGATATTGTAATAGCTGCACATGTGTGATTAGCGTTAGAAAAACTACTACATAATAGCGAAGAAACATCTGGTTCGAGATTGTTGTGAAGCGAATGTTTTTCATCCAACTACGTTTTGTTAGCTACGATTGTCAGCTAGCCACCCATAGCTTAGATTGCTAAAGTGAGCTAACGCATCGCCTAATATTACTATTTATATTGTCTTAAGTGGATCATTGTAGCACTTTATGCAAAGTTAACAATATATTCTGTTTATATTCAACTAAGTTTTCTCGAAGTAGAGTGTATCTTAACTATGTTAGCTTCATTGCGTTTGATAGCAGTGACTTGTAAGTTAGCTTCTTTCTGTACCCTTTGTCCAGAGAGGCTACAAGCTTCTTTAAGTAGGCCACACAGCTGTTGTTGTCGTTTGTTCAGTAGGCCTTGTTTTTAAATCATATTGTGTTTATTTACTGATATTTTAGTTGTTATTGCGAGTGTAAAATGGAAATTGCAGAAAAGAAGTCGACACAAAAGCATTAGCTGTCGACTTTGCCACCCTCTAGGTTAGAGCATTTTTGCTAGATGCATATATAGCCATCATGGTAATATTTTGATGGTTCATGTCGGCACATACAAAGATTACTAACGATTGTAAAGAAGCATTTGGCTCTTATTCAAAACAAGTTATTTCAAGAAATGTTTTTACAACTTTGATTCATTTTTCTCTTCTTTTACAGTATTCATCACGAGATGTGATCCAACATCCACAATGTGTGAGGACATTTAAGAACAATTAAGTTCGGAAAACAATCTCGATTCCAGTGGAATCTTCCATACATCTATATCTATATATAATTATTATATTTTTCTTTGTGTTAACTCCTAAATATACACGCACCCAACCCACCAACATATAATCATGCCAGTGCAAGCGCCACAATGGACAGAGTTTCTGCTGTGCCCAATCTGCACGCAGACGTTTGAGGAGACTGTTCGCCGGCCCATCAGTTTGGGCTGTGGACATACTGTCTGCAAGATGTGCCTGAACAAGTTGCACCGTAAGGCCTGTCCTTTTGACCAGACGGCCATCAGCACTGACATTGAGCAGTTACCTGTCAACACAGCCCTGTTGCAGCTGGTGGGAGGCCAGGTAAGACCAGAGTTCGTGTGTATTTGACATTTAATTACCATACAAGTGTAGTGATAGAAGCTTAGATAACCTGTGCACAGATCAGGTTATTTCCTTGTTATGTTTTGTTGTTTCCTTTTTGAGGTGCTTGTCATTTGTAGTCTGGTGCATGAGCTTTTTATATGGCTTTATGAGTTGCACGAGAGTTATTAAGCGGCTGCTTGAAATTAGTTTTACCGAGTGCTTCCTTCATAAGTAACATTGTATTTCTTTTAGGTAATATTTGACCTGCAGGGCGAGTCCCAGTTGATGTTATTACCACAGTTTCCAGGTTTAGACTTAGTAGTAATGGAAAAGATCAGTGCATTGGCAATGAAGCTGAACCGTTCAATCGTTAGTAATGTAATGTTTTAACATGTTTTTACCTCCTTGATGAAAATAATATGCCAGGGGAGAAATCTTAAAATAATACCACTTTTTTTTTTTAAAACTTTTTGTTTATGTCAAAATGTATGCTTTAAATTTAAGTCATTTTTATTATTTTAATTATTAGGTAGTTGTATTATCATCACTGTTCAGGAACACTGCAAGTTATAACTAAACCAATATCCAGGAAGTACCAGCAGTTGAGCAGATGCTGCTGCAGAAGTAAATGTTGGAAGATTTGGGAGACAGAAGACTCTGCGTGGTGGTTGTACTTTTAGTCCGAAAGTTTAGACATGGCTTCCTCAAAAGTGCTGGTCCTGTGGAGATAGGATTAACAGCGCACCTTGTGTGCTTTGTGAGATTTCTCAATCCTGCGAGCATTCAGTTCACCCAGAGGGAAACTCACAGCATGTGATCCTTTTGCACCAAGGGCAACAGAGCATCCTTCTGCACCCTGTGCCTGAAGGCCTTTAGTTAATAGTTATTTAGTGCATCATCAGCACTGATATAAGGAATGCATTCATGAGTCTAAGTCGGAGATGATGCCCACCAGCTTGTATGGTTGCTAATTAATAATCCACACTCTGCCAACATGGTGGACTGTGTTTAATAATAAACACCTCTCTGCATGAGGCATTCCCTCTTTTTTCTAATCCTGTGGAATATTGTTAATTTAAAAAAGCAAATCCTCTATTGTTTTAACAGCTATATGTGTGTATATAAGAAGTAAACAAGTGTTAAAGTATACTACATTTAGACCAATGGAAAACCATTTTTGTTTTTGAACAAAAAATTGTAATTTAGCATAAAATTGTGTTTGCATAACACTTCAAATACATTTTAAGTTTTATTATGATTAATGATGAGAAACTGCTCATTTAGTTTATTAATACAATTCCCTAAATGGCCTCTAAACCGTTGTATTTGCACACAAAGATGGTAATATTTACATGGTGTTGTTTATGCCGAGAAACAACTGCTCTAAGATGTTTTGGATGTTTGCGTGGGTCGTACTTTTTTCATGTAGAGTTTCCTTTTAGGTTCCTAAGGCTCAGCCTGTTGCCTTGATTACCAGTCCAGAGGACTCACAGAATTATGAGATGGCTAGGCAGTGTGTGGAGGAACTGGCCCTCTACCTCAAACCTCTCAGCAACACTCGAGGTACCTAAACTTTCTGTAGATCAGCGTCGCCTTTGACATACTGCGTCAAATACTTGTCAGAATGATGCTGACGAGTGAAGAGGAGTCTGTAGTGATTCTTCTGTTTCTACCAGGTGTAGGTCTGAGCAGCACGGCCCAGAGCATGCTGAGTCGACCCATGCAGAGGAAGTTGGTAACTCTCGTCCACTGCCAGCTGGTTGAGGAAGAAGGTCGTATTAGAGCCATGAGGGCAGCCCGCTCTCTTGGTGAGCGAACAGTTACTGAGCTCATCTTGCAGCACCAGAATCCTCAGCAGCTCTCCTCCAATCTCTGGGCTGCTGTCCGTGCAAGAGGTTGTCAGTTTCTTGGCCCTGGTAGGTAGTTAACAAAAAATTTCGGGTGATTTTATAATTATCTATTGCTTAAGTCTATTCTCGTTGTGTTTTCTTCATCCAGCAATGCAAGAGGAAGCGCTAAAGCTGGTTCTTCTTGCTTTAGAAGATGGTTCTGCGTTGTCCAGGAAGGTCTTAGTTCTCTTTGTAGTCCAGAGACTTGAGCCACGCTTCCCACAGGCCTCTAAAACAAGCATAGGCCACGTGGTACAGCTCCTTTACAGAGCTTCCTGCTTTAAGGTAAGACTTGTATGAGGTTAATTGGTTATGTTCCATTGAGGAAAATGGGCTAAAATTTCATGAAGTATGTTCTTAAAAGAGGTCCTTTCCTGAGAAACTTTTCTACTTTATTTATTCATTTTTTAATGATTAGTCCTTCTCAGTTTAACATGCAGGCTGAACAGGAAAATAGTCTCCTACACCTATCTCCTGCATTAGCTTCTGATAGAAAATAGTAGGTGAAACTTCAGGATTTGAAAAGCCTGACAGATCTATGTCACACTGTCGCTTTACATTCATGTACTCACACATCTTGACTCAACATGTGAATGCTGTTGTTGGTTTAGTGTCCCAGAAACAGCAGAGCACGTCTAGACTAGTAGAAGCTAACCGTTAACATTAGCAACTCCACCACACGGCAGAACTCCTTCAGGCTTTTGTTGTATGTGGAGATAAAACATTGTTGTAGAGCAAACGGAGTCAGCGGTAGTCATGTTGTTGTTAGCCAATATGAGGCAAGATGTCCAAATATCAGGAAATAAGGCTCCAAATCCTGTCATGTGAAGCTACTTTCTCCTCTGGCTGAATTCTTCATGCTGAAACAGGCGCACCAGAGCTTTATTTCCATAGAGTACAACTTAAAGGCATTGTAAGTTTATCATGTGAGCTGTAGATAAAATTGACCTGTATGGTGCAACCTTTCTTAAATGCCTTTCTAGGTCACCAAACGTGATGAGGATTCATCCTTGATGCAACTGAAAGAAGAGTTTCGTACTTATGAGGCTCTACGGCGTGAGCATGACTCTCAGATTGTTCAGATAGCCATGGAGGGTGGATTGCGCATTGCACCCGACCAGTGGTCCTCTCTGTTGTACGGAGATCAGTCTCACAAGTCTCACATGCAGTCAATCATCGATAAGGTACGTGACAGACTTTTTATACATATTCACTTCTGTTAGTTTAACTCCCCAGAATAAGGTTTTTATTTTTTTTTGTTTGTGGCATACTTTGTATTTTATTTATTTCTCTTTTTCCTTCCATAGCTGCAGACCCCAGCATCTTTTGCTCAAAGCGTCCAGGAACTGACGATCGCACTGCAAAGGACTGGAGATCCAGCCAACCTTAACAGGCTGCGGCCCCACTTAGAACTACTGGCAAACATCGATCCCAGTCCTGGTAAGAAACACGCCTACATTACAGATCTGTGTTTTACAAAGCTGTGCAAGGAAATGCCAGTTGTAATTGTAAACCTAAGAATTAATTTCATAGTTTTCTGATAAGATTTCTTGTCTGCATGTAGATGCTCCTCCTCCTACCTGGGATCAGCTGGAGAAGGGGTTGGTAGCGGTGAAAACCGTAGTACACGGCCTGGTGGATTTCATCCAGAACCATAGCAAGAAAGGAGCTGACCCTCAACAGGTCAGTGTTTTCAAATCTTCAAAGAATTTAAAATATTTGTTTATTTATTTATTTATTGATAATTCAACTCAAAGAAACTTGATGCATGAAAACATGAAGCAAACCTTTTAATATATGAAAATATGAGTTGTATTAAGAAATTATTGTTGAATTTTGTTTATTTTGGGTCGAAATCCCATCTGGAAATGTTTGATCTCTGTTGGGCTTTGCAGCAGTTGCATCTGACTTAATGAAAAAAGAAACATTGTCCAACTGGTAATTATTCTGTAAGGTAGTTGATCTTTTTGCGTCTCTGTAATTAACGTTTACCTTCAAGTGACCACACACATAAACAACTGAATTCTGCTTCTTTAACAGATGGATCAATGCCACATAGCTAGTGACTGTAAAAATCATTTACCATCTAACTGGCCTTCTCTGAGGGGATATGTTATTTGAGCTGATTTCATGCACCTGCAGAGGATTAAATCATTAATAAGTTACACACGACCTGAAACCACTGAAGCACAGCAGTATTAATGACTACAGTTCCTGAGCCGACTGGATCACTTGCTAAGTGTGGTCAGCTCTGTAGGGTCCAACAGTGCTAATGAGTCAAAAATCTGTTTTTTTCTACAGAGAAACGTTTACTTTTACCAACTTCCTCGACTAGCTAATTAAAACAAAATTTGGTCAAATTTATGCCTAAACATCTGTGGACTACTTTAGATTCTAAGATGTTTATTTATTTATTTATTTCTTCAATAAGCGCCTCACCTCCTGAGTCCTGTATAGAGATCCAGATTCTCAAATTCACGAGTTGCTAGATCAGATTACTAATTCAAATGTGAATGTCCAAAGCTAGTTCAGGAGCACACAGGAGACGAGCTATTTGTAAAAAAAGATTGCTCCATGTTTGAGCCCGATGACGCTGATTGTCTTCTTGGGCTCTATTTGTTGTTGATCTCTGATGGGTAAGTTTATATCCATGTACAGAAAGCTTAGCGTCACCTGTTTGTTCATTTTAAAGCCACCTCAGCACAGCAAATACAAGACGTACATGTGTCGTGACATGAAGCAGAAGGGAGGCTGTCCTCGTGGAGCCAGCTGCACCTTTGCCCACTCTCAAGAAGAACTGGAAAAGTGAGTCCAAAATCAAACGTTTAAAACAATTTCGTTTTTGTCTTTTGTTGTAATGTGTGTGTGTGTGTGTTTTATTTTTTTATCAGGTACCGTAAGATGAATAAGCGCCTGGCGGCTCGCTCTGGGGGGCTTTTACCAGATGACGGCCTTCCTCCTGATGTAGCAGTAACCCGGAAGATCTCACCGATCATCAATGGCGGTGGAACACCAAATCTGCCACAGTTAGTTGCTCGAGGCACTGAAACAGTCTCTTATGAGATCATGCGTAAGCCAGTTAAGCTGGATGGAGGAAGTCCAAGTATCCCAGGGTCACCGCCTGATGTGTGAGTGGACTTGTACCTAATAATTATTTTAGTTGGTGTCTGATTACCAACTGATTTATGGGTTAGACATTTACTGGATAATACACACCGCTTTAAAACTAAGAGGATGTATTTTTTTTTACATGCTTCTTTTCTGTAGACTGGACCCTATGCCCAAATCTGGAATGTCTTTGACGCCTCATGCAATGTCTGCCAGGATGCCCGCAGACCACCTCCAAGGAATTAAGCATGTGTCAATGGTAGCGAGGGGATCACCTGTTTATCCCCCATCGCAGCCGTCTGATATGTGCTATGACCCACGTCCCCCACCTGCCTCTCAGTATGAGCCTCCACAGTATGCACCAGGTATGCTTCAGCTGCTATCCACACGCTGCAGCCCTTACAGGAAGCAGGGACACTTGAACCAGGTCTTTGGGTTTTACTTTTGATAAATCTTCAAAAGATAAATAGTTTTGCAGCCATTTGTAGCTTCCCACAGTAATCTGGTAACTTGCTTCTAGTTTGCTTCTCTTTTTTTTTTGACGGTTAAAAATGTGACTAAAAGTAATTTGTCGAAGAAGGGTGAGAGCACAGCTTTTGCACTGTTTTAAAAAAACATTTAACTTTTTGGTAGTTGGTACCCTGTGTTGTTTTTAATGCACGAGAGATGAAAGTTTAATTATTTTCTTGACTTTGTCTGTTCATTTACCAGGCTACCCCTACCAGCAACAGTATGTTCGAGATCCATACATGCGTAACCCTCCTCCCCCAAGTGATTCAGGACCCCCTTACCATGACCCTTACACTGGTTATGGTCCTCCAGAGCGCCCGTACCCAGCACACCACGGCCCACCTTTCTCCTATGCTCATCCTCCTCATTATGACAGAGGTCGCCCCGGCACCTACAGCAACCCGCCACCTCAGCCCTACCCACCTCAGAGTAACAGCCTTGTAAAAATGAGTCAAGCACCCGTGGATGTTCCCCCATCATCAACGGGGCCGGCCAACCCGCTGTACCACCAGGAGCCTAGTCCCCGGGATAGATATCCAACAGATGGCTACTATCCACCGGGCAACCAGTCTCCACATATGAGGACTTATGTCAGGGTAAAGCTAATTGAAATCTCTTGTATTTAACTTTTTTTTTTTTTTTTACTTTTACAAACCAGCATCATTTATCTGTGTATATCTGTTTGTTTCTTAGGGACCATCATACTGTAGTCCACAGCCTAGTTTGGACTACCTGCACCGACGACGACAGGAGCTGATATCCCAACTGGAAGAAAGGAAAGTGATCTCTCCTCCGCCGTTCGCTGCCTCCCCTACACTTCCACATCCCTTCCCCAGTGACTACCCCACTGAGGTGAGCACTAAATCAATCCTCTACAAACACCAGACAGCAATATTTTACTTTTTTTACAGCAATTTTACAGCTCAAAATATTATTTTAATGTAGTGTGTAAAAGTGCTCATTTCCATATTTTCTTGTTTGCAGTATGGGGATGAGAGCTCCAAAGCAGTTTTGAAGTGCAGGGAGCCTGACTACGCGGGGCAGTACTCCCCCTGGTCCTGTGAAACTATTGGTTCATATATTGGCACAAAAGACCCCAAACCCAAAGATGTCATGGTTCCTGGAACTATGGAGATGATGGTAAGTTAGGAATAATGATTAATAAGTAATGAATTAGGGAAAAGAAACCATGCAAAAGAAACGAATAGGTACGGTGTTTATTTAAAGCTTTGTGCTGTACGAGTTAGTTTCACTAAATGCAACCTTAGACTTTTTTAATGCCATTTCTAAAAAAAAAAAAAACGTTCTCTTCATTTTGCGTTTACCTTTTGTATATTTTTTAAGAATGTGGAGGCCAAAGGTCTGAGAGAACCGTCACTGGAGGCTCCTCGAAGGAGTGCAGAAGTAAAGGATGATGACCCGATTATACCGTTTGGTCCCCAGCCCACAGTATCACGCTTTGGTGCCATTTCTCGCACTTCAAAGACGGGCTACCAGAACACTGGTCCGGTGCAAGCTATAGCCTCCACCCCCCAGAACCCCAACTCTAAACATATGGTCATGCCGGGTAAGAAGCCACGCATGTCAGTTACGTCGCTGAACACTTTTGAGTTACTACTGTTTTACAAAATTGTTCACAAACAGTTGAAATTTCCAGTTATTTCCCAAAAACTTTAATATTTATTAAACCCAAATGTACTGTAAGCCCTGCTGGCTTTTTGTAACATGATAAATCTTTTTGCTTTGTTTCTGTTTCCTCTTTTCGCCCCATTGCTTCCAGCAGAATATTCATATGGAAGTCATGGTGGTTGGAGTGGAGCTCCATATCCCTCCCACCCAAATGCTTCTTCCTCTCAGGGACACTTTGAGCGGTTAGCCCCATTACCTTTTTTTTATCATTTATTTCTACTTATATGAATTTATAAATTACTAATGGTGCAACCTAGCATATTATCATTGTAAATGTATGTGTGTCCTTGCAGCCTCACGGCAGCCTCAGACAGAGAGCAGTTAAAGATTGAGCTGCAGCAGGTCAACCAGCAGATCAACCAGCAGACTCAGATGCACAACATGGAGGTGCGTGTGAAACCGTAGGACTGAGTAAAACACCCATACATAGCTAAGCTTGTGAATTTTGTCACCACATTTAGAAATTTTCTTGTATTTTTGTTTAATTATTTCCCAGAATTTCCAGCCTGCACACTTCCACTCCTCACTTCCTGTTTCAAAATTGCAGACTGCCAGTAACTCTTTGCTCCTGCAGAGGGATGTTGGTGCATTGGCAGGTCAGCCTCTGCAGGCCAGCCAGGGCCAGACAGCTGTAGCATCCCAACAGCAACAGCCCAAGTGGCCAGCAGGGGGTGCAAGTGCATCAGCTGTATCAAGCGAACAGCTTAGCTTGGAGCTCCATCAGGTGGAGAGAGAAATTGGCAAAAGGACTCGTGAAATGGCTATGGTATGAGAATCATTTTTGAGCACCACTTTGGACGTGGTTTTTAAGATGATGAGTAATTTATACCGCCTTTATTTTTTTATTTTTTTATTCAGGAAAACCAAGTAGCCCATGATGTTCAGCCATACAAGATGATGCCTGCAGAAAATGGACAACCAGAGCACCAGACTCAGCTGGAGGAAATGTCTCTGGCTCTTGGGTGAGTGTGAACTAAAACCAGTTAATTTAGTGGTGGAAGAAGCCAGTTTACTTAAAGCTTTATGGATCATTTCCCCCTCTGTCCCTAATTCAGTGACGTGTCCAACGGCTCCAGCAGTTTGCAAGAAAGTGCAGTGGGCGGGTCCATGCTGTCACTGACAAACAAGACATCTGCACTGAGCCTGTGTTCTGATTCAGGTGCCTCTGGGTCAGAGATGCAGAAGAATGGTGTTGTCCATTCCTGCTCTTAGGAATTACACATTTACACATACACACACACACACACACACACACACACACACACACACACACACACACTGCTCATTTGAAATGCATGCACAGGCACCAATACACCCATTCTATTTAGAAGATGAGCAGTATCTGCCGTGATGAATTTTCTTTCTTTTTGTTCTGTGAATGAGCTTTTTTTTAAATAACTTTCCTTGCCTGGAAACCAGAGCAAATGATAACATTTCCTGTGTGTGTTCTTACTTATTTTTTTGTACTGGGATTTAATCAACAAGGCTCACTATGGATCTATCAGGTAGAGAACATGGTGGTGATGTTGACAGTGTTATTGTTCAAACTAGGTATGACTACTCTATTTTCCCACAGCGCAGTCGAGGCAAACACGGATTCTCCCTCTGAGACTTTCTTCAGTTGTGGAAGCATACATGTAAACAAACGGTTAACTGTCACATCAGACACTCTTTGAGGACATTTCTTAAAGTTTTGTGATTTGTGACAGCGTTTTTAAATAAAAGCGTACAAATATACAAGTCACCCCCAAAATCGTAATGAGAAGTTGGCCAGATCTAGATGCCTGAAGAGGGAAATGCTGTTTAAATTCCACCTTTGTTCAGCCAGAATTGACCCGGTGGTTGTTTTAAAAACAAATAGTTGCACCACACATTTCTTCATCTGCCATGTCATGCATTTTTATGAACATGTTTCTGTTTCATACTTGAAAGCAGTATATATAAAATTAAAGCATTCTGTTTTAAAGATTGCAAAACATTTTTTGATAAAAAAAAAAGAACAACAACCTTTGTTTTCCATGAGGGAATATTAAGTGCTTTTCCTGGTTGTGGTGTGGCCCAAGGCAGTTGTTATTGTTCTGAGTGCATTTAGCTCCAGTCGATTGTAAAAATTCTCAGTATTTTTTTCTGAGGGTTACCAGGCTGGGAGTAAATCCATCTATTTCAGGAGTTTTTTTGAAAAAAGTGTTAACTTCAAAACATCGGGGCATTTAAAAATAAATAAAGAGCATTTCCCTCGTCTGGGTGTCTAATCTGGTCACGCAAAGGCCTCCCCATTGGGATTATCTCGTCATTTGTTCTCATAACTTCTATGAAGTTGCCTTCCCTTGTTTGTTATTTTTATTGAAATTTTTTTTGCTTGTTTGTTTTCTTCTGCTTTAATTTTGCGTGTCTTGTGCTTTACATTGTTACGATTTTGGGCGGTGTAGTTTACGCTAAAGAACACCACCGAGGACGCGTCCTTTCAGCTATAAAATAGTTGCATCAAAAGCTTACGGCTGCAGTTTCAGCAGCGCGCAGTACATCCAACGTCATGTTTACAGCTAAAAATAGTGGCGAGAGTTACTAAATAAACATTCTTCATACAGTCATTTTTAACTGTGCTGTGTATTTGTAGAACAGCTGGCAGAAAAGACCAGTCAGTCTCCGGATCATAAGACACTGTCCTCATCACCATCAGTACAATTAATACTCTTTCTCTAATCTATCGATTGTTTACCTCTGATGCTCAGCTGCTCTTTGCCTTCTGTAAACATTTGACAACAGTTTCAAACCTCTGCCGACAGCGAGTCCTTGTGCTTAAACGGTTATAAACAAGAAACGCTCTGGGTCAACTTGCTCTAGCTTATAGTTGAGCCTTCACTTTGGTCAAAGGGGAACTGAAAAACGGACACTTGGACAAATCCCTGATTACTCGTGAATATTTTTGTGTCCAGTGTCCACTTTGGGATTTGATGTGCACCTCTTTCAATTTTCCAGCGCCATAACAGCATTTTTTTTTAAATCTAATTTGTTTTCATCTCCGACCACACTTGGGCTGCTCTTTGCTACAATTATTGTTTAGGTACACAGCTCACTTATACATATGAGTATGTATACATACATTAATATACTAAAGCACTATTAATGTGCCACCTTTTACTCTACTTGCTCAGCATTTATATTAAATGATCTCTACTTAGAATCAGCTTTTTTTTCTATTTTGTTTTTGTTTTGTGTCCATTGGTTGCCAACACAGACTTTATCCTTTCCCAGACGAAGGACCTCTGTGTGCATTGATGTGTGTTCACTTAAACTTTTGTGTTCAAACAAAGATGTTCTTTATAGATTATGCTTCCGAAGAAGACAAAATCTGTAACTTTGAAAAAAAAAAATTATATGGAGATGTTTTGTGCGTGTGCTAGATTGTATTGTAGGAAATGTACCCTTAATTATTATTTTTTTGGTTACCTCCCCTTGAACTGTGCTGTATTGGGCAACAGTGTTGAGACTTTAGAAGAGTTATTGGTGCTTTTGCCCGCCACTGCCCCAAAGAGATACACCAGGAAGTCTCTTAGGAAAGGTTAGCCTTAATCTGGTCTGTAATGCTCCTTTTAAAGGACTTTTTTTTTAAGGAGTATGAGAAAAGTATCCAACAGGCTCAGTCACACATATTTTTCTTACAGAAAAAGCAACAGTTGAAATTAACTTTATTTTAAGGAAATTGTTAATTTACTGACCCCCAACTCTTAAATGACGTGTGATCAACAGCTTCAGTAGTCCACGTGACATTTTTTTCTCTTTTTATATTTGGGTCACCTTTCAAGTTGAAAGGAGGAAGGGGAAGTTGCAACACCTTTTATGTTCCCTCACTTCTGTATTTGAGACAACCAAAACTGATTCTGCAGGTCTAATTGAGCCTAAAACACCTTTAGCTTAGCAGAGCTTTCATGCAGTATGTATCGGGGGGAGATTATAACGAGATAGTAAAAGGCAAAGATGTTTATTTTAGTCCTGTGTGCTTTGTTTTCTGAGTGGACATGCTGCCTACACCCCTTGTTGATGGTTAATCCCCCATCCACACCCTTTGACCACTGACTGACCTCTGTTACTGCTGTTCGAGGCTCACGTTTTATTCTCAGACTTTCTGGGGAAATTTACAAATGGCTTTTTTATATTATTACTCCCTTGTAAAATATCTCTTAAATTAAGGTACAGGTTTGATTTCAGCAAGAAAAAAAGGTTTTTATATGTATATTATACTCCATTAAGGAATGTCTAGAATTATCTTCCTCCAATGTGGATGTAGCCATTATTACGCCATTTTATGACTTTGTAAGAGAATTCACTGTGTGAAAATTGGTTTGCATTTTTGTATAATACAATCTGCTTTCTTTTTGTTTGTTGTTTGATACGAGAAAGGTCAAACTGGACGTTTGAAGAGAGGAAAACCTGTGAATCCGAGAAAACAAAATGTAACTTATGTGCAACAGTGATTCTAAACTGAGGGGAAAAATTAAATGATATTGCTAACTGATTGTTTTAGTCTTTATCTTTTCTTTTCTTTTATTAATTTATGAGGTTAGGAGACCCTCCATTGAGAGAAAATGTTCATCACTTTTGGACCACCAAGAAGCCCACACAGTTCATATTATTCTAGTTTACATATTTTAAGATATAATTGTTAAAATGTAGCGAACTTGACTTGAGAGCAGACTGAAAGTTGCATTAAAGTGGATTTCCTTCTCAGCTGGCTGGAGGGTTTTCAGTTTTTCTCCTTTCAAAAAGACCAAAGAGGCCAAGATGTCCTATCTGTGAGTCTGCAGGGTTGCAGTCTGTGCTGAGCGAACGCAGTTGTGCCGGCATTTGTAGTTCAACAACAGCCAGCAAAATGCAACAAAGTTTTGTAAAGAGCCGACAGCCTGATTTATACTTCATCTGCTCAGGTTCAGAATCACGCACATGCATTGATGAAGACGTTTCCCCTTTGGACCTCTCTCTGAGGAGCGTTGCAAAGCCGTTTCCTTCCAGGACAACAGGTGTAGCACCTTTCTGAGGGTTTCCTTCCACCATTACTGTTATATGTGTGCTAGTGTATTTACCAGTGTTTTTGTAGCCTAGACATGGACAAAAAGATTTTGCTCTGAAGGCTGGTCTAGCCACACCCTTTTAGCCTCAGCAGGTCTACAACTGGACTGAACACTTTGGTCTTGCCAATCACAGGGCTCTTATCGGTTTAGTAGGATGTTACTGCGACTGAGCGAAATGGCGACGACTTCTTTTGAAATGGCTTTGGACTATTTAGACACGTTTTATTTGCGTCAAGCGGTACTTCAGTCCTTTATTTAGAAAATGTACCTAATTCCGTCTTTGACGATGTACAGCAGACAGCCCCATTGACTGACAGCCGTAGCGGTGAGAATGCCACGCTGTTCGTTGTCCAATAGCATGCGGAGACTGCTTAAAAGACAACCGTAGACAGACTATCTGCTCTGACTGACAAAATACAAAACCGTTGAGGCCCGCTGACGCTCTAATGGGGCGTGGCTAGACCGACCTCCTAGATTTCTAGGCTAAGTTTAACTTACTTTGTTTTTCTTCACACAACAGTGAATATTAATGCGGTCTTGTGTGTGATAATTTAATGCATAATCTTTGGCCGGTATTGACAGCTTACACCATTTATTTTGCTGATCAATGACTTCATTAACTTGACAGTTGACATGCGGCATTGTTTAAACATCTTAATCAGATCTAAGAACATTTGTTCCCTGAGATTTATCATTCAGAGAAATGAACACTTTTAGCCCCTCCTACATCCTGTACCAGTAAGCGCAACTGATCAACGTCGGTGTTGTTGAATGATGTAGCCTCCAGAAATGGTCTGTTTTTCCATCTACAGGTTGATCTCTTAAGTATCGGGGCACATGGAGACATAAGTCTTAACTAGGGCTTTAATCTGCAAGAAAGATACTGCGCTTGCCCAAGGTCCCTCTTATCTAAGACTGCTTTGCTTCACAGCAGAAGATGCATGAACTTTCATAATTAAATCATATAACAAGAGGAGTAAATAATCATATGGTTGAATGAACAATAATGGTTGAAGAATAATAACAATGTTTTGATTAATCTGTGTTTAAATTACTGTGGTTGAAATGAATATTATGTTATGATCAGTAAAGTTAGATTTAACAAGTGAATATCTATCTACTGACAGCTCACACACTCAGACACGTGACGATGACAAGGTTAAACTAATATCATCAGAGCTCCTGTATCTGACGCAAGGTGTTTCCTGAGGTTTGTTGGTAAAACCCTTTTTACATGTCAAATTCTGATTTGTTAGTAAATCAAAATATGACGATTATTAAAACAGGACTCACTTCACCGTGAGTCAGTTCTTGAGAAAGCTTCGGACCGGCTATCCGGAGTAAAACCTCTTTAACCCCGAGCATCTTTTGACAAGCTGTCAAAAACGTTTCTTCAGATACGAGAGGTTCTGATAACGTCACATTCACACATCATCATTCCTCACATTCCATCCACTTAGATTCATCCATCACATAAAGTGTTTCCTAGTTGTCATGTTTTAATTGTTTAGAAAAATAAATTTCTAACTTTTTATGATTCTCTTCTTGAATTGATACGAAATGTCTTCCAATCCCTGAATAAACAAAGAATTCTAAACCTTCTGGTTAAAAATTCAAAGACCAATCAGACTGAATTTCCATATTTATATATAAATTCACATCTTACTGGTCAAAATGTAGTGTAGTATACAGAGTTTAAAAAGCACCCAAAATATATATGTATGCCACTCCTACAATGACTAACTAGTGTGAAGTGCTTTGGAGTTCTTGGACTAATGGGGCAAAAAGCTCAGACTCATTCCAGGTGAGACATGTCCTGTTGCCACAATGAAGTTTTTTTTTTATCTTAAATCTTCCTAAACGCTGTAAAAACTAAGTTTTCTTTGTTTTATGATCATCTTAAGTAATTTTCCTTTTGTCCCTGCTCTATTTGCTCTAAAAAAAAGCTCACTTTTTATTTCAGCGCAGTCTGCCAATAAATCTGCATGTTGTTCTTTATTAAAATAAACTACAATCAACAATTATAATAACTGATATTTGATTTATTTCTCCGTCAATAATTAGAAATCCATTTAAAAACATAGAATTTTATATAATCTTGACACTTAAGCATGAATGATTTTGATGTGCAACATTCATTTGAATTTAGTTTCCTCTGTTGTCTTTATTTACGCTGCTGTAGGAAGTAAGGCTGATTCTTTAGTATATCGGTCCATGGAACTGCAATCACTTTTTTCCTTTGGTGGAATTATCCACACATGTTTGAGATGTTCAAACCTTTTCTTGGGAAACCGAGACGAGACTCCCATGGCCTGCCAATGGCACTACTCCACAAGAAGGCTACAAAATGTTTTGAGAACATCTTTAAAGTGGTGTGTGGAGGAGATTGTCCTGAAATCTTATATAACGGTCAGGAATGGAAACTGATCTGAGCTTGGCAAGAAAAAAAAAAAAAAAAAAGAACAGCAGCCTCCCTTCTTTACATGATATTTACACCAGCACAGAACCAGAGCAAAGGAAATGACAGACCCTCCACACCCAACTCAGGTGCAATTCACCCTGCTTCATGGACGTAATTTTTTTTGGGGGGGGGGGCCCACTTTTTCCAAAGTCAAGTTTTAACCCCTGCACTTTTTACCATCCAAAAACAATATTACGCTACGTTAAATTGACACTGGTTGAGCTCTAGGACCAAGCGGAAAACAACCGTTTGTGTTGAAGCCTGTTTCCCATTAGAGCATACTGTAAAGATACTCCCCCCCCCCCCCCCCCCCCCATGTCTCCCCTACTTCTAAAGTGAAAATTACGTCCATGCCCTGCTTCCATCAGGCAGACGACATAGCAGCTTTAAAACCAAAAACAAGATGAAGTTTCCTCCCTGAGGCTGTTGTGGCCCGTGCACTGTTCTGTTTTTTTCATCACAAATTTTTAAACTTTTACATGTTTATTAATCACTATTTCAATGTTTTCCAGCCTGAGTGACGTATTTCACTCTCTCGCATCTCTAACTTGCTACAAATGACACATACGTGATTCTGAGAAAAGAAGTTCCAGTAAAACATTTTAGAGAAATATAATTTATTGTATCTAAAGCTAAAATTAAAACAACATTTCAATCATTATTACTTTCTACTTGATGCTTCCCAACCATTTCCTACTAAACCTGGATCATAAAATCAATGCACATTTGTTGGATCCCAAGATACGTGTCTTCCGTCGTGTAAGCCTCCTAAAGCAACCATGTCCGCCTCATCCAGCTGGAACCCAAACACCTGTGAGAGGAACAACTATTATTATGTGACATATCTTCTTAAGAAATAGAATCATTATTCTGGGTTAAAAAAATACACTTTTGAAATTCTAATTTATGTAAAGCACCACTCTAGGAAGGTCTCTAGTAACCCTAACCTGATGGTGTTCTGGTGGAGGATCCATCCATCCATCCATTTTCTGACCCCCAGGTGGCCCCCACAATTTTGTCTGTGAGGTTACCAAGACTATATTTGTAAAAATTGCATTTTTTAAATCCCAATGACACACCTATAGTACAATTAACACCTTGTCTATGAGTCAACTCTGTATGTCGGGATAAAGTTTGTAATTAATCACTTTTAATGTATAGGTGTGGGTAAACGTTGGTGCTGGGGGTCCTCTGCTTGTCTTGGACCCAGGCAAGGGGGTTGTTAAGGAAAAAAAGTTTGCGCACCACTGCTTTAGACAAACTTTTAAGTTGTCATCTTTCGTTTAGTAAATTCATTTATTTTGCTTTGTCCACCACAACGTTGTCATTTTCTGAGCATTTTTATTTATTTTATTTATTTAACCAGGGAAATCCTTTGAGAGCAAGTCTCTTTTGCAAAGGTGCCCTGGCCAAGAAGACCACCATAAAAGCATGTGTCATTTAAAAGAACACAACCAATTTTATGACACTGAGAACAAAAAACACACGGTAACTCACTTGACAGTTTTCCCATATCCTGTTTTTTTTGACAGACTTCGGTATTGTGACAACTCCATTCTGAGAAATGACATTTGCATTCAGGTGAATTACATAAGTGGGAGCACTAAACAGGGTGAAAAATAAATTGTGACTACCTGAATGCTCCAGCGGATGCAGATCTGAGCTTGCGTTCTTTTGTGCTTTTCCGCGATCTGTTGCACAATAGGATTCTTGAAGACTTGACCTTTGGCCAGAGGGCTGTAGCCTTCAAACACAATCCCCTCCTTACGACAGTACTCTATCAGGTCATTGGGTTGCTGGAAGGGATGGTACTCTACCTGAAAAGTTAAAGGTGTATTATGTAGAAATGCTTTTTGCTGACCGTCGTCAAATTACAATAGTCTGCAGCTTTAGCTCGCAGGAGACACGGCAACCCCAAACTCACTGATGGTAAACAGTAGTTATGTCCCTCCTTCCTTTGTTTTGAAAGGAGAACAACTAACAGCTGGATATAAAATATGTTTCAGTAAAACCATTCTTCCAATATGGCTGAAACATTAGACTCTTTTGGGATTTTCTCACTGTGAATTCTCACTAGACTCTTAGATACTACACCTTTAAATATTTGTTGGCATCTGCTCAAGAGTCACTTAAATTGGCATTGTAATTATTAACCCATTCCACATTGTGCAAATCTTACCACCCTTTATCTATATAGTTAAAGACAACAACTCCATTTATAACAATGGACATTCTTACAAGCTGCAGATAATAAATGTATATTTGCTCTCTCTAATAAACACATTCTGGCAGAAAAACATTGAAAAAAAAATCAACCTGGTTAACATGTGGCACCACACTACAGTCTTCTTTCAGCTGCTCCAGGTGGTGGATGAGGAAGTTGCTCACGCCAATGGAACGGCAGATTCCTGCAACAATAAAATTAACACAATATTACAAAATGTGCCACTTTTGCTCTATGATTTTATTGAAGTAGGTCAGTAGCTACATCAAACATTCCAACTGTAAGACCAGGTCTGGTTTGGTTTGTTATTGAAAAGAGGTTTCTAACACACTGTAAAACCTAGTCTGGTTGCCTTTTTGTCGTGCTACATGTATTTTTCATGCAAAACAAAATTAAATCCCAGCATAACTTCCTACGGTCAGTAAAGCAACTTGAAAATAAATTAAAAAATTAAGTTGTGCCGTCAAACCAAAGTAGATGTTAGTAATATTAGTGTTTTAAAAACGTAACGGCAGACAACTTTAGCAGTTTTAAGCTGCAATGGCAAATATGGAAAACATTTTTTTTTCATGCCTCTTAACAACGTTCTAACATAGTACAGCTATAAATATATTGTGGAGATCAAAAAAAATCAGTGGCTATCATGCTTTTATCTTAAAACCTCCACCAATAACATGTTTCGGACTGAAATCAACAATTGGACCATCTGGTTGTTGGTCTCTCCAACCCGCCACACCTCCTTGGGTCCTCCACTCATTACACACTCGCGTTTTTAGCAACAGGGGTAAGTGTCTGCATTCAAAACCTTGCTTGTTTGCAGATTTGTTATAACAGTAAAAAAAATCTCTAAGGAAAAACTAGATAAGGATGTAGAGTTACTGCAGCAGGCTGCCATAAGGGACACCTTTCAGAATTGACCTTCTTCATAAAGTTCCTCCAAAGATCTCCACGTCTCAGCTCTCATCTCTCTGTTGGAACAACTGGGTTGCTGTGCCTCCGGCCAATGCATCAAGTACAGATCTGGAAAAAATGGCAGCTGATAATTCGTTAAGAAAAGATGAAAAAACAATAACAAGATCAATTCAGTGGTGATAGACCAAAGTTAAAGCTTGGTAAATCTGTCATAAGAATTTAAAAGAAAGAACTTGAAGCATTTGTGTTTAAAAAAAAAATCAATATGCACCAAAGTATTGAACCCCCATCAGTGAGCAGGACTTAAGGCAGGCTGCTTTTGCACTTTTGTATCCATAGTCGGCATGCCACAGTTTGTTGGTGATCCAAACATCACTTCGTGGGAGCCCACTCTCTTTGATTGCTTTGCCCAGATTCTCCTCACAGCCATACCGCTTTGCTGTGTCAATGTGACGCATGCCACAGTCATTCAGAGCATACACAATGGCCTCATGGGAATATCCTCCATGATAAGATGTACCTAGCAGAAAATAGATCAAATTTGTGTCAGTGAAGATTAAAAGAATGAGGTGAATTCCTGTATTTTCTTACACTTTGTTCAAAGGGATACTAGGCAGTTTTGCTTGCTTTTAGCACCCCCTAGTGTCCATTATTTATTCTCTGTAATTAAACCGAAAATGAAACTCCTCGCTGTGAGTTTGTCTTTTTAACACCTTCATCGAACTGCTGAAATGTCTCCTCAGTTTTCATTAGTTTCTAGAGGCACGGTTCATCACTAAAGCAAGTCAGCTGTATTCACCGTCTATAAGATGCAGGAAACTCCAGCTCCCCCCAGCGGCAGGGAGCAGCCAGGTGTTATGCCTAAAAGAGCATGTCTGCAGAAATTTGTGTCCTCTGTTGTAAGAAGGCACATATGAGTAACGAGGGAGCATTTTAATAAATGTGTACTATGTTTGTTATCCACGTGCTTCCTTACAAAATGATGGTTTATGGGCAGATAAGTAAAACAATTACTGACATGACATGTTAAATTATAATTAATAATAAATATTTAAAAGGTTTGTAATTTTGGGTCCCATTGCTGCTTTTTTAAACTATTTTTTTAAAAGTACTCACTAAAACATTAGTCTGAAACATATTCAAAACGTAAATTATTTCATCATTATTTCCTCATATTTCTTGTCAAAAACAAAACTTTTTCAGGAGAAACACAAATTATAAACGTGTTTACCTCCTGAATCTATTAAAAATAGCCTCACCCCTCATAATTTTAATCATTTACGTCGGCAATCTGCAGCTGTTTTGATGGGGATGCACATTCCGGCAGGCATGATCTTTTCAACACAACACCAGCAGCTTTGAAGTTGCAAGTGTAATATTCTGGCCAAAGGGGGTAGTGGAGATCTGAGTGACATTTCATTAAACCTGTAAAGGGCTCAAGGATATGATTAAAAAATATGAAAAAGTTGCATAGTATACATTTAAATTAGGGATGGACAAATATATCGGCATCAATATCGGTATCGGCCGATGTTAGTCATTTTTTAACGTATCGGTTCGATAAATAAAACTGGGCCGATATTAACAACCGATATTTTTTCCATCTCGTGTCCATTTGTTTGCCTGTTTCTGAGGGTGAGGGGGGTGACGTGTAATTGTCTAGTCATGTGAACAGTGAATGAAATCATCTCAGAAGTGTAAATGTGTGTGTTGTGTGTACATAATAACGTAAATTTAGTTTTAATTATTTTCATTCTATACAAAATCTGCTGATTTTAGAAGCATTAATGTCAGTATATCGGTATTGGCAAATATCAGTTATCGGCCATAACAGTGATATCGGTATTGGCCCAAAAATTTCATATCGATGCATCACTAATTTAAATTAAATACATGCACAATTTACAAAATAACCTGAATATATGAACTGTCTGAATAATCAAAAGAAAATATAGACAACCATGTTTGACTAAGGAGAAAAAATATAAATGACTGCTAAAATTATTGAATATAAAACACGATGGGCCAACATATAATTTCAGAAATGCAGCACATTAGATAAAAAACACATAACAGTTAAGGTCTTAAAAGATCAATCTGAAAGGAAGCACAAGGAAGCATTCTTTTGCATTTCTATGATGTAAATAAATTGTTTTGTCAAAATTTTAAACGCTCCCACAAATCAGTTTTCTCAAACAGCAAGGTTGAGTATCGGGCAGTCCTTCCCTGATTTCTTTATCTTTTGTCAAGAGTATTAAAAAGGGCTGCAGTGACTTACAGCATCATGTGCAAACATAAAAAGGCATAAGCTGTAGATAGCTAAGGCACACACAGCTTTTATAAAATTCTGAAGTGCCAGCAGTGGTTATAACCAATTTGTAATCTACAGGAAATTGTCTTCATTTAGAATTTTAAAGGGTTTCCTTCATTGGTAAATGATTTTTTTCGTTTCTTGGTTACTCATTATGAAGTGTTCTTTTATGACCTTGTAAAATTTAAGGAGGCCATCACCTTCTCAAGCAAACAACTGCAGCATTTGGGAGTTAAGTTTTCTATCTATACCATAATAGTATTTTCTCAGTAACACTTACCCAATCCAAGTATTGGGATTTGTAATCCGTTTGAAAGAGAGACTTTAGGACAACTCAGGTCTGGAAATAAAGACATGTTTCTCTATGTGCTGGCAAAGAAACCTGCAATATAAAATGAAACCAGTTCATCTTTAAAGTGGTTTAATGTCACAAACGTATCTGAAAATTTGCATCACAGAAACAGAACTAAGTATGCACACAAGAACGACCTTTCCTATTGGTTAGTTGGATCTTTTACAGAACTGTCTCTCTCACTCGTTATGACGAAAAGATTTTATCTTGACCTACTTTTTTCTTCCGGGAAACAGTCGCGTACGCGCTCCGTCATGTGCGTGTAGAAAAGAGATCTGAAAAGATCCCAAAAGGCGAAAAGACGGAATTCCAGCTCAACCCTCTTCTCCAAATATGGTCACTCTCCGGCTCCATGTGACACCCAAAGTGTGGCAGGTTGTGTTAACATATAATCAACCCTCCATGTCTCTGGGAGGCGGCTCGTACTCTACACAAAGAACTACCTCCCAAAAGGAAGCATGGGGCTGGCTGGTCAGGCTACATATAGATATGTTAATAAACATATCGGTGTTTATATACATATCAGTGAGGCTACATGTTTCTAGTGTTCAGATACAAGTTCCAAACAACACCTAATATACATCGGAATGTCATTTTTTGTAATATTAATATTCATTTTAGTTAAATAAGTTACATTAAAAAACTTATTTATTTTTATTTGATTGTAATAACATAATTATGAACATAGCGTGAAAAAAATCATGTCTGACAATTAAATCTTATTTTAACTTGCCATAAAGGGGCTGTTAATAACAAGTTACAACAAGCTGAGTGGCCAATATGGCGGGCAGCTAAAGGGGGCGAGATGCTTACAGTTCCGACAAAATGAGGTGAGTTATAACTTATAAGTTATGGAGGAAAAGCATTTAACTGGCGACAGAAATAAAATAAAAACTAAACTTAAGTAGAAGAACCTTTGGTGTGTGCAGTTGAGATTTTTAGATCCACACAAGCGTAAACAGCGTTTATAAGTCCTTGCGTTGTCTCTTTCTGCAGGGTCCCCCGATGCAGCTTTGGAGTTCGGAGAAAGTGGATCATTTTCCCCATCCTGCTCATCCTTTTGGTCGGTGCAGCCCTAACAGCTTTGCTGCCTCCGGCTGAAGAACATGGAGATGTCGGTGTCCTGGATGTGTTGCGCAGGGCAACATCACAAAAGGAGAAACCTGCACAACAAACAGATACCTCAGAGGAGAAGTTTAGCATCATCATTCAGACGTACAACCGCACAGACCTTCTGCTCAAACTCCTGAATCATTACCAAGCAGTGCCTCATCTTCAGACCATTATCGTAGTCTGGAACAACGTCAGGGAGCAGACACCAGTGAAGCTTTGGGACTCTTTGGGTCCTCATCCAGTTCAGGTTGTCTTCAAGGAACAGACAAGTAACCAGATGCGCAACAGACTGCAACCCTTCTCTGAGATTTCCACTGATGGTCTGCACATCTTCAGTTTGCACATTGTTTCAGATCTCATGCATTCTAGTTTTCAGGGTCATTTTCTTTCCTTTTTACCTTTTAGCTGTGTTGATGGTAGATGACGACACCCTCATCAGTGTTCCTGACATCAGTTTTGCTTTCTCCGTCTGGAAGGTAACATATCTTTTTTTTTGAATCCCAAAAAATATTTTATTCTATTTTAAAGGTGTGGAACATTTGTTTTATCAATTAATTTGCAGTGGTGTAGGAATGAATGCCTTGTAAGTTTCAGGGGGGTGGGGGAGAAATTCCGGTGCACCGTTTCCAGGAACTAGAAGTGACAGCCAGTTTTTGGAATCTTCTTTCCTGGTTTTTGAACTTGAAAACAGCAACACAACTTTTACAGTGACTTGCAACATTGATGTTTTATCTCCACAAATAACACAATTTTGAAGGAGTCCTGCCAGGTGGTGGAGTTGCTGATGCTAATGATTAGCTTCTACTAGCCCAGCGGTTCTCTGCCATTTCCCGGACACTGTTTCTATGAGAAGCTAATGCAGGAGATAGGTGTAGGAGACTATTTTCACGGTCAGCCTGCATGAAAATCTGTGACCAATTATAATCACAAGTAAGATTTAAAAGTTGTTTCAGTGTTCCACACCTTTAATAATGTATCTTTACTGATGAAAGTAATTAATTTTTTTTTCTCACAGCAATTTCCAGACCAAATAGTTGGATTTGTCCCACGAAAACACATTTCAACACCTGGAGGCGTATACAGTTACGGAAGTTTTGAGCTGCAGAATCCAGAAATGTCTGGAGGCGACATGTAAGTTGTTCTTTCATTATCCTTCATATTAGCTTTTTGTTTGGTCTCATTGATACGCTCAAATCTACAGGTACTCGATGGTTTTAATTGGAGCCGCCTTCTTCCACCGTCGCTACCTGCAGCTTTTCCAGGACCAACCTCCAGCGGTGCACACCTTAGTGGATGAAACACAGAACTGTGACGATATTGCTGTGAACTTTGCTGTAGCTTTGTATTTAAGGCAACATTCAAAATTAAGCACAATCAAAAGATCCTCCGGTATCTTTGTGAAACCCGTGGATCTCCGCAATATTGAAAAGGATGCCCGGAGCGGATACCAGGGAATGTGGCATCGTCCGGAGCACCTTCTCCAAAGGTCCTACTGTCTAAACAGGCTGACACAAATCTATGGCTTCATGCCACTCGAATACTCCAATCTGATGGTATCCCAGTTTGGTTTTCCCAGCTATGCCAATCACAAGAGTAGGGGCTGAGGGAGTTTCATAGTTTTAAGTCAGAATCAAACTCTGGTGCTTCTGTTTGACATCATCAAATGCCAATCAGCTGATGATCTGAAGATATTGGCAAATGTGTCCTGAAACAAGTGTTTCCTTACACACCAGTGATGGGCTTGCCTTACAAATGGTCAACATTCAATCAGGTACAGGAAATAGTTAGAAAAGAAAAATAATATTCTTTAGAGTTTAGTTTTTTTAATTCATTTTTACTTACTTTGTTTTCAACTCTTTTTTTTCTGCTCCCTTTTTTACAAATAAGCGCTAGAAGACCAAGTTACCAAAGAAGTGGATTTACAAAGAACTGTGTTACCCTTTTGAATTTTGCATATTTAACAAAGCAAATGCTCACATTTGGAGCACGTGTAGACACTCGTTTTTATGACAGGAGTTTTTTATAAACTGTTTTATGTGAATTGACAGAATAAAGTTTTTTTTTTCTCTAAATGTAATTATGGAAGCTCATTTCTGCCCCATTGTTGGGAAAAAAGTATAATTATGAGAAACTATATAAATGATGACTTGGAATGATCTAAACAGCAATTATTAAAGAGCAAGTCACCCCCCTACTAGATTCTTACTCAGAATTTTTACCTGACAACGGCACAGCACTGACAAAGTTTTGGGCAGAAAATTACAGTTTTAACTAAAATGAACTAAAGTGCAAAACTGTTGACTACACGTGTCTGCAGCACGATTAGACACGCATTTATATCGTTTATCAGAAGAAGAAAAATTGATTTGGGGGTGACTTGCTCTTTAAAGTCTGGACTTTGATCCAGATTCTAACTAACCACTGTAATTCAATCAGGACAACAAAGTTAAGGAGAGAAGCAACAAAAATACCAATAAAGCTTAAAGTTTTCAAATATTGTTTCATTAAAAAAAAACATTAATAATTTTAAATGACAAACTATATTTATTATTGAACACAAACTCACTTCACATGAATAAAAATGTCCTTGTATATAATTAAAGGAAGTGGAAGTATCTTTCTTCCTAAAAGCTTCCAAAGGTCTTAGTGATGTCCAGGTCCCCCACCACCACCTTTGTCCCCAGGTCTACCGCCCGGCCTAGACCCTCTGGAGACTGAGAAGCGCATGTTGTGCCACAGCTTCACGAGAGGCTCCCTCCGCCTCCAAAGCAGTTTGTGACCATATGCAACATACCATCTGCGAGAGAAGATGAGATCTTTAAACAAGATACTTAAACAAGATACTACTTATCTTGTATCAGATATATTACTCAGTACTGGGAACTCACACTCCAAAGAGGGCTCCGCCAAGATGAGCAGCATGGTCGAACAGCCGCCATCCCAACATGAGCCCTGCTGTATCTATAGCCACAAGCGCTTTGAGAGCCTGAGGAGACACACAAATTAGCAACTTTAAGTGAGGTCACATGCCGTGAAGTGCCACAAAACAACTCTACCGTGCATTCAGACATGCTTGCTTACACATTCACCCATTCATACACTTAACTGTTTATGCACAGATTTACATCTTTAGCCTGCAGCGCAAAAAAAGAAGGCTTTTCAGCACATTTAGTAGTTGATTGAGCAAACAGTGTTTTCTGATTTTGCTTAAGCAGTAACAGGGATCTGCAGCTTTATTTGTATAACACATTTCACACACAGAAGCAATTCCATGTGCTTTCCAGGAGCAAGAACAGCAAAACCATAAAACATTAAAATCAACGTGACAGCAGATTATAAATCAAATTTTAAAATACTCAAAATTAGATGTAAGAAACTAAATAAAAAGGCAAATTAAAGACCGAGCAGTTACAGTGCAGAAGGCGCCGCATAAAAACATTCATTCAAAGGTTGATGAAAACAGGGTTTTCAATTTTGATTTAACCCTCTCAGGCTCAAAATAAGTTTTGATAAAAGGACGAACAACTAAGTCCTTCAGGGGTACTTCTGAGTTAAAAAATGCTCATGAAATACGTATGTGGAGTAACCAGGTAGGTAGGTTTTTACTGTTGAAAATCTGCAACGCCTGCCTCCAGAGGGTTAAAGGTTGCTAGAGATGGGGCACATTTGAGGTCATGAGGAAGCTGATTCCATCTGAGCAGCATAGTGACTAAAAGCAGCTTCACCTTGTTTATTTCTGACCTGGGGGTTCTACCAACTGACTACTTCCTAAGGACCTCTCAGTCCTGCTGGGTGTATATACTGCAAGGAGATATGAAATATATTTTGGCCCCATGCCATTGCGTGATTTATAAACTAGCAGTAGCCATTTGAAATAGATTCTGTAGTTTACTGGTAACCAGTGTTGAGATTTAAGAACAGGAGTGATGTGTTTGGTTCTTGTTAAGACTCTAGCAGAAGCATTCTGAATAAGCTGCAGTTGCTGTAAACACTTTCCGCAACTTTTACACTTAAAAAAAACATTATATATATAATGTTTTAAAATTAAAATTTAAGTTTTATTTTTTTAAAGGTTTCGGCAGCGTACTATCAACTGTTGTGTTCATTTTCGGAGCTGTGACAGTGTTATGGGGTCCCACGTATGTTTATGGCACTAAACAGTTTTTGATCGGCGGTCTGCCACCGGAAGTGCTGACTGCGTGTTGCTTTACAGCAGTATCACGTAGACCCCATAGACACGAATACGTAGACGCACCATTGGAAAGCTTAACAGCATCACTGCCACATTGGATGGTTATCTTCGCTCTCCAAAGTCAGTGCGGAGTGAGCAACGATGCCTGTTTTTGTGCAGTCTACGGTTACACCAACATGGCGTACAATTGAAAACGGATCACGTGGGATTACAAGTGACTTTTCTAGCCTAACTTCAATTTATTTTTATTTATTTATTTGTTTAATTATATTTAGACTTTAATTGTCATACCATACTTTGTGTATGACTGTGAAAAAGCTTGATAAAATGTGTTTTTTAGTTGGGTAGGCTCCTTCCTCAGTAGAAATGAATACACTGAGGGCAAATAAGAGACCCATCTAAAATGGCGGCCAGCTACTACCGCAGCTCCAGTAGGCAGTGCCAGTCCACGAGGCGTCTATGTGGTAGACCTGTGGTTTAGTGACTTGAGCAAAAGCAGATCCACCAAAGAAAGCTAGAAAAGAGAACAGGAACGTGATAGAGCAAGAGCAAAGACCAGAGTTAATATCTGGTCGGTTTTTCCGCACTGGAGAGCTCTTCTTGAAAGAAAGGCATGTATTACAGACTCAGGACTTAGCCGTGCTGCTAATGGTTTGGTCGGGCATAAAGTTGTTATACAGTCCTGATAAAACTTTATTCAATGCTGAAACGCAGCTTAATGTGTTTGTTTGTGCACGCGAGTAGGAAAACTGCCAGTAAACAAGCCTCTTATGCGCGACAGAGAGATTAGATTTTACCACAGTGACGTTACACAGCAAGCCTTGAGAGGGCGACAGAGAGCATATATCCACAAAGGTCAGGAGTGTGTCTTTAAAGCTTTTTTGGGAAGATCAGACAAAAGACCAGCACAACACACACATGCATATAAATGTAGCATACCACCTTTGCAACACTTACATTGCCTGCTGTGAATGTGACCATTGGAAGGAAGATTATCCCCAGTTTGGCCTCTGGCACTTTCGTGCAGACAGCAGCAAGCACCGCCATGACAGCACCTGACTGTGAATAAATGTCAGGGTCATAATAACTCACATAAAGGTGGTAATAGAGTTTTAAAACATGAAACCTTACCGCCCCTAATGATGGATAGAACCGCCCAGTGGCTGTTTTACACAGGTAACTGACCATAGTAGAATTCACTCCTGGAAAAAGACCAATAAAAACAACCTTTACAACCAGGGGTGCAACAGGTCATCATTGATCTATCTCTACAGTTCGGCACACGCATGGTCCGCGCCAAGGCACCACGTGTTTAATCCAAATATGTAAAGCACAGTGGTGGTCATGGCAGAGGAGGAGAAAGCTTGAAAAACCACCTAAATCACGTAAGTCGTACCTCCGATCGCTGTGAGGGGGTGGCACTCACAAAACGCCTGGGAAAATTATTATATTAACGTGAAATCTGTGCTTCAGAAAGGTGATGAAATGAGTGAAAGCAGGACACGCAGGGAGGGAGCTATTTAAGGCAAGCTGTTATGTCATTTAATCAGCAACCAAACCTCTCTGTAATTCTTATTTTTATATCAAATTGTAAATTGAACAGAAAAATGTTGCACTAAGTGCTCTACAAAATACAGAGAGCGCAAAGCCATTTGTATATGTCTGCTGAGCCGAAAAATAATCCGATACATGAATAAAAACCGTGATCCAATCCCAACCGTGAGTTTTTTGATCCGTTGCACCACTATTTACCACCCAAAAACATACTGAAAGCTACTTCTGCTTCTCTATTTCAGACAATTTTTCTCCTTCTCATTCAACCAGCCGTTTTAGATTTTTTTTCTATTATTTCTCACTCTTTGTCGGGCTCACCAGCAGAGAAGTAGACCGCAAGAAACTGCTCTTTCCCTAGGAGAGATACAATTCCAGAGGAGAACATCCATAGGACGTACATGTTGGCCACCATGTGGATAATGGAGTAGTGGCTGAAGGAAGACAGAACCATGGGAAGGCACTGTATTTCTGATGAAGAACATACAAAGAACCAACACATTTTCACAGTGAAAACACAACATAGAAACAGGAAAATTAATATTCATCTTTGCCAGCTTGCCAACTAAAACCACACTCACTGGAGGCTGGGTTGGATGTGAAGTACTTGATCATTGTTCTCTGCATGGACGGGATCCGCCAGCAACACAGAACTGCCGCATTAATTGCAATAATGCCTGGAAAACATCAACAATTAAATGTATCTTAAGCCCTTTTCAGACAGACATTCTGGAACATTTGTGGACAATTCACTCCGGTTTTTAACCGGAACTGTGTTTTCAGACACACCACTTTTGTACCGGAACTTGTCCTTTCGGCTGCGTTCACACAGCAGGGAAAAGTTCCAGATGTCTGACGGCGGCGGTGGGTGGGGGAATCGGACTTATGTTAAGAAGAAGAAAATATCATCTCTATAGCACCTCTCAAGATAAAAATCACGAGGCGCTTAAGCATTATTCTGCACACACGAAGACGCATAAGAGACCTGGATGATGAAGCTCAATAGTTAAAGGAATCACGGAAGCGGTGTGAAGCGCTCCGTCGCGCGTCTAGGCGGTACCGTAGGAGGCGAGCTGCCGTGGTTCGCCGCATGCTACAGCAGCGGGCTATCTGGGTGCGCACAGCGTCCCCCGGTCCCCTCCTCCTCCCCCTCCCTCTTGTCCGGAACTTTACCTCACCAGTCTGAAGCAGCCACCCTGTCCGTAACAAGTCCGGACCTGTTACTAGGGGCTTCGTCCGGATAAATTCCGGAACACGTTATCCGGATGTTTGTATTCAGACACAAAGGTCTTACGAACAGATTCCGGAACATTTACGTTTTTCATTGCCTGTCTGAAGGGGGCTATGGTGAGAGAATGCAAATGTGCTCAAATCTGATGCTTAATGAGTCCAGCTGTAATTTTATACCAACTGGAGTCATGAGAGACTAACTGAACAAAAAAGAAATGAAAGAAAAAGCATACCAGTGGCAGTTCTCTGTCCCTCTGTGAGGCTGTTCCAAAGGTCATCCACCATGGACATGAGGAGAATAAGCTGTCGCCGGAAGCCGGACAGCTGGTTCCACCAGTCGTGCCAGTACGCCATGTCCGGAGAGCCCTGGGAACATGATGGCAGGTCACTGTTTGCTGGTTAAAATAATGGCTGCAGCTGCAAAATCCTTACCAATGCAAGTTTTTCTAACTCTTCTCCATCTTTTGCAGTCTGAACTTTTGACTTTATGGTCTCATACTGCAGAATAGCCGACACACCAAAGGAGCAGCCTGTAAACTGACATGGAATCAGACAACAAGCAACAGCATCCATCCGTTCTGGATCTTGTTTTAGGGCAAATGCACACCAGCAGGCTTTAAAACCACATGATTTCTGTCTTGTGTCTCTTTTCATCAAATTACATCTGAGCCTTTAGGGAATGACCACAGGAGTTGTGGGTGTATTGTGCTGCTGAGTGGTGGACACTGGAAGTGAAATGGTTTGATGTGTGGAGCTTATGCGTAACTACTAGGTTTTATATGTGACTTTAATATGTTTTATAAGCTAAAATGTAATAAAAGAGGTTATTTAAGTGAAAGACAAGAAACCTACCCCTACAGTAAATATCAGCGGTCTGAAAAGTGTGGGTTTTCGAATGTAGGGGGGAGGTGGTGGACCGGCTGTGCCAGCCTCAGAAGGAGAGGTATTCAACTCTTGGGTGATATTTTCTTTCTTGGTATCTGGTCTTTTGGCTTCTCGACGGAAACTGCACCTCTGCTGGTTGTAGGGGTTAACTCTGTCAAAAACATTGAAGAAATAAAAATAATCTGGAACAAAATATTTAAAAGATTCAAGAAGCTGTTTCAATTTCTTTGAGGTGTTTCTAGGTAGATAAACACAAACTCAGCTGCAACAAAGGAATTTAGGTTAAGACAAAATCATGAATGAAAGTTCAATCAGATCACACACACACACACACACACACACACACACACACACACACTGTACTGAAACTCTAATTTCCCTCCGGGATGAATAAAGTATCTTTGAATTGAAAAATAGATGGCTTTCTGTTGACTAATTGGTTAATCAACCAATGTATTCAGTGGTCATGAGGTGGTCACATGGTATTTGATTGCATTACAGGAAGCTGATGACACCACCTCTGCAGCCTGGCTAGTGCTTGTTGGGAAAAATACATTAGGCTTTCATGGAACTCTGTTGTCTTAGTCATGAACTGTCTATGAGGGCGGTGAACTGCATCCAGTGGTATGCAAACATTATCTGTTGTTGTATGCCTTATTTCTAACTGAGGGAGAAGCCTACACACACACAGATATATATATATATATATATATATATATATATATATATATATATATATATAATGCAACATAAATGTGTATGAAGGTTTCAGTTAAGTGCTACACTTAAGAGACCGCCCCTAATAGATGGTGTTCTGTCGAGATCTGTTTGCACGTGAATTTTAGCTTCTGCACTAACTACTGTTTTCTCTTCTTGTACAGTAAAGTTACATAAAATAGCACTGAGACGTTCTTTGGGATAAACTCGCATAATGCTGAGTAACGTAACCCCGACATTATGAATTGTTTGGGCAACTCGGGTAACATAAAGCTATCTTTTAGCTACCGGTATGTTCACATTGACAGTACGGTTAGATGACTCCACACGAAAGAGAAAAACGCAAAAACACACCATGTCAGTGTTTTTCTTATTTAGACAACCTCGGCGAACAGAGCGAGGGGTTATTTGCTCACCTCGAGCTTCGTGAAATATTCTTAGGGTATCTGATGAAGTCTGTTTTGGCCCACTTCAAAAAACATCCTCTCCACGCCATGATTGTTGTGACCTCTTGTCTGAAGCTCCTCCCATTGCGAGTTGAATGCTTAAGATGCATTCAGGAATGCTCGGAAAAACTTTCACTGCTTAGGTAAACGATGTTCAATGTTATATCGATCGTAAAATGTTTGAACATTAATTAAAGTTGCACACATTATTACGCGCAACGCATGTGTTGTAATTTTAGTTATAATTGTGTTAAAATAACATATTAATGCTGAGATTCTATGTTAGTGGTACCCAAGGGAGTGTATTAAAACCATAGGACCAATTTTTACATCTAAATATGTTTTTGAAGATAATTGAGACACATTTGTTTGTGTGCAAATTCGGTATTTTACTGCAATTCTCAGTTTACATTGGTTTATTTTAATACAATTACAAGACTTTACTTTAATCTAGCGGTTAATTGAAGGAAAGGTCCACCATTTTTTGCTGAGATGGAAAGTGACCAAATATCGAAGAAAATATACCATTAACATTGGTACATCAATTAATATTAAGCTTTATTACAAATATATAAAAAGTTGAAAAAATATTATCAGCCATATTGTCTAACTATGATTTGACTATTTATTTGACTACATTTTATTTTTTTAGATTTATCTCCATGACAAACACGGACATGAGACCAACGTATAAGAAGATGGCATTTGATTTGTTCGTCAGGTATCATCTCATGTCAAATATGAACCTTCCTTTTGCATTTTGTTATTGTGTAAGTAAAAACTTCATTGGTTTACAGGCACATTTTAGCAACAAAGGCTCTATCAGATGAAACAAAATCCAAATAAAAAAATTAAAATACCTAACCAAGTATCATATTAGCTTACTTTATTAGAATTACATGCTTAGTGATTGTAATATTACCAGTTATAACATCACACCAAAACAGCTCTGTAGCACATTAGAGACAGTTGGCAATTATAGCTTCATTCACAAAATCTTTTCTTATAAGTATGTCTAAACTTTTGAATAATGGACATTTTACCATATATCAAACTTTTAACATTTTAATTATAACACTTTAAAGAAAACAAACAGACATTAATACGCATACACACTTTGATTAGCTGTGCACAAGGTATCTGCAAACTGTGGCAAGTGGTTCTTCTTTCTTATTGTTTTTAAATAGATGATAAAAGCAAATATTTTGTTTTAACACCAAACATCCTGGAACCCTTGCACAGAGGATGAGCAGTATTGATGCTGCTATTGGCATCTGGACCTCCTCCACAAACTTCTGCTGTACTTGCCACTGAGCCCAGAAAAAGGTAAAGAAGGAAGAATGTACAGTGGGAGGGCTGCACTGCAGTGTCTGCAGTATAGGGCTTCCCTCCATTGCAAATTCTGCACTAACTGGATGCCGTTAGTTCTACACAATAATGCACAGGGAACTAGAGTAATTATAAATAAATAAAGCTGTTAAAAATGTAAGATTGGAGAACACTGCACACGCAGTTCATTTGAACACAGTGATTATCGCAGATGAATAAAAACAAAGTCAAACAGAAAAGTGAGGAGTGTTGCAATTTCAGAGGATAGATGAAGAGAACAAAGAAAGGAGAGCAATATGCCTTTGCCACTGTATGGACCAAGGACATGCTGCTTAGTCAGATGATACCCTATGGTTGCAGGTCTGGGGCAGGGGAGGACAAAGAGCTGAGGGAAGGGAGGTAAAACCAGGAACGAGTACAGGACAGGTCAGAACAGGAAGGATGTAAGTACACTTGAATTACAGATGTTACTAATGTAAAAGTTTATGAAAGAGCACACACATATTTATTCCTGATATTGCAAGATGTTAATATCCTGTTTTTGATCAATGCAGTTCAAATTTTACCCTGTAGAGGTGTCCTCTTTCAGGTCCTGTCATCGATTCGCTGTGAACCGACGCCAGGCCGCGTCCAGAAAGAGGAAGCACAGGCTTGGCCATGTGACAGGAAGCGTGATATCTGAAACAACTTGTCAGGTGTCATGTAGGACAACCATTCAACCTACTGCAACCATATCAGTGTGGACAAAATAATCAACCAACTCTGGCATTTGGTTCTTCCATAGCGTCTGAGATTCAGATCTACACGTTCGTGATGTCATTTGGCCTTGGGGCTTCTATTTCTGCAGAAAGTCTGGAAACATCTTACACCAGCAGCACATGCTTTTTATACCGCCAGAGGAAACTCTAGCTGTTGTCACAGCGTCCCGTAGATGTGCTGACAGGGCGCTTTCTGGGGCACTGATCAATGAGCCAGTTAGATCATACCACACTTGTTTTCTGTGTTACTCTGCATAAATTTTGCAACTTGGTGGTCAGTAGCTGATTGTTGTATTCTCTGAGCAGCTGCCACTTGCAAGACTCTGTGACTTAGATAGCAGGTGAGATTTCAGAGGTTCATTCATGCCAAACATACTCACATGGACATATTTTACATCCATGCTGCTTTCCTTCCTGTTTGTCCATTCTGACAATGTTTGGTTATTCAGCACAAACAAGGTCCCCAAGAGGTTTTTTATTTATTTATTTGCACAAATCTATTACACTGGAACAGCAAGCTCATTCTGAATGTTGCCTATAGTACGCAATATCTGAATTCTACAGCAGGATAATCAAATAACAGACACAATATGCAGCATCAAATTGCCAGGACACGCAATCGATCTAATTCACACATTAAATATTGATGTGTCTCAGCAAAATATTATATGTCCTTGCTATCAGGGAAGAAACATGGTGCATTAAATTGTCAGCAAGTGTAAGAGGAAACAGCTGGGATAGGTTTACTTTGCAAAGAATAACTACATATGAAAAAAAAAAAGGAAATGAAATGTATCCATTAATACTATGATATCTTCATACACTTACCCCCTTGAACAACCTCAGCTTGGAGAAACAGATAATAGTTCTGACTGGACAGACAAGCTAATCGCTGGTCACAGCTACAGAGCAATCAAAGTCTCTGGAGTTTTCAGTCTGAAACATTTAATTGCAGTTTATGAAAAGGCTCTTTGATAACATTTATTCTGCTGTAACTTTTACATTCCTTGGCCATTTCTGGAAAATTGTTGTGAAATTCTAGCCAGGAAAAAACACATTTGGAAATTCCTTCAACCCATATTTTAAAGGTGTGGCTCACTGAAAAAATAATGTAATTTTTTTCTGATCAAAACCAGTCACTCTGAGTTTTTCATGCAGGCTGAACATGAAAGTAGTCTCCTACATCTATCTCCTGCATTCGCTTCTGATAGAAAATAGACTGTGAAACTCTAGGATTTAAAAAATCTGACAGATCTACATCACAATGTCATTTGACATCCATAGACTCACCCACCTTGGCTCACGACGGGGAAGGTTGTTGGGAAGGCTGTTGTTGTTTTAGCATCCAGGAAATGGCAGATAATGTCCCAGCTAGTAGAAGCTAACCATTAGCATTAGTAACTTCACCACACAGCAGAAGTTCCTCCAGGCTTGTGTTATTTGTGAAGATAAAGCATCAACGTAGCAAGTCAGTGACAGAGCTGCATTGCTGTAATCCAGTCTGAGGCGACACTTCCATACATCAGACCCCCCCCCCCCCCCACCCACCCACACACACACACACCAATTTACTAGGCATTCATTCCTTCTAGAGATCACTGCAAAGGTATTGACTAGTCACAGAATTCCATGTGGATCTGAACATATTGTGAAAGTTGTGGTATGAACATTTACAAACGAACATTTTCATGAATTTTTGAGGATTTGAATTTTTTAATCCCTTGTAGCTGGCCCCACTTATCTTATTATAACGCATTATCTCATCTGACTGTTCGGATAAACTGAACTTTTTCAGAACCCTATCTACACCTGACAAGATATTAAATAATTCTGACCTTTTTACAGAAACACACATCAAAACATCCGACCTGCTTCTTTAACGTTGCTGAATGAAGAATAAGAAAATATCAGAGGCATCCTTTGAACAGTTGTGGAAAAATTAATTTGACAGCTAAATGTAATGAGGTTAATTTTAATCCCAGAATAAATTACCTTTAGTCTTCAATTTGTTCTGGAAAAAGAAGAGCACACCCCATCCACTCACCCCTGAAAAACACACATACACACACAAGTCCCACCCCCTCCATCTCTACCTGAGCCCTCGGTCCACTTCACACAGACACTCAGAAAGAAAAGGAGAAAGGCAAGCAGGAGCTTGTCGAAGAGCTCCACATCCAGCGAGAAAATCAGAGGTTCCAGAAGGATCTGATTTCTCCAAACATCTCATGATTCAAGTAAACTTCTTTCCTTCTGCTCGCCTGTCCTGACCGAGGAAGAGAGCGCACGCCAAGCAGACGCCTGCATTCCCTAACTTCTGCAAAGCTTGGGAACATGAGTGATAAAAAACCTGGTAAGAAATCTTTGGATTGATTTTCTTATTTTAAAAAAATAGCATGTTCAGTTTTGGTGTTGAGGTTGTTTCTGCACAGCAGCATTCACTCATCAGTGATCTTTCATTCAATGAAAACAGCAGGAATCACACACATATTCTTTGTTTTGTTATTGAACTGCATGCAGCAAAACACAATGTGCAGCAAAAATGAATGCACAAAAACAAAAAACTAAACCTGCACTGGAGAGGGAGACAGTAAACGCAGCGACCATCGTCAGATCACATTCATCACTGCTGCAAAGCGATGCTGCTGCTGTTGTATCCCTGCTGCTGCTCCTTAGAATATTCTGCTGATCCCAGCGTTCACCTACACTTTTCCCAGTTTTGGATGCTTTTCGTCCACATCTCACGGAAAACCATTCACATACTAATGCAAGTTGAACTCACATCCCTGCCTCCATGGCTATAGTTTTACCCCAGAGTGTTGCGCATGTTAAACATCTCCCTGCTCCTTTCTTTCCTGTACTTTGTCAGTGCTGTCAGCTGATTTGGACAAAAAACTGCTGCCTCTCCAGTTTCACTGCTGAAATGTGAGTGTGTGCTGCCGTTCCCAGCACAGGGAGACATTGTGGCCTCAGCGATCAGCGCGTGTGATAATGACAAAGCTTTCCAACTCTGCCACTAATGATT